TTCGGGATCTTAGCCCTTGACTTCAAACGCACGAGGCCCAATCCTCAAACGATGGCAAAACGTGGAAAATTTTCGAAATTTGAGAACGCATATCGCTTACGTCTTTGCCTTGTTTGGTTTCTTATTTTGGGGAGGAGGGGGATCCTAGTGGGAGGGATGTTATCGGACGCTCCAAGCTAGTATTAAATCGAAGGACGTGAATAGCGTGCGAGGCTGAGTTATATGGTTGTCTTCAGGGGGAAGTTGAGTAAGTACCGATACAAGGTGGCATATACTCTCTTCACCGATCAACATGCCGATTCGGAGAGGACCGAAGAAGCACCGATAATGCAGCTAGCGGAGACCGGCAAGATAGAACCGATGATAGAGGATCAATCACGTGGTGCATGTTCCAGTATTGTGATAAGTAATGTACTTCTTAGGTGTAGCTCTTTCTCGTGACACAGCCACGCCCTTTATCAGTCGCGAAATGACAAACCCTATCCTACAAATACCAGTTTTTCTGATCTTCTTCACTTGCTTCTAGAGATATGATGAATAAATCCACGAAACTCAAACACGATGACGCACTAGCGCTCTACTCGACGGATGTTACCAACGGATTAATCCCTAAATCTAATAGATACGTTTCCAATCCAGTAACCCATTTTCCTTGTTCGTGCTGGAGGACATGTAGTTGTAGTGCTAGTATAATACCAGACCGTAATATGATAATAATGCGCATGTGCTATGAAGAATAATCATGCCCCGAAGACTGTTCAACTTCAAACGATGTGTACGAAATAAGACAAATTAATGGGATACATAACTTTCGAGTGAAACCTCGTCTCCTGCAACCAATTATGCGTGCTGTAGCCGTTACATACATCTAATCCTATGAAGTGGGTGAGCAAGGGCATTTAAAAGATGATAACTTTCTTAGGTAAATTAGGCGTCGTTAGAACTTACTATGTTGACTGGCGGGCGGACATCTAGAAAGCTATGAAACAACAGGACAGAGTGAACGAAGCAGAATAGAAGGGAGTATGATGCTTTCGTGATCCCACAAGGGAAGACAGCGCGGAAAATGTACTAGCTGCTCGGGGAACGAAATCGCTAGTGTAGTCGAAAATTATGTTACAGTCGTAGATATTCTCATACAACATTTCTTTTTCAACAAATTATAGTACTGCCTGCAACTTATTAAGTACCCAGACGAATAGACCGATTATGAACGTACTGGGGTCGCTACCATGATAGATAACAAACATCTTCAGTGGGATAGAAAGAAGGAAAATTCAGAGTCACTGTGGTCGACTATGCAAGGGCTGAAATATCGACAAATTAAATGTTGCCACCTTTATGCCAATGTAAGCCGAACCAATTATTGATGAAGATCCAGTATTTCTAGTTTCTTTCTCTAGATTGGATACGTGGCGAGTTCGTGCATTATCTTACATGATTGAAGCGAGTTATAGGTGAACCGGTGTGTAACTATGTAAAAAGAGACATCGAAACATGAAAAAATCGGCACTTCCGCACAAACGAAATAGCATGCCTGGGTTGTACCTTAAGAACGCAGCTCACTGCTTGCTGCTTGATGTTGTTTGTTAAATTCTCACGTATTGTGTGCTTATATGTGGCTCAGCAGCACGCAACGGCATATGGTCAGTTGTATTAAGTTGCACTTACTTGCTATTACCCGTTTCTAATGCATTGTAGAAGAGTTGAAGTTCATTTTTTGGAGCTGCAGCTGTTGCTGAAGGGTTGAAGTAAATGCAGAAATGAAGACGATGAGTTGGTGTTGTAGTAAGTTGATGTGAAAGTTCGGATTTGAACGGGACAAAAGTCGCTAATCATCATCATCATCATGGTGTCCCATGTAGTGCTTGAAGCCCATTGGCGGGACAAAACAGTTCCAGCAGTGTGTCAAAATAAATGACGGTCGCTAATTTCAGTAGACCATCTCACCTCCGCATAGTTTCCAGAGAGCACAGGAGAGAAAGAATATCGCCACGTATCCAAGAGCCGCCCAGTTCGTGCGCGGATTGAAGGGTATGTACCAGTGAATGTCGTACATTTCCAACGCAAAAACATAAAACGTTCCATACAAAGCGACAAAGAGCATCCCATACAATGAAAGTCGGGCTCTTCATCGCACGTCGTACTACGAGGTAATATTTCTTCTTAATATTCTTTTGGGAGAAAGACAGGGGGTGGGGGATTGATACAACAAGTAAAAAACTTCTAGGGTAGTGCTTGAAATGATAATGACGCGACTTCACTTGCCATAAAAAGTACCAATCCGTGAGGTGAAGTGTGCGATAATTGAAGAAAAAATGTTCCGTGCAAGCGAGAATTACGTTGCACCCATGGACTTGGACTAAGACGGGTGACAGAATTATTTGCAGGAACTCCGTCCTGCTACCCGTTTCGGCGGTTTTCATGCTGCCTTTTTTACTAGTACTTTCTGACGCAGGTGTTTGTGAAGAAGAAGTTATAGTAGACGACGTTTTCTGACGGCCACCTTCGACGTCCTCGGCTACTGTAGTACTACTATCTTGGTCTACTCCTGCGCCACGATCCTCAGAAGAAGTACGCTTGCTCCGAGCCTCTCTTGCTTTTCCCAGGAGAACCAGTGCAACAGGCACGATGGCAAACCACCACACGAAGAAGGTCAAAAAAATGAAAAAGGACATCACAGGATTCCTTTCTACCCGTACCTAGTAGAGTATACATATTTATACGCTCATGCCATGCGATTGCAACCTCTCTTGTTTTCCAGGATGAAAGAATCGGAAAAACATTACGCCCCAAATGAATCTTGAGAAATGCTAAATAAATCAAACAGGAAAATCCCAGTGTCATCGTAACTAGATTGCCTAGAAGTGCTGGGTATCGGCTCGCTTCGTAGAGAGCTACTAGGATATCCAGGACTGGTCCGCTACCACTGCCTTCGCCTTGCGTCATATCCAATAACCTAGTGCGGAATGAAGATAGACCGACAAATGCTAATTTTTTCTTTATGCACTTATAAAGGTCGCTGTAGCAGAATGATATACGGAAGAATTCAAACGAGCAAATGCCTAGACGTAAATCGAAATACACACTCCTTTCAACTCTATTCTTCCCTGTAAATCATGGAAATACGTCTAAAATACATAGTCTCTGTACATTGCTCCTGCTGCGGATGTGTTATGAAGTGCTGCCAGTGACCAACTGCATAGCGTAAAGGACCGCAGCGCCCACGAAACATGAAGCCACATCATCACGAGTAAAACGACTCCCCACACTGCGAACACGCAACGCACCGCGAGTATAAAATACGGCTGCTGCACCAAGGCTGACACCGCCAGAGTGAGAGAGGAGCCTTCGCTTGATGCGTTGGAAGTCCCTGCAAATATTGATCCAGCTGAAGATAAGATCTTCGCAACCACTGATTCGCCATCATTTTCGCTACTTGTCCACGAGGACAAGGCTATTCCACTGGGCTCCCTTGCTGGGCCCCCTGCGAGGCCGTCTCTACGTCGCGTGAGCCACTCGGAACGTACTGTCTTCTGCATATCACCCAGCCAACCGGAAGGAAAATCCGTTTGTGTCAATGCTAAAGTTAGAGGCTTCGAAGAAGCTGCTGTGACTTATGATACTGTTATGCGGAGATACAACTACTTGATTTTGAAGGAGCTGGCTTTTTGCTATCAAACCGCCTTAATAACCCTGGAATAATCAGCACGCAGATGGAGACCAGCAACAGGAGCACGATGACCGGAAGCGGCTTGACGGGACCGTCCATGAGAAAGTGCATTTCCTTAAAATCTCCGAACATGCGTCGAAAGTGTCGTCGTACGCCTCGCCAAGTCCAATACCCGCGTGGCCTCGGTTGTTCTCCCGCTCTTGATCCAATTTTTTGATTTTTTCTGGAAGTCCCTCTAGACCGCGAAGAAGGTGAGCTGCATGTCGAGTCCCTCTCGTCTTCAACAAGGAGGTCTCTCCTATTGCCTTTAGGTAGACAAAGCTTTCTGTTTGGAGGCGGGTTTCTGTTTGTTCGTCCTGCAACAACATCATCTTCCTGTGCAGAAGAAGCTCTTGAAGTAGCTCTTGAAGTAGAGGCAGCGTTTTTCGCTCGCCTTTGTCGAACAAAGGTCGCGGCACCCCGAGCTGCTGCTGGTGAGCGGCCACGCGAACCCGATGCTCTTGTTCTCTCTCTCCCCATTTTCGCCTCTTGTTCCTCAAGACTCAAGACTCCCTGTAGTTCGCCTTCTGCGCTAATCGGTCGATCGACCCCTTGCTGGTGCCAATACCTTAGCACTTTAGAAGCATCAGCTTTCGGTAGGAGTTGCGCATCATCTTCTTCTTCCTGCCCATGCTGGTCATCATTTTCGTGTGTACCTACTAGACTGTGAGCGTCTTCTGAACTCTCGTCTTCTAAGCTGCTGGACTCGTCCTCTGCTGCTGTTGTATCAAAGAGCTTCGGTGTGCTGGTTCCGTCAGTGGTGGAAGCTTGCGAATTCACTCGTACGGAATGCCCTGTATTTAGAAGTTGAAAAACTACTGGAAATCCATCTCGCCTCTCTACGAAAATGATCTTGGTGGTCACCGTTCTTTCTCAACTAACTTGAAGAATATCACCGCTCGCTATCGTTGGGCGAATGCTTTTTAAGTGAATATGAAAACAGTTTCCAGAGAAGATCGACGCCCCTAATAGCTAGACGAGACGCCCCCAATGGAATTCCTAGAGCCTTAATAGATCATGCTTCAACAGTGGTGGAAGCTTCGCCAAGGAATGCTGAAGACATTCATCTTGTTCATGCTGCTTTCCATTCATCTGCACATAAAAGCAAGACATTGCTCTGCCGCAACAATCGACTACCCATCTTATTCATACCATGTCGATTATTACCAAAAAGTAATCCAATATTTCTCGTCCTAGAACAAGTGCTTGAACTTCATACCAGAGCGTCAACGTGTCTAAGTCGTAGATTGCCAATGCCATGCAATTTGTTGATCGTAATTTTCGCCCTCTGATGTTTGCACATCTTTATCTCCCCTGACTTGAAAACAAAATCCTTTTTAGCTCAGGAGCGCCTCATGTAGTTCAGAGTCTGGCGCTATTCGAAGGTTTCTCATAAACGTTGCACTCTGCTCCTCAATTCGTAGTCTGTCGTCATTCATTTCTGTCATTGTCATTCAAAAAAAAATATGGTAATAGAAGGCACTCCCTACATTTTCCTCACAATGCTCTGCTCTAATGAGGGAACGAGCACTCTGCTAGATCCAAGAAACGGACGTGACCGTGCCCACTCATTCCACCGACAATATATGACTTCCATCGACATCAACATATGACGAACTGCTGCTCAGGAGGTATTAAGCAAACCAACGAACAAAAAGGATGTGAAAGCATTCAGACGGCCAATGGGTCGCGGCATGTTCATCAGTTTATTCTTTCATCAAGAAGCTGAATATTGGGAGCAGGCAAGGTTTTATTTCGGGGATAGTTTTCAAGTCTTGAATTCAAACGACAGAGCGCCATCAAAGAAAATTTGCAGGTGATGCATACTTCTGAGGTGCCATGTTCAATCCGTTAGGCTGAGGACTATCAATGGCTTGGCATAGACGACCAATCGTCATAAAATTGCAACCCTTGCTCATCAATGTCAAAAAAATGATGATCTCGGGTCAAAATCCACCATCGCCAAACAGAGGTCAAATCAAATATCGAGGAGTAGGTACCATGATCGGGAGTCCATCATCAGGAGTAAAGATGCACGAGAACCGAAATCGGTCGAAGCATCATCAGCAATGCACCATTCAACCGGCAAAAGTCTCGCCATCAATCTCCTTCCAAAGAAATTAGAGCTCACCCTAATCCATCTCGAGGTCCATCCTGAGACTGCTTTCCCCTTGAAAACGTCTCTAATGAATAAATATGCTTCGGAACAAGCTGGATTAGGGGAAGCCGTAAAGAAAACCGCACCCCGCACACCGTAATGTCAAAACGGGTTCGCACAGGCGCGCCGATTGATGAACAAGTTTACCGAAAACGCGTTTGAAAAGTTGAAACGGAAAATCGAAGTGAATGAACCATTCAACCGGCAAAAGTCTCGCCGTCCGTCTCCTTCCAGAGAAAGCCACAACCCGAACAACGTAATGTCAAAACGGGCTCGTCTGATTGATCCTCCTTGCGGTTCGTACTCACGGTCGCGAGCATAAGCACCTCTTCACTGCCACATTTTTCGCAGGCTCATGAACGGGGAAAGAACTGATAAGCATAAGGACTTACTATAAATATATAAAAGTGTACCAGTACCACGACGTGGCAACCACTAACCCAACCACTGTGAACAAATTATCATAGATTTGATTGAAGACATCAAGATTATGCTAAGGTTACTCTTAAAAACTAAAGTCAAAGTCTTTGATAATCAATAATTAGCGCTTGTTGAATATATATTCTTGTTTGGCGGGATAGACCTAGGATATGAGGGAAACAATAACCGGTTATTGTTGATTATATATTTATTGATATTCGACGATTATGGATATATTCCTCTCATCTTCATAATTTGAACTGGCCTCCCCTGACTAGACTCCATCTAGGATCATCCTTTGGATCCACCGCCATGGCCTCATGCATAGCCTGCTCTTCTAGTTGCACGCGTCGCTCCGTCATCTTCTTGGATTCCAGCTCTGCGTTCGACCGAAACGGGATTTGAAAGGCAAACAACTCCACATCCGTTCGTGGCATGGACATCAAGGGATTACTAGGAGGTGCCTGTCCAGGTGCTGCCTGTATAGAAGGTGCCTGTCCAGACGAGGAGAGAGGTTTTGCTGTTGCCGCCGCCTCCTTTGCGATACGCGCTAGTAGACTTGGATTTGAGCGTAAAAACTGCGTCACACGTCGGTACTCCACCGTGTACTCCTTGTATTCGTCCGATGACAGCTGTCGATTGTTCACAAACAAAGTCGGTTCCGTTGGTACTTCAGTCTTGTTCGCGGAGGGGAGTTTCGCTCGACAGCTTTTTTCGCAAATCCCGCGTTCTAGCCAGAGTGCTGCGTGACTCGCAATCCCTTTGCCCGCCAAGTTCTTAATCGTCGTCAGTCGGCGCTGATCCGTGATGCGATTGTCGCTGCTATTAATAGTGGCAGTCCGCACTCCTGCAGCGCTGTTCGGCGCGCCACTACTTCTAGAAGGACCTGACGATGTTGAGGACGAAGCATGATTGCCGTTGGCACTGCTGCTTGATACTCCTTTGCCGGATGGATTCGTCTTGCTCGCTGGACCGTCGCGCCGCGGCGAACGAATACGCATTGCCTCCCCACTCTTCGTTGATGTCATCATCACTGTCATTATATAACCTGGATAACTTCTTCAAATTCTCCAAAACTTTTTTGATTGACAACTCAACAAGTAGTTTCAATTCAGAATGACGGAGTGGCAGCTATCTCTCCTTTGTTATATATTGCTAAAAGAAAAAAATCATGAAACATCAAGTCCTGCTCAAAGCATTTTTGTTCCTACTTCTTGTGAGAACATCAAAACAAAAAACGCCTGCTTTTGCAACATGTAGAAATAAGAAGGTGAAATAATAATAAGTGTGATAGCATTAGCATGTAAGAGTAAGTACTCAGACGGTCTTTCTGTTGTTGTTTTTTCTTCTTCGTGTGTGTAATGATGGAGCAATGACTGAGCATGAGTGGAGCCGGGAAAGCGCAGTGGGTGGACAAAGACGAACTGAAGTATTTTCACTGGGAGTCGCAGAGAGGAAATGCTTTAGCCATGATAGTGCTTGCTTGAACTCGAGTCGAGAACCATAGACCTGCAAAAAATTAGTCAGTAAGTTGTATTTTCCATGGTCAATAGATTCAGAAGATCCTCAGGGCCGTCCTTTTCCGTTTTCGAGCACTACCATATTAGTATCTGCCACTGTGGTGCGTGCAACGATCTCTAATTGAGCTTGAAGAGCAAATTCAACATACTAATTTTTGTAACATATAATTTTTGTACCTTTGCCTCGTCCATCCTTAGACTCATAAGTAGTCAATTTTCTTGAGCGTGAAAAAAAATGTGTTTAACGAACACAACTATCCTGGAGCATACACGTGTCTGTGTGTCCGTCCCTTCGACGAAGAGAAGCGCAGCCGATTCATCTTAACCTCGATTTTTAATGTTCTCTTTCTCTGTGCCTCAGGCTATGCGCTGATGTCCTACCAAAGAAGTGTGCTTTAAATGCACAAAACCGTCTTTGGCAGTTCCTATGTGTACGTTTGAGAGACATCAACAGGAAAGCAAACGGGAGGTCGGAGCAATTCCTCCGAGAGGTCTTCCGGTCTGTTGTCTGCGTACCACACGAGGTTCATTTTCTCACCATAGTTGTAACTGCAGCGTAAGCGATAGCCAATACAACTTCTCATGATATCTGAGATCATCATTATATTTTGATATGCGCAAGGGGAAAAGAAAATTTGAATTTCCTTGCTACATTTCGCGGCTGATGTCTGCTTCCTGGACGAAGTCTGCTACATCTTGCCCCTCGCGGGCAGGGCGCATTTGCGGCTGGCCGTACTCATCTTCGCCCTCGATCTCCAGTTGTAGGTCGGCAATGTCAAAGCTCCGTTTCTGCCAGTCTTCATACTTGAGACCATCGGCACTCGCGATCGAGCGAGCTAAGATCGGTGGCAAGTTGTCTGGCACAGGCTTGTAATAGACTGAAGAGTTGTCGTCTATAATCTCCTGTAACTTCCCCTTCCAATATTTCATCTCGCGTGAGCGGATCCCGCCAAGCACATCGTTGCTCTTCATACCTGTCGTGATCTCACTCTCACAATTATTTGTATTATTCATTGATGATTGTGAAGATACAACTTCGTTTCAATACTAAGAAGTAGGATTCACCCTAAGAACCCACGAATGACGTGTACTAGCAGTGTCGTAGTACCTCTGAGTTTCTCAAGCTCTCCAGCCGCTGCTTTGGCCCACCCCTCTGCCGTGCCAAAATCCTGCGCCTCAAACGCCTCCTCAGCCATCCAGCCTGGCGCGCAGACACCCATAATTTGCGCGTAAAGTTCACAATGGTATTTCACTGCAATCAATATTCTATGCTGCTGTCCTATCTGTGGCGCCGCGGATGCTCCTCCTGCTGCTGGTTTGCTAGCTGTGCCTCCCCCGCCGGTAGCAGAGTCAGGGGCAGCGGCGCCCCCTGACGCTAGTGAAGCCTGCACGATGCTTCGTGCTACCCCGAGCGCGTCAATTCGGTTCTGCTGCGCTATCGAAGCGAGCAGTGTCCGTTTTATCACTGGCTGCTTTTTCCGCGCAAGCTCCAGGCTGACTTGGTTTAGACACAAGAGCGCGTACTTTGAGAAGCACTCCAGCATGCTAGGATGAATCTCCGGTACCTGCATCTGCACTGCGTTACAATTCAGACGCGCGTTGTACTGCACAAGGTACTGGTACAGTGCCGCCGCCTGCTTCACCTTCGATAGTGCATGCGTCAAATCCTGTTCGGAGACCTCACCAGTCTCCTTCGCGTACTGCAATGAGAAACCTAGTATGCCGCGTTTCAATCCCATCCTCTGTACATATCGATCACATGATCGATCTTTTTTAGATTTCGATTGATAGAAAGGTAGATAGGAGGATCAACTATCAAGTACCATTCTTAGCTGCATTACGTTGCTTTAAGAAACTCGACTGCTCAGACAACATAAGTGTTTCATATTAATCGATGGCTGCGTCAGCTCTTTGGTGTCTGTTCTAGATCTACCGGCATAGTCCTCGTTGTTATGCTTATGCCTCTTCGAAGTAGTGCTAGTAGTGGCGGCTACCAATTGATTTACAGTCAAGAAAAGACCGAGAATAATCGTAAAAATTGAAGTAGGTATCGCATTATAAACCGTCGGTACCTGCAACTGCTAAGTGCACACTAGCGACGCTAAGCCCGGTCATCACCGTTTCGAAGTGACATATGTCTTTGAAGTTTTTGAAGGCTTTTTCGTCCATTTTTCCGCACTTCTTCTCATCCGCGATGCCACTGGACCACTTTAGGAGTGGAACGCGGGTTATTTTCACCCCAGGCGTCGTACATATCTCCGCAAGCGAAAAGAGGTCGACAAGATACTTCGCACCCGTAACGCCAATGCTCTCGGCATTTACGAGACTCGTTTCTGTATCGGACAATGCGCGAGCCTGTAGTCATGATTCAATCAAGCTAAGTCTACTCACTGACATAACAAAGACATCAAAGTGTTTTGATCATACGTACTTTTTCCGAGAACTGAGAATAGATAGGCAAAGGTCTGTCGCCTTGTAAATTTAAAGTACAACTTATAATCTGCAACAAAAAGTGATGCAACAAAAAGTGATACAAAGATCTTCCGATTGCTGCTGCACTTGAGAAGGGCATCCTTTTTTCGTGCTGGTATAAAGTCCTGGAACTCTATTGAGGTTTTCGCTTCCGGAATCGGAATTGGGTATAGCAAGTTCAATGCCGACATTTTTCTTCTTGATGATGCGCGAGGCTTGACGTAGGTGAAGCAGTCGTGTGATCGATAGTGAACGATATCGCTTTACTAAATTCCCTCAAGCTCGCGGATAAAATACAAGCTGCCTGGGTGACAATATTGCGACAGCAGTATGGAGATCTCGCTTTCGTTCCCTCAGGACTTGCCGACTTGTGATTGTGTCGAGTACGCCTCCGTTTTTGAGAGTGTGCGTTCGAATATGCTGGCAGGAAGATGATGCGAGCGCGCGGAATTTCTGACACTGCTCCAACACCCGAGTCCCTACTGGAGCAGCTCGCTAGCTACTTACTCGAAAATTTCGTTATCGTTCTGTGCACTGCAGGTACGAGCTGCTCGATCAATGAAAGACGCGTATCGCCGGATTAAAGGTTCCACCAAAGAGGATTAAAGCACAAGATTCGGAACAGTCGAAGGACTATGACGGCAGCCACTGCTTGTGCTTGTTGCGGTCGAGAGTCCTAGTTTGTCAGCGTGTGGTAAGTCCGACCTCGGCTATCTCACCTCAATTCAAGATGAAGGCGGTCTCAGTCATGTGGATCGATGGGTAACCTTATTAACTATAATATCAACTTTTACCAATTCGTTTTCATTCGATTTGTTTCATAAGAAACAATACCAGGTTAGAGTGGCAAATTACGAAAACGGATGAGGGACCAGAAACTTGCTGGAATGGAATCTGGAATGGAATTATATTCACAAGTGATCATGTATCGAATTCAAAAAAACAAAAAGCCAAATAGATGATTCAAAGTGGGGTCGAGCCACGTCCAAAACGAATCAATCACGAAATTGGGTGTTCTAGAAGATTTTATAATGAAAACACTTTCTACTCCTTGTCTGCGCTGCTTTACCTAAACTGTAGTAGAATCGGAATGTGATGTCAAATAAAAGCGTGAGGCGCTGGCACTGCCGACTATATTTTGCTTTGGTGCTGCTATAACATTTTCAGAACTTCGTTTCCATTTTCAGAATAAATCTAACAAGGCGCCGAATCCTAAAGATATCTCATTAAGAGTAAAGGTAGCGTTTTCATTGCTGTGGTGGCGCTTTTCGCTTCTCTCTTGTCGGTTTCTATGTAGTTGATCTCACATTCCATGTACTCACAATAAGTGCCTCTGACCTTCGTGTCCACCGGAAGGATCATGGTTCATCACCAAAAATGATCAGGTTGCAGGGACTCAATGCCCGATTTCGGGAACTTCCACTTTAATGCCTGTGGCCAAAGGGGCAACGCACCAGCTGTGATGGGCGCAGAGAAGTCTGGCGTGCTTTGGCGATCTTCATTCATTCATACGAGAGTCGGGAAGATGCATTTGATTTCAGATATCACAAAAGCTCCCACCGCAGCTCTGCACATCAGACGCGCAGGTTTTACGGCATCCCATGAAGTTTTATGATATGGATAAGCAATTACTAAAACAAGTACGATGAAGTTGCTTGGTATAGGCAGCAACATCATGTGCATTTTGTACATGGAGTCATCGTTTAAGAGAGCGCTACGAACCAAGGAAAAAACATGACATTCCAACAGATAGCTATACATTAGGATAGGACAGGATTACAACAGAAACCTATACATTACAGATTTTTCAAGAACATCTCCAAAGATGAGTATCAAATCATTTATACACAATTCATTTACAGTACACGACCTCCTCTTGTTCCCGGAAGAGTTGAGAAGCGATATTCTGCGACTGAGTTTGAGTTTGAGACTACTCAATTACGACGACTACTTCTATCTGCGTCTTGTACCCGTCACTGAAGTGAAATTCGTCACTGAAGTTGCGAAGCGAGGACCCCTCAAATCCGTATCCGACTGTGATTTGTCATCCAACAAGTATGTACATGATCGCTAATAATTAGTTGGTGCGAGGGAGTTGTACCCTAAGACGAGAAAAAATTATAATAACCGGCCAGATTCTTCATGTGCTTTGCGCGTCGCTGAACCCAAGCTTACGCCTGACGAAGAGGTAAAAACCAGCGGCCTAGATTTGCAGTACGCCTCGACTGAGAACGAAGCGAAAAAACAACTAAAGAAGCCTTATTATATTAGGATGAGCTTATTGATTATTCGGCTTTTGACCATTATCATATGTTTTCAAATACGCGCTCAGGGTATGAATTACTTATACGTATATGCTCGTTAATGATAAAAAAAATGGAGGAGACAATCAACAATTATCATGTCTATGACAAATAAACTCAACCACACGCTCAGCAGCTACGTATCAAAGTGAAGGTCTTCGCTAAGATGGACTTTAGGTGTTTTCTATACATATGAATCGATCAGAATTAAGTGAGTCGAAAACGCTAGGCATCTATCCAGAACTCTGCGTCTTCGGTCACTGAAGACTGACCGACGAGTCAGATTTCTAGATAGAGGCGTCCTATGCCATAATAGTGGCGGAGCCGACCTAACTAGAAAAAAGAAAGACCAGAGGAAGATAGAAAAGAGAAAAGGGCAACTATCAACCAGTATACTCCTATAAACTAATTAAGCACCGGCGCTATCGTCGTCCTGTCAGCCCCATAGGTCTCACCTGCGAACGCAGGCCGGAGCCCTGTGCAACGCCTCCGAAGAGTGCTCAGCTCTCTGGTTGTGTATGATCTATGTCATAGTCAAACTTTGCTTCATGTCATTCCTGTTTTTGTTAAGGGGAAGACTCACCTTGATGTTAATGACAACTTCGTTCTGCACAAATTTTCTAGTAATTCTTGTTATTTAGTAAAAAAAACTCTGCACACAACATAGTAATCTGAGGTGATCTGTAGTCGCCGAGTCGTGTAGTTTGAGAGTTTCCTCTGAGGCAGGGGAATGGGACCACGACTCAGCGGCCGCTCGCCTCGTTTCCTAACTTAAAGCAGCAGGCTAAGCAGCATCGCCTGCTTTTGCACAGATTACGACGGATTCTATTACATTTTCGAAGAAAGCGTCGAGATCCATCGTCATCGCCACCTTCACGTTCGCAGGCTTTCCCCATGCGCCGTCAAGATCTACCACTGTTTGCCCGCTGCACAGGCTCGATCCTGTCTCGATCTCGACGCGATGCTTTTCCACGCGAAACGAGTTTGGCGACCAAATATAGAACAACGCGCACGGATCATGTACCGGATAGTTCTGTCCATATATTAGACCTCACTTATAATATTCACCTTGAAAAGCATTTTTGGCGTGTTTTTCCCTTACAAAAGGGGCCAGAGATGCTTCGTAAGATGAGTTACTATAAGCCTTAAATAAACCACGTTGTTTATCGGGCAGGAACGGACGTTCACATGCCCTTTGCCTGTGTGCCGCAAGATGTCGGTCAATGTGCGGGAAAGTCGGGAGGTATCTGGGGACACGCGAGCAGCCATCTTCGCAAGAAATTCTTCGCCGACTAGGGCCCTTGAAGTTAAATCCAAAGGCACCATCACTGTTTCGCGGAGACGGTCAGCGTAAACCTCCAAAACATTTCTTAGAAGTGCAACAAGTGCGATTCTTATCACTCCCTGCTAAGTTGTGATCCAATTGTTCATTGATGATCTCTACAAGAACTCCCTAGTACTGTTCGAAACTGACCTATACAATTACAATGCTATTGATTCATTGCTATTCATGATAGATTGAAGATACAGTAGAAAGTAGTAAAACTACAGTTTATTTTGTCATTGTGCCATATAATTCGTGCTGCTTCGGGATCTGCAGCCATGTTGAACTCGACTGCCGAATTCATATTCCCTAGAGTCACTGCGCCACCCATAAAAACCAGCCCGGCAAGGTGGGGACAAACCTCTCGGCCGTAGAGTGAAAAGAGCAAGGCGGCGTTCGTCAAAGGCCCCGTGCAAAGCAACCAACACGTGCCGGCAGGTGTGCTCATAATTGCTCGTCGCATGGCTTCGACTGCGTGCTCACTTTTGCCGTCGTGATCAGCCACCTAAAAAAATATGGATACTAACTACTAAAGAGGTCAGTGTTCTTCGTCGGCGTGGACATTACGTTGAGGCCTAGAGTTTCGAGGCCATGATCATCGCATGAATAATTGTAAGTCGATGATGATTGAAACCGAAGTAGACCAAAACATTTTACACTATTTCAAGCACGAGATTGTCTCACACGAATAATTATACAACAAATTTCTCAATGAAACTACAAGAAAGAATCAAAAAGCCAAAAAATTCTACTTCGAGCTGCTCGAGCACGTCCGACCCATCCAAACCCGATTCCCCGTGCACTTCTGGGACGTATTTGCATGGCCTGAGCAAAGGTCGCTCCGCCCCAGCGTAAACACGCACGTCCGATCGCCCAGCTATTAGAGGACGAGCATGAGGTTTACAACTCACGAGATCATAAGTACCTTCAACATCTTCAACATCAACTCAGTAGCTAATAAATCGCATACAAAAGTAATGCTTCCTGAAAGTGAAATTATTAAAAAATGTCCTTCATAGTAGAGTCATTTCGAAGTTCGAAACGACTCCACTCTATAATCCTCTTTCTGTCCGTTTTTTAAGCTAGTATAAAATAAAAACAAGTACTTAATTATTCATCGTTACGTTTACGCACGAAGAAAATCTGAGTCACTTCTCTGAACGAATATTAGGGACTTAATGATAGATGCAGCATCTTCCGCGCGTTCTTCGTCACCTTGTCGAGGGACACATTCCCGGTGACGGTAGACACGCCCAGCAGTCTATGCCCACGCTCAGCGGACGCCATCACCAGCGCAACTGCGTCATCTACACCCGGATCGCAGTCTAACCACAGCGACGATTCCACCTCGGGTGCCATTCTCTCTGTCATCTTCTGTTCTTCCCTCTTTTCAGTAAGTACTTTTTTTAACGAATGTTGGCAGGACGACCCAAACCCAAGGGTTCAAACACAAAAAGAGGAGCGAGAGAAAATAATCGACTTCCACGAGGTCGTCTATTTGAGATCGAACTTCGTGAAGAGAACAGTGGCCAAAGAACATATAAACAGGCCGAATGGGGAAAGGTTTTGGGGGGTCTTATGGTGTTTACAAGTTGCAACTTGACAAACTACCACACTCAAACTACACTTAATCTGCATGAAGTTCGGAAAGCTAAGCCTTGGCAATGCGCACGCTGTGAATCTAGTGCCTGTAAGTTACTTACTCCGCTGGGCCTTAGGAGCGTCGACTCGAAGATTCTCAGCCAGAGGATTCGCGTACCACTGGGCTAATTGACAGAGTGCCTCTGGTGCTCAATCTCTCTTCATCTCCTCAGCTTCGCAGCGCTTTTTCTCGGGACTTGTGTTCCTGTTTACTCACCTCAGACATGATCTCCATCTTTCGACGCCTACTGCCGAACTTTGGACGACAGAAAATCTTCTTTTTCCGTCCGTCTTCATCCTCCTTATCCACAACTCAAACAACTTTTTCTCCTTCCAAAAATACAGATGTAATGATTTTGTTTTTAGGCCTCCACAGGCATGGAACGCTGACAGAAGATCTCTATTCACTTTGAACACGGCAACAGCAAGCCATTTTTCTCTCATGGAGTGAAAGCAGATAGATCTACAGCATGCTTTTTTTTTGTGCTTCTCTCTTCTTTGCAAACAAAAGTTGAGTCGTTCATCTGCGAACCCACAGATAAACCGCGAAGTGGCGCCAAACGTCAGGTGACAATCCCGAGCTGTCTTAGTTGCGAAATATCCGCTTCTCGAGACTGAATGAGATCGTCACACATTGACACCGAAATTTCCAATAACGTAGTATCCTCTTTCACGAGAGAAGGGCTCACGAGATGCCCTGGGCCAGTCCATGAGTGGTCCAGTCCGCGGCTCTTTCCTCCGGTCGTTGTCAGTAATGTAGGGCCAAGAGAAGTGCCACGTGCTGCGGCTGCTCCTCGTGGTACTGCCATGAAATGTGGGTCCACCAGCTGTATGGAAGTCTGCGGAAGACGCTGAAACTGCGGAAGCTTAGCAGAGCTCACAGATATTCACAAGTATTCTACTGAGAAAGTCCATCTTCTCAGGATTCCCCTTAGGAACTTGCGAGGGTACTCTAGGGAAATGAATCCAATAAGCTTCGTGGCAAAAAGACGAGTGCTTCTATACCGAATAGCCTTGATTTTCTACTGTTTTTCGGAAGATTCTACATCTCCATCTATAGATGACGAAGTTTCTACATCATCTACAACAAACCTTAAGAAGAGACGAGCCACAGCTGGGAAGCGGCACAAGCGGTATCTCCGCAGACGCAGTGCTCGCTGCTTCGAGGTACACACCTACTTCTTCCTGCAAGCGATACATGGACGCAACGACTGCCTTCACGTCGATCTGCTTCTTAAGATTTGTTGGCTTCCTGGTGCGATTGGAAACCCGAGGAATCACCAAACTTGTGCTACATACTGACTCGTGCTGTGTGCTGTCCATGAGCCAGGCAAGAAGAAAGGCCTCGAGCATCCACGGCCGATGCCAGTGAACCACGCAGTGGTCAAAAACGTAGCACCAGTCTCGACTCTCGCTTTTAGCGCTACACCCTCAAAAAAGGTTGACATCCTCCTTCTAGTTGTTCCTGTGTAATCTTGTCAACTTTAGAAACTTCAAGAAACTACAGCACTGTCGAAATGAGAAGAGCAAGAGCCTTCCTTTCTGAGGTGTGTATTTTGCAAAGCTTTCCTTCTAGCTAGCAGGAGTAGTAGTGGCTGCAGTAGCCAATACATTCGCGCCACGAAATTGAAAATGAACTTCGCAGTTATGAGGATCTGCATACCGGGATAAGCAGAAACAAAAGTATACGGGGGCTACGCACTTAAGCATTCCAAAACAACAAACACAAAATAAAGCACAAACACGCCAAGCACAAAGACGCCTTAACGATTGCAGCAAGACCCAGAGTGCGTATCAACGGCCACAGCAACGTCGCAGCGACAGACTCCTCATGCCTTCGAGATCCACCATCTGCCAGGGATTGACCCGTCTCATCTTTCGAGCAGCCGACGTCATTACTTAGAGCTACCGCAGTCGTGTGGGTCCCTCGCAGCATCATTCAGCTTGTTCTTGTTGGGCCCTTTCTTTAAGATAGTACTAGATCATAATCACACGCATCTCAAATTTAGAAAAAGAGCTTTATTTGCCCCTAACTACTTATCCCCACACAGAAAAAGGGTAGGTGTCGTTTCGAGGATGCACTTTGACTTTCAACAGTTTCTAAAACCAAATTTCCAGATGGTAAATGGTAACTTCACATTGTAAATTGATTTAAGTAAATTCGATACCAACAGATGAGTCTTAAATTCGATACTCTGCTGATACGTGAGCGAGTGCACGACGACAGGTTTTCGTACCGTGTTGGTCCTAGGTGGTCTGCTACCAACCCGTCGAATCCGATGGAGACGGACTCGGGGCAACTCCCGTCGCCCGCCCAAAACCAGTCGCGGGCATAGAGCAGAAAGAACGACAGCAGCAGTTCGAACAGGACGTTTATGTGCAGTTCGTAACCCAAGTTGTTTTCGTTCTCCCCGGATCCAGGTATGTAACCCAGCCCATGGAGCAGCGCTGCTATAAAGTCGTTGACAACGTCTGCACTGCCCTGCTGCGAAAAGAGTGCGGGACACCAGCGTCTGAAGGATCGCGACAAGCGCTCCTCGAGACTCAGAACGACCCTTACAACATTGTCAGGCGAGCAAGGTGCTTGTAGTTGTTCATCAACAAAAGACCCATCTGCGTCTTCTCTGAGAGCGTCTTCTCTGAAAGGCAGTCGTAGGAGAAAAACCCAGTACAAGGGACGCAAGCGGTTCGAGAACTGGCCACGGCGCATCAGTAACGCCTTGCACGCGGCATGAGACACGAGGCCGTTATTTCGAGTTTTGTCGAGCAATCCCGCACCACGCAAGTTGGCATGCAAGAGCGGCAAGGCGTGCCGCTCGAAGTCTTGCCTCGTTTTCACAACGAAGTGGTGACACTGCGTAGAAGTCGCACTTGCACTTGCTCCTCGTTGCGTAAGCGTAACAGAAGTTCTTGCAGATAAACTAGTCAATTCGAGATGGTTTACTCCGCTCGTTGCCACTGTGGTTTTCGACGTCGATGGCGCGTTCGTCGTTTTGCTACTTCCGCCGAAACCCGCAACGGTAGCTTCATCTTCAGGGCTTCCGCTCGATGCGGGGTACCGAGTGCTCTTGCTGCCGTGTTTTGACGCTGGGTCGGCGCGGAAAGAACTGCTACTTTCTGAGCCGCCGCATTGTTCTCTTCGATGCTCTAGCGCACGTTCGTCCTTAAATCTGCTGTCGCGCGCCGTCTCGATGAAGCCACCGCCCCCAGCTGTTGCAACCAGTGATGGCGTGACGAAAAAACTGGTCGTTGCATCTGCAGCACTAATCGGGTTCGTTTCGTGAGAGCGGGCAGCCTGCATCGACCCGAACTTCCGGCTGTAGGCCCGCTCAGCGTCAGCGTGGGTGTAGGCGAAACTCGACAAATTGCCACCTAATATTTCAGGACTATTCGGGAGCAGCGTCATCGGCGTCACTGTTACTGTATCCCCCAGCCCCATGGGACCCTCGACATCGGCATCGCATCGACCTGGGAAATTCTCCTCCGAGCTTGATGTTACGCCGTTCACCATGCTCTTCACTTTCTGGAATACTTCTTGTCTCCCATTGACAGCGGAAGAAGCAGGTCCACCTCCAGATAGTATAGTATATGAATTCGAAGGCAAAACCTCGTCCATCTCGCTCTCTTCAGTGGTTGTAGTGACGGCGGCTTTCGTAGGCAGTGTTCCGCATCCGAAGACTGCCGCGCGCCGCCTGGCCTCACGCTTCGCGAGAGCACGGCACACATCCAGATCCCGCACCTCGAGCTCGCCGCCATTCCCGCGCAGCAGCACGATTCGTCTCGAAAAGCAGTCCAGCGCAAACCGCGTGAAGGGGGCACCAGTGGCAGCTGCCTCCAGGACAAACAGAGGCTCGAGCGTCTTCGTGCGAAGGACGCGGACAGACCCGTCATCAAACAGCAGGGAAACAGCACTCGAGAAGGCCGGTTCTTTTGCTTGCCGATTCGTCGTCCCTGTAGTTTTCAACATAGGAGTGCAACGACTGGAAGATGCCGTCAATGCACGTGAGTCGCTGAATGAACGATCTTCTGCAGGATACACAAGACCGTCCCGCATCCCACCGTGGCTGGCCCCAAGAACAGCGTTGCGAAATGCTACGTCAGCAATCGATGCAGAAGCCGAAAGTGAGCTAGTGCCATGAAGAAATTGTGTGCTACAAAAATTCTCAGTAGGAGCCGGCGTCATGGCCACCTGATGCAACTGCATCTGCAACACAGCGGGACCGGAGAAGGACGCGTCATGCACTGGCTGAGACATGGAGCAGGTACGCCGCCACACACACAACCGTCTTGGGCCGACCGCAACAAGGTATTTATCGTCGCATTCGCAATACTTCAGCTGGCAGGACGATGACACCTTACCACTTCGTTCATTCGCGATCATTAGCGTTTCCCCATGTTCCCGTTGCACTTTGAAATCCGCATCCAAGAACGCGAGATTTCCGTTTCCGTACAACAGCGCTAGCAAGGGAGCAGGACTTGTTGTAGAAGACGAACCATAGTTAGTCGATGTTGACCGTTCATCCGTATCACCTCCTTGATGTTCGCTTTGAGCACTGGTAGGGAAGTTACTTGCCGCAACAAAAGCTGCATCCGCGAACGGCGACGCGGAAGAAAAGAGTGACCGCAACCGCGTCCACGTCCCAACATCCCACAAAATACAAGCGTCGGAACTCAGCGAAAGACAGAAGGCAGAGCAGCCGGCCGCACGAACGGCACTAATGGGACGCTGGTGGCCCGTTGAGCGAAGCTGCGCGGTCTCCCGACGACCATCAACAGCGAAAACACGGATTACTGTCCGAACCACGACAAGAACCTATTTTTCACAAATTGAAGTTCCTTGTCTCTTAAAAGCTAACATTGAGACTGAGAGGACCTGAAGAGCTCCACTAGATGAAGCGCTTCATCATATGGGTGCTGCTGCTTCGGTTGAACTCCCTAAATTGGATCATGACAAGTGTAGTGAAAATCTGTACAGCTGCAGCCTTCTTGCATGCAGGCAGCACAATTCGAAGTAAGCCATTAATCGTACAAGTAACTCAAAGAAACTCCACATAATTATTCACTACACTCTTAAAAAATAGTACTTCCTCCAAGCGTCGTTTTGTGAAAGCAAGGCAGGAAATCGGGAGACCGTCTGGGGCAGGCCTTACAACAGTTGCAAATCGGTTATGGCCGAGAAAGTACAAGACCACGCCTCCCTTGCGGTCGCCTGATGCCAAAACTTTGCCGTCCCCGTTGAACGCCAGTTGGAGAATCGGGTTGCCATACTTAGAGCTCAGCGAAATCCATCTCAAGACTCATATTGAAAGTGCTCTCCCGTCACATGGTGGCAGCACTTCTTGTGGGAATACTGTCAATACCGTCACAGTAATATCTCCAAAGTACTACTAGGTACAGGCACTCTTGTATCTACTTAATATTGGACACCTTCCTTCCAGAATACCCGCTACAACTTTTCAATCTACTTATGGACCAATCATATCTCCAAGATGCATGGCACTAGAGGTACTTCTGAATTTGGATATGGATTAGCTGGCGACTTAACGTGACCGCTGCTAGCGCACAATAGTCGTCCTTCGCGGTCTGGAGTTGGGCTTTGCTGTGGCCAGAGGCGTCCTGCGGCATTCGCTTCCAAGCAGATACGTTGTTCGTGGGCTGCAGAGCGCGCTTTCCGACCACCCAACATGATCCTTTTTCCGCTATCAAAGACTGGAGCTGCTTGTGAGGAAGCTAGCCCGGGATGAATGTTGGTAAGTACAACAATAATGATGTCAGAAAGTAGAAAAGCCTTACGAGATGCATGTTGATGACCACCCAACAAATAGACCGTTGATATCAAATGGAAAGAACCATAGAAAAACGGATAATTTATTACTCAAGAACGCGTTGATTCAAAACTCACGATACACAAAGATCACATTTTTCATCTACGTCTTTAATCGCTCTGTTGCAAACGTGAGCAATTAGCTCTGTTCTCTCTCGTGGTTTCTACTAAATTTTCAGACGTCGTTAGTATTTAATTTTGCATCCTGTATGTAACTTTTTTGCTTTTGGCCATTTTTAGACTCTCTATCTAGTCACAGCTGAACAACCAACAAAATATCAATCACCACAAGGCACACAACTTTCCTGTAGACATAGTATTTCTTTCAAGAAACCCCACTAGAAATGGACAAAGGCTGAACACCACGGTTCTTAAGAGCGAGCATGGCGTATGCTGTTTCGGTGGTCGTGGTGTCTTTTCTCCCGAATAATGTATGCATTTACCCATACCTCCAACTGAAATTCCAGTCTTTCTCGAGTACTTTCAGGGGACTTCGTGTCTTTTACAAAAATAAAGCTCAAAGGAATCATTCGGCAGTCTTATGCTGCCCCAAAACAAGACTATGCTGAGGTTCACAGCTTGCTTTCGTTGAAAATACCAATAAGATCTGCAGAAAGCAAACACCTCGACTTCTTGCTTTGTAGCTCAACACACTTCTACCGCTTGGAAGTAGTAATCATTTTCGCGGCGGGTTACGAAGCAATAGTACAGGTCAAGAAGTAGTAATAATATCTATGGCTAGTTGTAGTCTTGTAGATAATAATTGGTGTCGCGAAGTAATTATAGTCCATACAACCTTTTTCATGGTAATGCCTGATCAAACGAACAGCCGCTTTTTACCTACTTTTAGTTCTATGGTGATGTAAGTATACTAGTATAGCCACAATACGAATCAGCTGCAACAAGATCCTCAATCTTATTCTTGGAGTGAGTAAATAGTAAAGTTTTAATCGATCTTGTAGCCCAACGTTAGAATACAATAAGAACAATATGAATTTGAATATAGTTCTGACACTAATTTGCGTCGTAAGTTCGAATGCCTCCAGCAGCATGGGCTTGTGCAGCAAGTATGTGAACACAATCAAAGGACACATCATCATCAAGAATTCAACATGTCACGACTGGTCTTTTAAAGTAACCAACGAGGAACAAAAGGCGACTTGTCAATGGCAATGCCACGAGCCGCCACCTGATGGATTCATTCATTCAACGTCTTCGTGTTCCAGCAGTTTTGTTCGCGGACGATACGGAAAATGGTCCTCGCGGACCTGCTAGTTTTCCATCCACAATGCCCTTGCTCGACGTACCACAATGCCCTTGCTCCGCGCCAAAAAATGAAGGCGACAATACCAATACTATTTAATAGTAAAGGAATGAAATTAAGAATAAGAACTCTAAGTCTAAATCTACTATATAGAACAAGAGCAACTACTAACCCTCTAATTCTTGAAGTTGTGGTGTTGTAAAAGAAGGGCATGAACGTCAACTGCCGCGTCCGCGTGCCCACGTACCTTGCCTTGGGAGAGTTTTTACTCGAAGTCTGAATCTAGATCTACTATATACTGTAGGAAATTGATGCTTGAACTTAATGAATTGACGAGTTTTGGTTAGTATACTCGATGCGATGGATTATAAGGACGGGTATAATTGTGCATACTACAGCCCCCGAGGCATCATAGTCAAGAAATAGGTGAAACAAAGGTCGGTGAAACGACAGCGCTATCAAGTAAAGGCAAAGAAACGCACTAAGCACAATCAAGAGTGAAAGATACGATGGAACTGGACTGATCGCGTCACCATAATTCAGACGGGTCGTGTACAGATCCCTTGGCTTGCGTTGCTTTACTCTGCTTGCAGCTAGCCGAGAGCACTGCCAGATGCTGTATCTCGCAGCGCTCATCGTCGTACACGTTAGCCAGTAGTTGTACCACTGCTGGCACAAAGCTCCATCCCTCCGGGACAAGGGCGGTTGCGTTGACGGAGGACCGCTGTGCCACTCGACCAGTACCATTAGGTTTATTCGCCCCTGCATTGCCCGTTGATGGAATTGAGACTGTCGTGGACACACTGGCGTCGTCATCCTCGTAAAAAGAGCTGCAAGAACTGGTTCCAGCACGGTGAATCCGTCCCTTGTTTACGTTCTACTTAGAGGTTACTTGCTACTAAACCATTGCATCATTCCGGTACAGAAGAATATCCTGCTTGACCTTTGCATGACCCCCGAAATGAGCAGCACCCTCGATATATTATTTGCAACTGGCTTGAAAAAGCGTTGGTCCTTCGATAACCGTATTTTCTACTTCAAAAACTACCTCTTAAAATATCAAGTAGTAGATTGGATTATCATCTTAATGCTCTGGGAAGGCTGATATACTTTTATGCCGCTGTTGCGCTCTATGATTTCATCCTCCCGGTGCGCGCCCTCCCACGCACCCCAGACGAGCTTCTCCATACTCAAATGGCACAGCTGCGTTTCCAAAAACGACTGTTTCGGCAGAGAAGGGGGTACTTGCGCACTATGCGGCAGGGCAGCTGTAGTTTTAGACATTGCCATAGTCGTCCATTTCTGGATCTACCCTTTACAGGTATCTACAGAAGTTCATCTACAAGTATAATTATCTTAAGGAATTAATACTGCATCCATCTTTCTAGAAGTATCGGCATCCATCTTTATCTTTCTAGCATCTAGAGGGGAAAATGAGAAGAAAATACCTCTCGGGGATAATTGCGGAAGTGTCTAGCAAATTCAAGGCGATAGATACTGACTACTTCTACTCACGACTGAGATGATATCAAAAATCTGAATTAAATCTCTACTAGCCGTAAGTGTTACTGCTGGACCTGCAGCACCGCCCGCGCACATCGGACTACTTGCAGAACAAGCCTGGCGCTGCCGCTCACTATGTCTTCTCTCCGCCTCGACCAATTCTGCCTTCACCAATTCTCGCAATTGTGATTCCAGAGCTTCTCGGTCATGGTCCTGTTCTGCGATCTGCTCGCGCAGTGCCGCCAAGTCCTGGTCTCGGGCATCGCCAGCGCCTGCGGCCGCCAAAAGACGTGCCTCCATACTCTTTATTTTGTTCTCCGCTAGTCGAATCTTCTGCGCGACCCCCTCATCCTTACTTTCCACCTCAGAAACACGTCGGTTTGCGGACTGCAGGCACTGAGTTGGATTTCGATTTTATTTTGAGTAAGTGTATACAGCTACCATACGAGTAGGAGGACCTCTCCATCAAACTAACACTCATGCATCACTTTCGATAACAAAGGTAAAAACAGGCTACAGGAACAAGTAGCTGGGAAACATTCTATTCAACAACCGGAACCATACTCATTGATAATGCAATGTCACTACGCAGTACCAGTACCTTGTAGATGCCCATTTTTTCTTTCGACACCGTGTGTAAATTTTCCTTCTCGTGTTTGAATCTCTCGCGTACTTCGGCCAAGGACGAAAGCTGTAAGGCCTTTTTCGCTTCTGCGTCCGACCGCTTTTGCATCATCGCTGAGAGTGCGCTGCTCGCACTCTCGATGGCTTGCTCCCTTGTGTCGTGGCCTTGTTGCAGGTCCTCCTCCGCGGTGGAGAGATTCGACACCAACTGCTCGTTTTCCGCCTCAAATTGCTCATTCTCCTTCTCGATTTTGGTAGGCAGTTCACGGACGCGCTGCTCCAACGACTTCAGCTCTAACGAGAGAACCGCGTGCCGCGCGTTCTTTCGCGCAGTCTCACAGCTCGCGGCGTGCAGCCGCTCCTTCTCTTTCACGGAAGCCTCCATCTGGACAATTTCGTTGGTCAACTGCTGGTTGTCTATGCGCGTGCCCTTTAACTCGTTCTTGAACCACGCGGTTTCATCCACTGCTTGCTGGATTTCACCTACTAGCCTGTCTCGCAGCTGCGCCTTGTCCTCGGACACTGCCTGCAGCTCCTGGACTTTGTCAGCCCTCTGGGCCACATCCGCGCTGTCTCTCGCCACCTGACCACGCAGAGCTCGAATCCGCACAGGCGCGTGAATATCCGGAACGCACAAGCCCATGGGCGCCTGGATCACGATGTTGCGGCTACTGGAATTCTGCAAAGGAGCTGGCGCGGGAAACGAACCAGCACCGACGTCGCTTGTTGGCTGCTGCAGATTTAGATCCCCCTCGTACTGAGCATGCGCTGCTGCACCGGAAGAACTAGCACCAGGACCAATTATATTCATATTGTTCAATCCGCGTGCTCTAGAATGCGGCTGAAACGGCTGCTGTCGTGATCGGCTTCCATTGCGCATGAGGTGCTCGCTTCCCCCAGTGAGAGTCAGCATTGGTGCTTGGCTTAGCTGCGGATTCGTGATCTCCATTTGACTACTTCGAGCAGAAAGTGCCCCGCCTGCCATTTGCTCGGGTCGCCCGAACGTGAGCGGCGATACTTGCCGCGCCCGCGCGCTCGCCGGCTGTCTGAGTGCCGGTGGCGACGCAGCACCCGGTCGTCTCGTATGTGCCGCAGCCTGTGCTGTGACCGAGTTACTGTAACCCGAGCCACAAGCCGTCGTCGGTCCGCATTGCTGCACCGTGCTAGAATACTGCGCCTGGTGTGCTCGTACACCCGTTGCTGCGGGCCCGCTCATATTCAGTCTCACGTGGGCGCTTCTTCCAGGCCCTTCCACGTGATGCACCCTCGGAGACGGACCGCCGCCCCTGCTAGTGTTGCGCATGCCTGGTGCTGTCCCGTACTGTGGTGGAACTGCTCTGCTGGGGCCCGCCGTGGTTGACGTCGAGCTTTTGCTGGAAGGCGGCGTGCGCCGCAAGTGTTCTCCGCTCGACGGCACGGATGTTTTCGAAGACGCGGCAGTGCTCTTGCTCGCCGTCGTGCTTCCCGTTCTGTGGCCTTTGGCTTGCAGTTTGTTCCACGTCCGACTGTCACTCCCGCTCGCTTGCCGATGAATATGCGGGTTCGCGCGACGACTACCTGAAGCTGCAGAAGTGCCGCTCCCGACCCCACTGGCGGTGCTCCGCGACATCACCCTCGTTGACTCTCCCGTCCGCGACAACGTACCGTTCAAGCCGCGGCTAGTGTTCAGTGCGCCACCGCTGCGAGATAAACCCTGTGCAGCTGGTGGGCTCGGACTGCGCTGCTGCAAGACTGCGCCGCCAGCTCTGCTGCTACTTAAGAACCCGCGCGAAGAACTGACGCCGCCGCCCACAGTGAGAGAACCGAACGGTGGCAGCAAAGAGGCGGCCATTGACGGCGGTGACGGAACCCGGACGCCAGCTCCAGGCCGCAATCGCAGTGGGCCTCCCGCGGGACCACATGTTGGGTCAGCAACTTCATCTTGGTTGGGTCTCGCCGAAGAAGCCGCGTGACTCGGACCAACTAGCAGTTGTGGCACCACACTAAAAAACGGCAACGGTGCAGTCCCATTTTGCTGCAGTCGCGGACCCACAGACGTTGACCTGCTTACGCTGTTGCCTCCAACGACGTGTCCCCCATCAGAAGGATCGCCTCCGATGGTGCCTGGTGTTTGAAATAAAGTGTGATTCAATCAAAAACGTGACAGCAATCCACATGATAGATACTTTTAGCAAGAGGTATAACCACAAAAGTAACAATTGGTGTGCCTGTGCCCATCTTTATTGATCCACAAACACATAATCCAAAAAAGATTGTGACCACCACCTACCAGGAAGAAAGCTGTTACAGATACAAACAGCAAATATTCATAGTACCCGCTGTCCCTATCCATTGCTGAGCCAAAGAGGGACCTCTGGCTTGGGCACTCGCGGACCGGAGGACAGCTGTTGGCGCATATGCCTCCACTCCTCCTGCTGGACCGAAATTTGCGAAACTAACAGGTTGCAACTGCAACCGGCTTCCCCCGGTCTGAAACAGCATCCTTCGTCTCTTTAACACGTAGTTCAAAAGAAATTATTGACGAGAAAGCAAATAGTTGTACTTCTACATCACCCCTGGGTAAAAATCCACGAAGATCCTGATGTATAGATGTAATAGTACGACCCCCGCCGCGGTAGTACTTCATTATGACTAAAAACCTAGCTCATCGAGTAGGAGTAAGTAGTCTAAGAAGCAAGTGTACTAGAACAAATGTAACTCCAGAAAGGAACAGGTTGCCATTCAGAATCAGAACGCCTATTTGATTTGTCGTCCCGAATGCCTGCAATAATTACGGTAAACACATAAAATCCAGCATCTTTCCGCGCAAACAGGTTGATTAAAAAGAGTAACGAGAAGCATCCAGGGTCTCTACTCAGATTAATCAGAATAGGGCTTCACTCAGACGACTCGGAACGGCTTCCTTCACTCGATTCGACGACACTACTTCAAGAAAAAGGACAGCGAAGCAGACACTCATAGGCGTCGTAGGTTGCTGTCTGAAGCCCGTCGACATCCCCGACTCAGGCTGCATCCGACATTGTTAATCATCAACTTACTGGAGTATTAGGCTCACATAACCACACTATGCCGCACAATTCAGCCACGTTAGTGCTCTCAGTTATAGTCACTTAAAGGTAAAGATTGCGGGTAAAGTTGCCTATCTCGACAATAAACTAGAACGATAAAATCAATAATCTTATCGTAATTATGTTGCTGTCTCAGACGATACCGGAGCTGGCAAAGCTAGTATTATCTCCAAGGACAAGGATAAGCAAGCGAAAATTGCAGCCGACAGTAGCAAGATCACCTCTCCCGAACACACAGAAAGCCTAGAGAATACCTACAGAAGCATTGCTTCCGTCATTCACTGAGCGAAGTGTGTAATCATTCAACAAATACAATGCACCAATCATTTTTTATACAATGAAAGTCAAATCTTTTGACTCTGTATGAGTTTTTCCTTTACACGGATAAATACTCAATTTTTGATTTTTCACTTTGATTTTATATCCCGCAACATCGTGAAGCAATTCTTGACTCGATCCACTAGTAGGAACTGAGTTTGTATAATGGTATCAACACTTGCACTTTATATGTCAATACCACAGCACCTTCTTTGCGTCGATTACAATTTAATGCATATCAACATCTTTGAATAGGTTTGCGATAATTCAGTCAGAGAAATACGGAGTTGCTCTTTGGTTCCTTGAGAATGATTGATTGCGATAACGATGTAGTTGTATGTAAGCCGAAGTACGAGATTGATAAATGATAAGTGTGATGAAGATGTTGACTTGATAGATATTAAGACTGCAAGTTTCTGCTATCGCTTTTGTCTAGTCTTGCTTCCTCTTGTTGTTGTATGTTCCATGCTTATAAATATATAATGATTCAGGTCTCCTTCTTGCCTGATTTTGCTCATTGTTCCTTTTTTGTAATATCTGATTTGTATTATTGGTGCCTTTAATCTGCGGAATGAAGCTTAACGAATTTCGAAAAATGTCTCATTTTTTCTGCTGCGCTGACGTTTTGTATTTGACATGTGTTAATTCTTTACCTGAGTTCGCATTCTGTTTGTCTGCTCACGTTCTTGCCTTGTAAGTGTCACTTTTTCTGATGCAACCACGCTGAACATATTCACTACAATTTCTGATTGTCTAATGATGCTAATTAGTACCCCTTTGCGTTTTGTTGCTTGTTCTCTAACTGGTCTACCCGTTCACTTTGGAAAGTCGGCTTCTTTTCCTTTTTAAGGTTCTGAATTAAGCATGCAGATATTCTCGATGACACAGATAATAACAATTTGAGAAATAAAAGCATAGGACGATACCATACTCACGCACCAGCAACGTTCCCGACCTTCTTACGCCACATCTAGGAGCCTACTTCCTTCAATCAGGCTGACAAGTGTGTTGAGAACGACATTAGCTAATCATTTGCCCTCTGCCCATTCTCACGGCGAGCGCGGATCACAGGTCGACCGGAAAACGAGGACTGCGTACTAGAATTGTGCTTGTCTCCTCGTTTCGTATAATGCCAGAACATTTAATAACTAATCCTTACCGAAATAGAAACGCTTCTCTTTAGTAGGTCGAAATACGAAATGATGCGCGGCAGGAACCTCCTCCGCAAAATGTCTACCACTGCCCTAACGGCATCTAGTGGTAGGTAGCTGCCCCAGCCTCTTTTTCTTTCTTCATACTTGGACAAATCCCTGTCACATCCCAACGCCCCACGCAGAGGCCCGTATATGTCTACCGCAGCATACACTCGATCCCGCATAGCGACTCGTCATTCCGATTCCCGTGTCCGTGGCCGGGATGTGACTTGCGATGAGGCTTCTTTCCATTATCATGGTCGGCCCCGTCCTTGATGAGTCCATCAGCAGCGGGTATCCCATCTGAGGTGCCATCGGCTGCGCCTGGCTGCTCAGGTTGGTTACCACCTGCACTTTCCCTGCCGTCGAAATCTTCGAAGCTGTCATCTTCCTCACCGTCATCGACCGCTGACGCGTTAGGATCTGGCGCCACCGTAACAGCATCCGAAGCCACCTCTTCCGGGGACACTTTCTTCGGATCGTGCAGCGGCTTCTCCTTCTTGCCATCGTCCCTTCGCTTCCCCGACGGGGCCGGGGCGTGCTGCCCGCCGGTGGCGTCCTCAGCGTCTTCCCCTGGCACCTTCAGGCCGTCGTTGTCGTCCAGGCGGTCGCTGGACTCATCCGGCGCCGCAAGGCTTTCCGCGGTCGCGCTGGTGCTTTGGTCTTTATCGTCTCCGTCTGTCCTTGCAAGGTCAGACCCCTCAGTCGGCTCCAGGTGGCCGATCCCGTCCGCCCCCGCGGCGTCGGTCACCTCCTCCGACCCCAGCGGCCGCGGGCCCTTCCTGTTGTCGTCGTCATCATCACCATCGCCATCGACCGCTGACGCGTTAGGATCTGGCGCCACCGTAACAGCATCCGAAGCCCCCTCTTCCGGGGACACTTTCTTCGGATCGTGCAGCGGCTTCTCCTTCTTGCCATCGTCCCTTCGCTTCCCCGACGGGGCCGGGGCGTGCTGCCCGCCGGTGGCGTCCTCAGCGTCTTCCCCTGGCACCTTCAGGCCGTCGTTGTCGTCCAGGCGGTCGCTGGACCCATCCGGCGCCACAAGGCTTTCCGCGGTCGCGCTGGTGCTTTGGTCTTTATCGTCTCCGTCTGTCCTTGCAAGGTCAGACCCCTCAGTCGGCTCCAGGTGGCCGATCCCGTCCGCCCCCGCGGCGTCGGTCACCTCCTCCGACCCCAGCGGCCGCGGGCCCTTCCTGTTGTCGTCGTCATCATCACCATCGCCATCGACCGCTGACGCGTTAGGATCTGGCGCCACCGTAACAGCATCCGAAGCCCCCTCTTCCGGGGACACTTTCTTCGGATCGTGCAGCGGCTTCTCCTTCTTGCCATCGTCCCTTCGCTTCCCCGACGGGGCCGGGGCGTGCTGCCCGCCGGTGGCGTCCTCAGCGTCTTCCCCTGGCACCTTCAGGCCGTCGTTGTCGTCCAGGCGGTCGCTGGACCCATCCGGCGCCACAAGGCTTTCCGCGGTCGCGCTGGTGCTTTGGTCTTTATCGTCTCCGTCTGTCCTTGCAAGGTCAGACCCCTCAGTCGGCTCCAGGTGGCCGATCCCGTCCGCCCCCGCGGCGTCGGTCACCTCCTCCGACCCCAGCGGCCGCGGGCCCTTCCTGTTGTCGTCGTCATCATCACCATCGCCATCGACCGCTGACGCGTTAGGATCTGGCGCCACCGTAACAGCATCCGAAGCCCCCTCTTCCGGGGACACTTTCTTCGGATCGTGCAGCGGCTTCTCCTTCTTGCCATCGTCCCTTCGCTTCCCCGACGGGGCCGGGGCGTGCTGCCCGCCGGTGGCGTCCTCAGCGTCTTCCCCTGGCACCTTCAGGCCGTCGTTGTCGTCCAGGCGGTCGCTGGACCCATCCGGCGCCACAAGGCTTTCCGCGGTCGCGCTGGTGCTTTGGTCTTTATCGTCTCCGTCTGTCCTTGCAAGGTCAGACCCCTCAGTCGGCTCCAGGTGGCCGATCCCGTCCGCCCCCGCGGCGTCGGTCACCTCCTCCGACCCCAGCGGCCGCGGGCCCTTCCTGTTGTCGTCGTCATCATCACCATCGCCATCGACCGCTGACGCGTTAGGATCTGGCGCCACCGTAACAGCATCCGAAGCCCCCTCTTCCGGGGACACTTTCTTCGGATCGTGCAGCGGCTTCTCCTTCTTGCCATCGTCCCTTCGCTTCCCCGACGGGGCCGGGGCGTGCTGCCCGCCGGTGGCGTCCTCAGCGTCTTCCCCTGGCACCTTCAGGCCGTCGTTGTCGTCCAGGCGGTCGCTGGACCCATCCGGCGCCACAAGGCTTTCCGCGGTCGCGCTGGTGCTTTGGTCTTTATCGTCTCCGTCTGTCCTTGCAAGGTCAGACCCCTCAGTCGGCTCCAGGTGGCCGATCCCGTCCGCCCCCGCGGCGTCGGTCACCTCCTCCGACCCCAGCGGCCGCGGGCCCTTCCTGTTGTCGTCGTCATCATCGCCACCGCTATCGACCGCTGACGCGTTAGGATCTGGCGCCACCGTAACAGCATCCGAAGCCCCCTCTTCCGGGGACACTTTCTTCGGATCGTGCAGCGGCTTCTCCTTCTTGCCGTCGTCCCTTCGCTTCCCCGACGGGGCCGGGGCCGGCTGTCCGCCGGTGGCGTCCTCAGTTGTCTCCTCGTCCGATCGCGGGCTGTCTGGCTTGGCGACGTTCTTGGCGTCGTTTGTGGCGCCTCCTCCTTCGCTGCCCTCCTCGTCTTCTGGGTGGGATGGGCTTTGTGGCCCTTCGCCCACCTGGTTCGGGCCACCGCTGCCACCCGTGCGCTTGCCCCCGGGTTTGTCCTCGTTGGGACCAACATCGCGGCCCCCCGGTTCGCCCCCAGGCCTCTTCTTGTCCTTCGGTCCTTTGGTGTCGTCCGCGTTTGGCCCCCCACCCCCGCCAGCGGAATTCGCGGACGGCCATCCAGCCCCGCCACCAGACTGCGTGGTAGACGGTCTTTCACCGCCACCCCCGTCAACGGGCTTCGAGGACACTTCTTCACCACCGCCATTTTTGGAATCTTCGGCGCCACGTCTGCCTCCGCGACCACCGTCTCCGTCTCCACCGTGGTTCGGGTCGTCCTTCCTGGTCAGCCCGCCGTGGTTCGGAAGACCATCCGTGCCTCCAACAGCACCATGCGTAGACGGCTCTCCATCGCCACCCCCGCCACTGGACTGCTTAGTAGACGACCCTCCACCGTCAACCTCGGCACCTCCGGAACCAGGGCCATGTCTGCCTCCGCCACCACTTTTTCCGGATGGATCGCGGCCTCCGCCAGCCATGCCTGTACCGCCAGCAGCGCTTGATGGCTGGCCTTCACCGCCAGCAGATGAGCCTCCATCGCCCGTCGTCCTTCTTGCATCCTCACGGTCGCCTTCGCCAGATGGACGCTCTCTACCACCGTTCACGCCTCCACTAGCTATGCCAGATGGAGAGACTCTACCACCCGCCGCGCCCCCACCGGCAGCAACGCCTTGAGATGAGCCACCACTTGCCACGCCTTCGCCGCCAGCAATTTTCTTGTTGGGGTCGAAACCTGGGCCATCATCTCCGACGCCTTTTCCGCCAACGACCTGACCTTGAGCATTCACAAAGACGGGCTCAGGAGCAGCCGCGCTGCCTCCAGGACGAGACACCGGACGCGACATGCCTCCTGCTCCACCAGTAGTTCCTCCTCCAATTATACGGCCTCCTCCGCTACTCCTGCCTCCCAAGCCAGTGGCGCCTCCACTCTTTGTGTCTCCACGGCCCCCAGAGGAGCCTCCACCGCCGCCCCCAGATGAGCCTCCACCGCCGCCCCCAAGTGAGCCTCCAGCACCGTCGTCTCCCTCGTTGGACTTGGGGCCACCATTGCCGCCGGCCTCCCCCACATGTTGCGGCCCCGGCTTGTCGGGGGTCAGCCCCTTGCCGCCATTCGGGCCCGCGGTCGGACCTTGGTCGGGGTTGTGCCCTCCAGCGTCACCCCCGTGACCTTTGGAACCATGAACACGTCTGCCTCCGCCACCACTTTTTCCGGATGGATGGCGGCCTCCGCCAGCCATGCCTGTACCGTCAGCCGCGCTTGATGGCTGGCCTCCACCGCCAGAAGATGAGCCTCCATTGCCAGGCGTGCCGTTGCCGGAAACAGCACCACCTCCTTCATTAAACGGCCTTCCATCGCGATCCTCGTCACCGGACTGCGGAGGCAATGCTCCACCGCCGCCATTTTTGACGTCATCCGCGCGCTGGTCGACCGAGCCTCCTCCGCCGGGCTTGCGTCCGGCTCTGCCTGGGCCTTCTCCTCGGCCGTTAGTGTTTTCTCTGCCAGAAGGCTCTCTACCACCGTTCACGCCTCCACTAGCTTTGCCAGATGACAGACCTCCAGCACCCGCCATGGATCCTGGACTAGCAAGGACATGCGCTCCCAAACCTGCTGCTCCAGTAACCGTTATTAGATCATTACACAAAAAGAAAAGTGATTGAATATGAAGGATAAAAGAGTGCTCCAAGCTTGTCCCTGATCTCTATAAAAAAAAAATCTATAACTCAGCAGTATGCTCCGAACTGTGCTAATAGTTGTTTGAAGGCTGTATATAAGGCGGGCGACAACTAAAAATGGAAAAAAGAACGGGATTAAGCAACCAAATCCAGATGACGAAAAGGGTGACTATAGAGGGAATCGACCGAGTATGAAAGTACACCCCTATATTACTTAAAATATTGCTACAGAAGAAAGATCGAAAATCGACGTGACGCACAGCCCCGGTGTTTTCCATTGCGTTCGTAGCGTTTTCCGTCAGAAACAATGATCTTCTACTAAGGACAGAATTCAATAGTATACAAGATCCCTCTATTTATACGATTTGAATCTTCTTTTTTCGTGGATTCAAGGACAAATTGGATGAACATCACGAGTGCCTTAATGGAGACAATGCCTGCTCCTCTGTTACTTTGAGCCCGAATTCGCGGGAGGGAGGCTCCCCGATCGCCAGGAGAAACAGCTCGACCATGAAACGAATTGCCATTTCCGGTCCTCCAAACTGCAGCATCAATTGTTCGAGCGTCATTCTAACTTTGACGGCTGCGTCACCAGGCACAGATGGGCCCATCTTCACTGTCAGCTGCAGTTGCTGCATCTTCTCCACGAGGTCGCTGCCACTGCTCGGACCCATGACACTTTTTATCGCTCCAATCACGTTGCGCACTGTATCCAGTTGCGCGTTGGCCCCGACCACGATTATGCCTTGGTAGCTCTTCATAAAACTCCCCAGTTTCCCATTCAACACCGCAACACGCTGATTTGGAGTCAGTAAAAAGTTTGCTCTATCATCTATCCTTCTTAGCTAAAACTAACATCATGGCCATGGAAAATCTGAGCTAAAACTGAAAACATTCTATAGAGTAAAAAATTGTCATGACCACCACGAAAAATCTGAAAAAACACGAGAATAATCGTGAGCCATTTTCATCAGATAATCNTTTCCGGATGGATGGCGGCCTCCGCCAGCCATGCCTGTACCGTCAGCCGCGCTTGATGGCTGGCCTCCACCGCCAGAAGATGAGCCTCCATTGCCAGGCGTGCCGTTGCCGGAAACAGCACCACCTCCTTCATTAAACGGCCTTCCATCGCGATCCTCGTCACCGGACTGCGGAGGCAATGCTCCACCGCCGCCATTTTTGACGTCATCCGCGCGCTGGTCGACCGAGCCTCCTCCGCCGGGCTTGCGTCCGGCTCTGCCTGGGCCTTCTCCTCGGCCGTTAGTGTTTTCTCTGCCAGAAGGCTCTCTACCACCGTTCACGCCTCCACTAGCTTTGCCAGATGACAGACCTCCAGCACCCGCCATGGATCCTGGACTAGCAAGGACATGCGCTCCCAAACCTGCTGCTCCAGTAACCGTTATTAGATCATTACACAAAAAGAAAAGTGATTGAATATGAAGGATAAAAGAGTGCTCCAAGCTTGTCCCTGATCTCTATAAAAAAAAAATCTATAACTCAGCAGTATGCTCCGAACTGTGCTAATAGTTGTTTGAAGGCTGTATATAAGGCGGGCGACAACTAAAAATGGAAAAAAGAACGGGATTAAGCAACCAAATCCAGATGACGAAAAGGGTGACTATAGAGGGAATCGACCGAGTATGAAAGTACACCCCTATATTACTTAAAATATTGCTACAGAAGAAAGATCGAAAATCGACGTGACGCACAGCCCCGGTGTTTTCCATTGCGTTCGTAGCGTTTTCCGTCAGAAACAATGATCTTCTACTAAGGACAGAATTCAATAGTATACAAGATCCCTCTATTTATACGATTTGAATCTTCTTTTTTCGTGGATTCAAGGACAAATTGGATGAACATCACGAGTGCCTTAATGGAGACAATGCCTGCTCCTCTGTTACTTTGAGCCCGAATTCGCGGGAGGGAGGCTCCCCGATCGCCAGGAGAAACAGCTCGACCATGAAACGAATTGCCATTTCCGGTCCTCCAAACTGCAGCATCAATTGTTCGAGCGTCATTCTAACTTTGACGGCTGCGTCACCAGGCACAGATGGGCCCATCTTCACTGTCAGCTGCAGTTGCTGCATCTTCTCCACGAGGTCGCTGCCACTGCTCGGACCCATGACACTTTTTATCGCTCCAATCACGTTGCGCACTGTATCCAGTTGCGCGTTGGCCCCGACCACGATTATGCCTTGGTAGCTCTTCATAAAACTCCCCAGTTTCCCATTCAACACCGCAACACGCTGATTTGGAGTCAGTAAAAAGTTTGCTCTATCATCTATCCTTCTTAGCTAAAACTAACATCATGGCCATGGAAAATCTGAGCTAAAACTGAAAACATTCTATAGAGTAAAAAATTGTCATGACCACCACGAAAAATCTGAAAAAACACGAGAATAATCGTGAGCCATTTTCATCAGATAATCACCCGCGTTTGGACCGTGCCTATCTGGCTCTTTTCTCCCATACACAGACAAAAACTTCTTTCCAGTGTAGAGAGCGACCTCTACTGAGACTGTAGTGCCCAGAGAGGCTACTCCTGTGTGTTCTAACCAAATGTTATGTAACACTAACCTGGTCTGCCTACCCAGAATTGAAGCCACTCAGCAGCGAAGCACGTTCAAAGTAGAACTACCTATATATTTGCACAGTTATCTGTGTTTTGCTTGAAGGGATACATCTACGAGACAGAGGAAAAAACTAACCGGCTGCGTTACTTATGTGCTTTGAGCGCCGCTGGATCTAAACCCTAACCTTAAATAAAAAGGGAAGAGCCAGCCTAGATTTGCAGCACACCTCTGAGAAAAAGGGAAAAGACTTAGCATTATCCTGATATGGGAGGAGGTTACTTATTTATCGTCATTTATACAATTATCTGTAATCCATCGTGGCACTTTATGGACAACTATTCAAGAGATTGTATTGATATCGTTGATACTCCCTTTTATTCATCAAGTTGTAGCTCGTATCTTCAGAATACTGTGTGAAGAGAGTAAGGAGAGAGTATATTTAAAAACAGGAGAAACTAAGTGTTATCTGTATTCTACAAAAGAAAAGCTAGCAACTCCAATCAATTCAGAGGCGCAACCCCATGTCCTCCATTACTAGCATAGCTTACGGGTGCCACTCATCACGGCACGCCATCTGAGCCAAAACTCTGAAAAGTAGAACTTCGGATACTAGGAGTAACTGCTCTCCAGTTTTTAATAAAAGCATCTCCATTTTTAGTAAAAGCATCTCCATCTAATAAAAGCTGCTAAAAGAATCTATCATAGTACCTGCGGATTACTATATGCGCGGAGCATCAGGTCTTTCACGGGACAGGCGTCGGCAATGCCAAGGCTGCATAAACTCTCCACTTATCTTACAGCTATACAGCGTCCATCCATGCAGATTTTGATTTTGTAGTCTAGAGGTATACCTCACTTCAACTTCTGCAAGGACACTATGAAACTACAAGTGTGAATTTGGAGAAAATAAATGTCATGTTGTAACTTAAATAGATGGCAGAGTAGGTCGTGTAAGTTATCATGTACACAGCCCGCCGTCTCCATGATAACTTACACGACCTACTGTGACATCTATTTCACTCAGATATACACTCTGCGCCTTGTTGGGAATACCGGGTTGAGGATTAGACTCTGCGCCTTGTTGGGGACACGGGCTCCCTGAGCCTACTTGCTAGGAATATTACGGGCTTGTACCACATCAAACACTCTTTCACTTTCATCATTTTCAAGTAGACAATATTGAAACCGAAGACAGAGGGGTTTTGGTAGAGTACAGGCTCTGGCTCTCTGAGCCTTGCCAGGGATACCACGGGCTTCTCTGAGCCTTATTAGGGATATTACGGGCTTGAAGATTGCACTCTGAGCCCTTGTTAGGCCTTGAGGAATACGCATGTGGATGGACGACATGGCTTAAAAACTGTATCAGCGATTTCCACACGAAGTCTTTCAGGCCTTCGAGTGCATCCTCCGCCGCCTCTTTTTTTTCCTCAAGCTCCGAACGCGACTCCACACGCTGACCACCAACACCAGGACCAGGAAGACCACCAACACCACCACCAGGAAGACCACCAGCCAGCGGCCCTCCTGCTGAAATCCCATCGCCAAGAGCAAGCGCTCCCTGACCTCCGCTCACACGTTGTAGCTGGCCACCAAGCGCTCCTGTTGATATCCCCAAGGTAGAGAGCCCCCCATTGCCAGCTGCGGAAGGCTTTAGAAGAACAAGATCGTAAAAATAAATTGCAAAAGTTCAGGTAAGGTTATGGATCCTGCACATCGGGCTCCGGCACTTGGAAAAAGTAATGTTTATGTATATAAAAAGTTGCTCTCCAGTTGTCCTAGTATTCGGTAAATAGATCGAACGCGTTGCCCGGAGCGCATCCATCGATCGTAGGTACAAAGAAATAACAAACAAGTCTATATCGATCTTCACTCCTGTACCTGGTAACTGCTAATACAACTAAAAACTCTGGTAAAAATTAGACCAAAAAAGAAACTATGACCACGTTTGTTTCTGCTGAAAGGAGAGGAGCTTCTCGATCGCTAGACAAGTAATCGTTGATCTACTCGTTACGATTCGATCTAGTTAGGAGGCGACGACCACGACTCGGGTCTGGGTATTCCACAGCAAACTAGCTTGGAATGGATGGAAAACGTCCTCTCACACACACTCCAAAACAACAAGGAAAGTAAGCATATTCCATTTCTTAGAAAGGACAAAAAAAGTAGGTAGGCAGCTCCCGGTTGAAGATGCGACAAGAGGTTGCAAGAATTCTTCTTGATGCGCAACATGTCCGATGTTCAAGGACAACGAGGACATACATTTTATTATAAACTAGGCCTGTTAGATTAACATTAATTTCATGTATATTCACTAGCCCATAAGATTGAAACCGATCCGCCGCTGTCCAGTGGAATTGCGCCAGCGATGAGGATATTGAACTTTTCTTTTAGGCGCGCAAGCTCGCGCCCAATGCGCCAAACTTCGCGCATCCCTCCTAGGATGTCCACTATCACCTTTGCTGGAAGATCTAAGTGGATCTGAGCGTCGTCTTTGACGGGTACGTTGACGTTAACTTCGAGCTTGGGAACCTGCTGCAAGGCACCTTCCAGAGCCTGCACGTCCTCGGTAAGAGCCGACTTTTCAGAAGAATCCGACGTCGCACTCTTAGAACTTTCCGTTTGACCACCTGTCGATCGCGCATATCTATCCACTCTTTGTTTGTGTTCCATTATCAAAGGCAAAAGGAACGTAAAATGAGTAACATTTCTAGGAGACCTCGTAGTCGTATATTTCATAATAAATACTAGTACAATAAATACTAGGACAACTTCTATGACGCAACAAGGGACAACTACAACATAAAAGTATTTTTATATATAAGGTCTACTCGGGTCGCTACGGAACCAGGCAGCTTTGAGTGAGTTGCTACGTGGTTCGAATGAATGAATGAATATGCACTACACACCATTTGACAGGAGGTCAGATTCACATTCATAATACTCAGCGAGCTCTTTACGATCTCTACCAGCTGTTTCAAAACGCTCACCTGGGTGTCCACCGCAATGCGAATATCACCTTGAAACTCTTGGATGTACGGCACAACGTCATTTGCGACAATCTCCAGCCGCTGATTTTTTTTGATGGGTGGATGAGTGAGGGTGAAGAGTGGAGAGAAAGGGTGAGAGCAAGGAGAGCGAGAGGGAGGAGAGCGAGAGGGAGGAGAGCGAGAGGGAGGAGAGCGAGAGGGAGGAGAGCGAGAGGGAGGAGAGCGAGAGGGAGGAGAGCGAGAGGGAGGGTGAGAGGGAGGGTGAGAGGGAGGGTGAGAGGGAGACAGAGGGAGACAGAGGGAGACAGAGGGAGACAGAGGGAGAGGGAGACTGAGTCAGTGAATGAGTAAGTGAGTGAGTGAAAAAGAGAGGTATAGTGAGGTCAGGTTATGGATCCTTCGCATCGAGTTCCGCCGGTAAAAGAGACAAAAAGTTATATATATTGTTACCTCACTACGAGTTATCACGCCTGCCATCTTCTTCGCCAACTCGCAGCCCTTTTTGTTCATCGACGTTTGTGATGCTTCTCCTTGATCGGGATTGCACATGTTTTCCAGCAATATTAGCGCGGAGCTATATCTATCGTCGATGTGGATGCAGTCCGATAGCAAGTACTATAGTATCACTCTTTGCAAAGTCGAGTGTTTGCGTTTGCGAAGTCGAGCTCTATAACTATCTGATAGTATGACCCCACTGAGTCGATCCACGACCCGAACCCTTTATCTACAATTGTTCGATTAGTTACAGTGTAAAGTAGAAGTTTGCTATATGTCCATGTCGTACTATCATCACTTATGACAAAAATATGGAAAAGTTTCAGGGGAGGAGGATAAGCTGCTTACTTACTAGAGTAAATCCCCACGTTAAAATCTCAACTTTTACAGCACGATCAACTGCCTTGCAACCCGGCCGTGTTGTCGTGGACGAAACTTCTCTAGCCACGAAATATTGATACAGTGATGCAATGCACAAAAGGACGTATTCGGTAAACTGAAATAAGCAAAAAATAAACGAGAATATACGAGATACTGAAGAAGGAAGGAACTACTTCCCTTATTTCAGGCTGTATCTCGGATATATTTTCTAGTTTTCGCTTACTTAGAAGTACAATTATGCATCAATGGCCTTTGCCTTAACATCTTCGCCATTACGTACCACGTAGGGTCGTCTGGGAATTCCTCAGGTTTACTCGACTGTTGAGCCTCGCCACTCGTCGATGTACTATCATCTGACCGCGCAGCATTCTCAGGATTTTTGATTTCACCTAGCGATCCCAGATCCGCGAGGTCACCAAGGTGCGTGTCCCTTTTGGCCAAAAAGGATGTCGTCTTGGTACCCGGTTCCCAGACAGTAGCCAACGCTCCAGCGCTCAGAAGCAGCAGTAGCCAACCGACGTAGAGATAGCGCTTCATTTTCGTGAAGATGCTCTTGTACAGAACACGCAGAGACAAGGGAACCGATCCGCCTTTTCGCCACGTAGGGAAGGACATTAGTCCGCCTTTTCGCCACGTAGGGAAGGACATTTTTAGTCCGCCCTTTCGCTCTGCAGATATGGCCATTGGTCCGCCCTTTCGCCTCGAATAAGACGAAGCTTTTCCGCTTGATTAGAGGATGCATACGTATGATACGGGCTTCGGTTTACATGTTGTGGCTTTCCTAGTCGAGAAGCTCACAAGGTATGCGAACCAATAGATAGAGTAAGTAGATGCGACCCAAAGATTGTGCAAGTAGATGCGACGACCAAAAGATGGAGTAGAGGCAACCAAGAGATACAAGTCCGGAACAAAAACGATGATGCTTAGATTAAAATTTGTACATAAAGTGCTTGATAAACGGGTTCCCGTCGACAGCGAGCTCCTTCGAGAGCCACAGAATCCACGTCCTTAGGTTGTTTCGTCTTTCCAGGGGATGCTTCTGCAACACCTGAGTCACCTCGGACTAGTTAGGTCGCAACGACAGCGTGGATCGCATGATGGTCATCGGCGAATATCAGTACAACTAGTCTTCTTATTGGAGGGAAAAAATCAAGTACATGAAAAGTATTCAACTCGTCACAGAAGTTCGTAGATGAAGTCAAGACTTCCAACGTCGTTGGAATTTCTGTCTTCGTATGCGGTGACTTGATGCAGTCTACAATCTAAGTACTTGATACTAAAACTCCTTACTGTTCCTGTACTTCTTCCACGTAGCAGGAAATCAAGCTAGAATGTTCTTGCTTTTTTTTTGAGAAATGATGAATCTAAAATGGGATGAAATCTTGGGAGAAAATTGTCCAATTGGGAAAGTTGTAGGAAGAGAAAATCTATCAGCTCTTTTCTCTGTTTTTTTGGAAAATACGATCGGATAGGATAGGATAGGATAGGATAGGATAGGATAGGATAGGATAGGATAGGATAGGATAGGATAGGATAGGATAGGATAGGATTGAGATGATAGAATAGGATTACAGAGTCGAGAGGATCAGATAGGACCGACAGAAATTCAATTGAGAAAGATACTATCACCAGTCACATGGCTAGTCAGTTCATTCACGCACAGACAGAATTTAAATCACCACGACAGAGCCTATAATTCACTCAGTTGTACGCTCAATTTCCTCGTTCAGGTCAGCTACTCATTCACGCACAGACAGAGCTGACCTCACCACAGAAACTATCATTCACTCAGTTGTACGCTCAATTTCCTCGTTCAGGTCAGCTACTCATTCACGCACAGACAGAGCTGACCTCACCTCAGAACCTAGAATACGAATTCACTCAGTTGTACACTCAGTTTTCTCATTCAGGTCAACTCATTCACTTCCAGAGGACAGACTTTGACTCAACAGCACAGATGATAAGTAGAATAAGAGTACATCCCAGACACAACACTGCAGGCGCACACGCAGATGTCATGTTATTCATCTCATTGCCCCTGTTGCTACTTTACGACGTAGTCCTCGCTCGAAGACCAGTATTTCTACATACAGCTTCTGTTTTCGCAGCATGATGAAGCAAGCTGAGCGGGAAAGTTACTCTCTTGTTTACGCAGAGGTGCAAGGTCGATTTCCAATTTCATTTCAGGAGAAATTGTCGCGCGTCCAACTACTGACCGCTGCAGGTCTCAAGTTCAATTTTCGATCTTCCGTTCGTTGTACTAACTCATAGAAGTTAGTGCTGCACAATCTGCAACTACAGCATTTGTTCGTCTCATGATGTCATGTGGTAACTCTCCGAGTCCACACAAGTACTGCGCCTAAGTCCAACCTCACACAAACATCATCCAAGCAAAACGAAATTTTGAAAAAATCTCCAAGGATCGCTCTACAGAACATGTCTCACAGATCCTCGAAGATATTATGAGATCACTATCTACATCTTTCTTAGTCTTGTCATTATAAGCAAAATACTCAAGAGAGGCCCTTCGTCCCTAGTACCCGTGTGCGAGTTTTCTTGTTGATCTTGATCTTGTCTACTTCAAGTTCAAAAAAAACACTACAGATGTACTATGTAGTTGTGACTAAGACTACTTATAAATGAGCAAGTATACCTGCTGTATCATAACTACGTCTCCTGCTTTTCACGGCTGCTTCGTCTTCGTGTCTAAAAATTGTGAATACTCAGCACTCAGCTGATTCATCTGCTCCATCTCGCCCTTCGTGGGTTCTTCGATTGCAAAACCCTGCACAGAAGATATAATTGTAGTATTACCACCACCTTGGTTCGTGGTCTCGGAAGACATTGCGCTGCCTTCTCGCCGCGCCACCGAGCGACGACCGCGCACCCCGTCCACGGCCGTAGACACTCTTGGAGCTGGCGCCGGAGGTCGCTCCATACCCGACCCCCTCAGCTCCTGCACTTCTTCTATTCCTGGTGAGCGTTGATCGCCGTTTCTAGACGTTGTGGGTGAGGATGAAGCAGAGGTGAAGAGCCCTAACCCGGTAGAAGTGCCGCTTTGCAACAAGTTGTCGTGACTGACGCGCAAGCGCCCCATCGCTGACAGCTGCATGGGCGTCGGATGCTCGATGTCGCAGTCCCGCATCTGCCTCACCTTGCGATCGATATCTGCGTGCAGGTCGTCCAATGGAAAGAAGATATTATTAGAGCTCAAAACAATTCATTTCTTGGGTTCATTTCTTCAGAAGCCCAAGAGCGAAACAGAAAAAATGACAGCTGGAAATGAATTGATACTTTGAGCCTTAATATTAGCCGACTTTCGCATGGCATCGCGGACGTCGGACGCGTGCGCCAAATTCGTATTAGAACCGAGACTGCTGCTCCGCACCGCCTTCTTGTCCAGTGCCACGTGGTCGTCGCGGAGATGCTCGTGCTGCTGCCTTAAAAACTCCATTTGGGCCAGCTGTCGCGCAGTTGGTTCCTCGATTTCGTGCTCGATCTCCATGTCAGCAGCTTGTGGCGGCAGCTTTTCCTCCATATGCACCGACCGCGCTTCTGCTCGTTCAGTCGTGCCCAACTCCTTTACCTCATCGTCTTCTACAGCAGCCTCAGCGAGCAGATGAGATCGCGACGGCTCTAACGAAGCAGTGCCGAGGGCAGAGGTGCCTAGAGCAGAGGTGCCGAGGGCAGAGGTGCCTAGGGCAGCCTCCCGGTCCAGCCTGGACAGCATGTCGATATCGAGCACTGGATTTGCAGGTTCACACGAGGAAACACCCTTCGATTGCCTCTTCTGGCTCTGTCTGCGGCTGCGTCGCTCCTTGACAACGTCCTGGACCCTCTGGGGCGACTGGGTACGCGCACCTGGTGCGAAACTGGTATGTCCATAGAGCACTCCAGAAGACACATGAGCCTCTTTCATCTGAACCTGCTTCACCGGTTCCGGATCAGGGTCACCATTCTTCTTCATCTCGCCGCTTTTTATTTGCAGTTTATTCCGCAACGACCCTGCTCGGTCAATACTGGCACGGTCCGTGCTGAAGCTTTCGTCATTTTTATTTTGCGGAAGCTGTTGTCCCGCGGACGACAAAGCCGCTGGAGGACCATCCGCCTCAGTCGCTCCATCATCCTGATACTGCACTATGGTCTCTTCACTCAGTGGAGACACTCCCGCAGCTGGACTTTCTCTTACAGGAGCTATTTTCTGGCCCGCAGAAGGAGACGAGAGACGTCCAATCACGCGGTCCGCTACTTCGCGACGAAAATCCTTATTCAAGATTTTTCCTTGCGCGAGAATTTTTTTCGATGCATCATCTGTTTGCAAGTGCTGCACACCGCGTGTGGCAGACGCTCCACCCGTTACCGTTTGCAGCCCTGCTTTCTTCTTTTTCATACTAGAGGACATGCTCATCTGAAGAGCACTGCCTTTTTCCTCCTTCGATACGCTTGAAGGGGAGGCAGCCGCTTGTCCCTCCTCAAAGGCGCTTCGAATCTTATCACCACGCCCTCGTCCTCTTTTCTCACCTTCCATATCCTGTTGACCTTCCTCGCCTTGCCGTGCGGCCTTCACCGACTGCAGGGCGAACCCAAAGGAGGGGAGAGTCCTGTCGCTGTGTTTTCTCTGGTAGTCCTCCAAAAACAGCAATGCCTCGAAAAATTCTTGGGGTCGCTCATCTTGGAGAAAAGCGACCCTAGTAGTTGTAGAGGTCCCCTCATTCGGAGTTGCACCAGAAGCCTCTCCAAGTAGTCCAAGAGGTTGTTCTTTTAGCTTTTCGACCTCGCTCGGGGAAAGGCGCGCCAACTCCCGCTCTAATTCTTCACGTTCTGACTCGACCTTGCGACCCAGTCTGTGCACGCCTTCGTTCAAAATCGACAAGAAACTTCTGGCGTCGGCTTGCACATGGTTCGCACCTTGCGCGAGCACCTGCTCACTCAAGTGCTGCAGCAGCTCGTGCAGCTTCTCTGGCGGGAAAAGCCCCTCTGCTCCCATCGCTGGGACAGGAGAAGAAATTATATTGACCCTCTTATTTTTCGCAGTCGCAGACTCTTCAAAAGCATTTTCCCGTGCATTGATGTCCCTCTGCTCGGCATGATTCCCTTGTTGTACTTCTTGGTCGTTTCTTTGACGCAGTCGCCGCGCACGGGCCGCCCGAGAACGCGCGAGCACACCTCCTGCTGCGCCGTAGTTGCCGGCACCAGGCATGGCCAAAGAGCTGTGGGTGTGCTCTCGAGCCGCATGAGCCAGTAGGCCTAGCAATTCCTCACTCTCTGCTACCAACTGCTGGTATGCCGCATCCACCGTAGCATCGCTACCCTTGATATTATCAGCATTGCCTACTTTCCCAACCGGCATTACATCAAAATTATTAATGTTGTGGTTGTTGTCCCGTCCCGTGGTAGTCCCCGCAGTACAAAACGGAATAGCTGCTGCAGTCTTACTCGATCCCTTGACCGGGAAACATTCGGCGGGATTCTTAGCCGTAGTCCTTCCAGCACTCGTGCGAAGCACTACAGGAGCTACTCGTGGTATGGTAATTGGAGCGGGTGGCTGCAGCGCAGAGCCGCGTGCACCAACGAGGCCCACTACGGGAACTGAGAGACCCCGTGACCGCAATTCCAGTTGATGTCCAACATGGAAGCGCTTAGCAGGAGCATCCCCAACACCACACGAGCTTAACATCTTTATTTCGTGCGCATGTACGAATTTTCAAGATTCATCTCAAATAGAAGTGGAACTACTTACATTCGAAAGTGGCCAACTAATTGAACGATGCATTAAGCGACAAAATGACGGAATATGGCAGATGCAATCATAGAGGCAAGTAAACGTAAAATGATCTTGAATTTCAATGTAAGTCGACATTTCACAGGACGTAAGAATCTAATTGAGGAATTTTCGGTTTCTACAACTATTTTTTCAATTTATGAGAACAAGAGCTGAATATGCGGGGGAGTCTATCTTTAATGAGCGTAAAAACTCTTGTGAATCAACAAAAAAGCCTACTTCAGTCGAATGGCTCTTCAGCTTCATCATACAACCTGACTCCATTATTAGAGTGGGGATAAATTGTTGCACGCTTGTTTCGTGAATAAGAAGTAGGCAGAGGATTGCTCCTTTCTTATCCCCTATCCGATAACTAACCGGCTCTAACCAGAATAAGCGCACCAGACGACTAGAACTTACAATTGATTGAACCTCCATGACTTGACTCAAAAGGGTGTGCGTTATCTCATCTCATTGTAAGCTGCAGTGTCAGAAATTGCCTCAAACCGATCTGTATGTAGTGTAAGGGCCTCATTCCTCAAGAACAGAGGGAGTACGTATCTCAACGCTCCAAACAGGTTATCCTCAACGACAGATGAAAATTGAAGTAAGTACGTAGTTCATCTTTTCTCACCACAGAGTCCATGTTTATCAAAAACTGACAACCCGGTTGGGGTTAGTCACTCAGAGTCTAGGTCAATACATTCTCGCGGAGAACAGACTGACGCCGTGCCTCTCTCTCTTTCTCTCCTCAATCGAGATGAAGCGTCCATAACATTAGCGATCTCTTTGATCCACCTTGCAGGGATAATGATTGCTCCTGGACTGCTTTACGAACCCAAAACAGACAGGGTTACACAAACACACTTATCACACGCGAGGATCACAGCAGGCCTCACATCTTATAAGACCCTAGCGAAAAGGGTGAGCAGAAATTTCAAACGTATTCAGATAAGAAACGAAAAAATGTGCGAAATTCATCCTTCCACATTCCCGAAGTCTTCGATACTAGCAAGTATCTTCAGCGTTTATCCCACAAGCAATTCCTTAATATTCGAGAGACAAAACTAATGTCTCTCTTGACCTGCTCTGAAGTGCGACAAGATCTCGCTCATCTGCTGGCTGAAATCGGTCCCCTCGGTCGAGAAGCTCGAAGTAGATTAGAGCATGCTGCATAATTCTTCAAACGTAGTAGCGAAAAGACCTCCAAGAACGAAAATACACTATTACGTCATGTCATCGCGATTTCTGCCTACTTATGAGGCCCTCCAATGAAGCACAACGCACTTTCTCATAACTTCTTGCTGGTAGGCCTTATTAGCCATATCAAGCGAAAGAAAGTATACTAGAAAGAGACATTTATAGTGGCCTCCTCCTCGTGCTTGCTAGATATCTCTGTATTGGTATTTCATTTTGTTTCTATCATCGATCCCATAAATCAAGACGGGACTCGTAGGCCGCAATCGTTGCAGGAGGCTTCGAATTTCCTTCGCACTTTTGCCAGTACTAGAAGAGGATTTCTTACTACCACTCGCACTATCCTCCGCAGTTGATCTCGGGTTCTCTATCCTTTCAGGATTAAGCGGTGACACTTTCGCCTTCTTGGGTGACACAACTCCCTGTCCTCTTGCCACAGAATTTTGTAGAAGTTGTACATCTTTGGTACTAGAGGTAGCGGGTTCGTTTTTCAACTCAGCAGTAGAAGCAGCTTGTTTACTTCTAGGACAGTGCTCAGAAGCGCATGATGAGTCCAAGACAGACGACGGCCCAGCAAGTACGTCTTCCGGGTCACCACTCTTTCTTCCTCTTATTCCTGTACAACTCGGATCACCTGCGTTGAGAGTGGAAACAGACGCAGGCGTCTTCGGCACACGACTCGTAGTACGCTGCGAATGCGGCGATAGTCGGCGCTTGTTCTGCGCGCTGCGCTCCGGCGTCCTATATCGAGCGTCAGAGAAGCTTGTTGCTGAGTATTCCTCTTCCCCTCTTCTCCTTGCTGAGTACTCCTCATGATCCCCCCTTTCAGCGAGTGACGCAGCAGGTCCACCACCGTCTTCGTTCCTGAGATCGCGTTCCTGACATCGCGGCCGTTGGCAGTGACCATGGGAACTCTTCCTGTAGTTCTCTTGGCTCCTCTCTCTCTCTACGAACTCGGCATCGTCCTCTGCGTAGCTTTCATGGTAGCACGAGCACGACAGTCCTCGCTCAAGACGACAGGCTGCGCACGACACTGTCGAGCACTCTGCTGAATGTGCCAGCATTAGAGCTATCTTGTCGCATCCGTGAGACCATCCGCGGAGGGCTCTTTTTCCCCTTGAAAAAGACACCAACGATGATGCTGAGGATGCACTTTGGGTTGTCTTAAAATCAGATGATTATGATGATCATCATTAATTCCTCTTTCTTCCTCGACGATGTAATAGTACTTGGCTCCTCTAGCTGCAGAACGACCTGACGTTCCAACCTGGTCAGTGTACATTAGAGCTCTCGTCGCAGGAAAAAATTAATCATAATTCTTTGAAGATACATCCCTCTACTTTTGTTTCTTTCAGAATTCCAAAAAAGAAAACTGAAAAGACAAACTCAACAGTCGATGAAATTGATGAGATCCAAAGTCTTAAGTGACCAGCATGTCGATCTGCGTCATGGTAATTTCCGACGGATCCGTGTGCGTGCCCGTCTGCACACCGAAGACCGGTCATCCTTTTCTGATGAGGCTTACTCGGTCCTCCAACAGCGAACAAAGGAGAGTGCTGAGGCAGTCCTGATGGAGACAATTCGGCAGCACCATATTCATGTTCACGCCGATATTCCTGCTGATATACTGGATATTCATGCTCATGCGCATTGCGATCTGCTTGATGTTCAGATGTCCCGAGATAACTTTCTAGTATATGGAGCTGCCTTTCCAGACTGCGCCGTATTTGCGATTCCGTAGCCAGTTTATCTTCTAGAATTCTGCTGCGTCGTCGACACTCGGCATCTGCCTCTTCACTATCGTAATTAGACATGTAGAAAAAGAATAAATTCTAGCCGAGGTGGTGAAGTGAGTTTCATTCAAGTGAGTTTTTGGTCAAGTCTGTGCACTTTTCTTCTTGTTTATTTGTCTCTCTCTGTCTCTATTAGCTTAAGCACTCAAATGGAGATGTCTTTTCTTGTATAGAGGAGGAGCCATAATATTGGCATCGGCACTTCCACCTCCAGGATCCTTTCGCCGGGGCTGGTTTGTCCTCTTTGAAGATGAATGCCGACCGTTCACCGATCCTTCGAGCCCATCTCGTTCGTCGCTTGCTCTGCAAGCGAGAGAGTTCAATCTATTGAGAGGGCTGTCCTGTCGTTTTGACGACAGAGTCTGCAGCAAGCGGTCGTAGAGTGTGTTCAGTTCCCTGTTCTTCTCAGCTAGCTGTCGTTTCAATTGCAAATTCTTCTTTTCGAGCCCTTCAATTCGATGCGCGAACTCCTCCGTTTTCTTCTCCTCTTCCGCCAATTTTTTCTTAGCATAATATGCTGCTACATTCAAAAACTTAATGGAACTGTGGATATAATATGGACGCATGCTTATAGCTGATACTAGGTGTGGATTTGAATGACATATAGTTACATGTTGATACAGATTTCTGGATGATGTGCGAAGTAGGGTGAACAATTGGAAATCGATGAGCGTCATAATCAGATCGCGTTCATGCACCACGCGACAGTTGCTCTCTTGCAGCGCTAGAAAGTGCTCGCGCTCTGCTAGGAGCTCTTCGCGTTCTTTGTCGTGCGCAGCGGCCATGCGCTCTTTAGACCTTATCCATATTCATCTTAAAGTGCATCTTTGAAGTGAATTCCCCTTGAAATCGTGCCCAAAGATGCCTCTTAAGATGAATTACGGCAAGCCTTAAGCTCTAGCTCGTCGGCCAGCGCTTGCATCTTCTGGTTGCCATCGTCAATGCGCATGTTGGCGTCGCGGACGCACTCGCTCAGATTTCGGTCGAAGGCCTCGCGCAGCTGCCACAGCAGCATGCTTTCCCCAATATTATGCAGATTCGGCGGGACAGGTGCTGGGGGCGGTGACACTCGGTCAACCAGGTCCAGACTTATGCGTCTGGAAAATTGATGCTGACGGTGTTGCGCACAGCGGTCTTCCTGCAACATAGCCGCACTCAGGGCTGACAGCGGCGGGTGGTATTTGGAACCAGGATTGCCTTGAGGCTGAGCATGAGGTGCAGCTTTGGGTGGTGTCCTCAGCTGCCCAATCGTCGCGTGAGTTGGTGGGTGCAGCAAGACATTTTCATCAGGCCTTCTTCGAGTAGCATTCTTGTTTTCATCCGTAGTTGTGCCAAATAATTGACCCTCCTCTTCATCATCTAGCACACCATGAGCCTTCGCATGCAAGTGGTCGCCATTAGCCTTCGCATGAACCTCGTGACGCTCCTCGTCCACCGAACGAGCGAGCATGCCGAGTTCGACTGTTTTGAGACCTTCCATCGCCCCGTCCGAGCTTCTGCGAGGTCCGTGCGGCGGCCGCGCTGGGGGACTTCGCCGCATCCTACCGGACGAAACAGTGCAGATTAGAACCTGCTACTCTTGAAGTAAGTCATCTTTGAAGAGAGTCATCTTTGAAGAAAGTCATTCATCTTTGAAGACGTGAGTTGTTCTTACCACTGAACAAATAATCCGATGTAGATCAGATCATCAAAGCTGCTTTTCGAGGCCAACTAGTACTAGGTCGACTAGGACAAGCCTTAAGTACAAGAACGAGTCTCGATAGCAGCCCGTGTAGCCATTTACTGGAGCTCGGTAACCATTGTACCCTTCGCCGTCAGGGGGTGGCGACCCTTCCGCAGCAGTTGAAGATGATAGCTGCCCAGCATTTGCTCTTCTTGGAAGGAATAATTCATGCTGCCGAGAACAACTTCTTGCATTAACATGATCGCGGTAGTACTCCTGCTGCGGTGGTGAACAGTGCGCAGCAGCTGCCCCTCTCTGTCCGGGGCTCGACGAGGGGCAGTCGTTTCGCGGTAAGGGATACCGCGACTCACTGCTCCGCTTCATTCGGCGTGTAGGAACTCTTGTTCCACCTGCTCTCCTACTTTTTCTTCGGTGCCCATCCACTTCCCGGTTCGCGCGATCCCGCTCGCGTGGCCTGCAGCCAGCCTCGTTTTCGGAATGAAAACTGGACGTAAAGCTGCTACTAGTTGCTTCTCCGTGAATAAAAAGGCCCTCATGTGCGATCCGATACATATCAGCCATCTCATCTCGTCTGTTGTTCTGTCCAACGCCCCCGTTGTTGAGATCAAATTAGAATTTCCCGAAGTCAATCTTCGACTTAGAAGCAAGCTTTGGACCTGCTTTCCTCTACGTATAGAGGAAAGCTTCCAGACATTTTTGCTTCTGAAGACGGATCATCTCCGCACGAAGTCTGTCATAATGATAGTAGTTCTCTGGGCGTCCAGCAGCATTATTGCCATCATCATTCTGATCCAAGATCTTGCTGTGCTTTCTGCGAGGCGACAGTCCACGACAGAGGTCGCTCAATGTTGCTTCGGCTGGTACGGCAGAATGCACCACCGCACTGGGTCGCACTGTGCTCTGGTGGGGATCCCGTACGATCGTGGATATACTAGGACTCCCTGCCAGAGTATGGCCACGGAACGGTGGCAGCCTCTCTTGATTTGAGTGCCTGGCCTGATTTATTTCGGCTGATTTCTGTCCCTGTCGCTCCCGGTGAGTTCGGAAATTCATCAGAGGTCCAAAAGTTTCACACGGAGAACTTCTTGGGTTTCGTCCTCCAACTTCTCGCCCTCCGCCTACACGCAGACTGCAACCTGCTTCTCGACCGTCGCGTGGTCTCTCTGCAGACTGTACGACGCAGGTTGTCCGTCCACGCTCGTCTCCGGTGTGCGGGTTTGGAACCTGCACCTCTTCTTCTCGCTTACATACTTTATCGGATGAAACCAGAGGTGGGCCGCCTCTTGCATCTATATTACGTTCAGCATCAGTGGCGCCATTTAGTTCTATGAGCGGCTCATCCGGCCGCTGTTGATGCTCTGCCTGCTCCCTGTAGTTACCTTGCTCTTGTTGTCTCACTAGTGCTTCACTCTGACCACTACTCTCCTCTTCAGCAGCATCTGCCGCCACTGCCGCGATCACTGCTTCAAGATGGGATATTCCCCGGGGCAAGATCTGGAGCGTCTTCCGCAGCGTGTCATCCTCGTGCACTGCCGCATTGCTGCATTCTTTCTGAATGCTACTGGCTTCCTCCTCCAACCCAACAGCTTCCTCCTCGCTTAGACCAGGTCCTACGCACTGATCATCCTCGAGAACAGGAGCTGAAGGACCCGCTTCTACAATCGGAGCTGGAACTGAAACTTCTTCATTTCCTTGTCGGAGTTTAATATTGGCGCCTGTTATCTCTCCAACGGCCTTCGATCTCGCTGGCTGCAAATCACCCCCTGAACAGCGTCTCGAAGGCGCAGGTTGCTCATCAGTTTTTCCAACATTTTGCAACGTGCTGGGTCGGGAGACCACTTTGTGAGCGCTGGTGTGCTGGTCCACAACCTCTATCTTCAGACCTCCCTCTTTAGAAGCACCGACAGGAGAAACTGCAGCTTCGCACGTCTCGTGCAAACCTCCTCCTCCTATCGCGCGAGGGCACTGCTCCACTGATGGAGGTTCCACGTGCAGCGAGAGCAGCTCTACCTCCTCGGATTGTAGCGGAGCAGCACCTGCTTCAACATCAGCATCAGCCAACTTTAGACAGAGGTACTTTTTCACTATCCAGACTTGACGGAAGGGACTGCCTTTTCCCTTTCACTTTACCTAGAAGAACTCGGCAAGGAAACTAGCAGAACTTTACCTAGAAGAAACTAGCAGAACTCCTTCACATGGGATTCCATCCCTCACATCATCGATAGGATGATGAAAAACTGCCTAAAAATCATAATATTTGTGCTCCAATCTCAGCAGCCTCGGGAGATGCTGCGGGTATTGCCGACATGTCAAATGCTTCTTCCTCCTTCATTTGGTCACCGCTATTTCCTGTGAATGCGTCTGGGGGTTCTCCTACAATGACTGCACTCGTGTCCACCTTGATTTTCCCAGTTATTAAATCTGCTCTGTCGACGTCGATATCAACATCCTCCACGAGAAGTTCTATATTTTCTCGCGAAAATAGGAGGTTATTGCCCTGCTCCTCGAAGAGGTCCATTTTTCTGTCCTGTGCCGGCAACGGGTTCGAAGGCGTTGCCATTAGTGCCTCGTCCACTAGCTGCTCGAAGTAGCCCGTGGAACGACTCATCACGTGCACTGATATAGAGCTCTCTTCGAACAAGTCGGGCGGGCTTGGGTATTCACCAGGTTTCATCTGTAACTTTCCGTAACCATCTTGATGCTCTTCGGGTCCTCGCAGTTCGAAACCTAGCTGCTCAACCAGATCGACGAGTAGTGCGTCACCTCCACCAAGATTAGAAGTGTCGATAAAGCGCCGAGGGGAGGAGTTCAGCTTCGCGCCTTGTTCTTCACCGGCGAGCTTCTCAACATCCGAAGGTATGCGGTCTACGACGTAACTTGTTTGTGGCGCATTGCTCTCAAACGCAGACGTGGGCAGGGAACTGCTCACTTGCAGAACCGGTCCCTCGGCGGCTCTGTTGGTGGAGTCCGGCATTTGGTGATTGTTAATGGTAATGTAAGACTTCAAACTGAACGATTACATGGACAAAGTTTCACCTTACTCGTGTAAAGAGTATGAATGTGGAGAATTGGTTGTATTCCTCATATTGAGTAATAAGAAACAGAATCACGAAGGAAGAATCAATCTCAGTTTACGAAACAATCGAGTCTAGAAACAAAGCAATGATCCACAGCTCATTGGAGATCAGATACACGATGCTTCAACTCCAGATTAAGCAAGACTGTCGGAAGAAGTGAAAACAATAACATCCCTGTCGTCCTCTTGCCTGGCATGACTACGCACCTGAAAAACATGGTGACGATGAATCAAGATCGCGTGACAGATTTCCTCATCACGACGAAGCGTAAACACCAAACAACTAGCATGGAAAAGTTCTTGTAGGTGGTCATTATAGGCAGAAAAAAGCAGTATGCCAAACAGACAGTGCTTGTAGTAGCTTTATCTTTGCCATTTGCAGTACTTCTAAATTTTCAGAAAAAGAAACCATCGACGAGGACAAAGGCTCATTGGTTTGCTGCAACGCGAACTGATTTAGCATCAGCCTTGTGTTGAAGAACTACATTTACTACTAGCATCAGGTGCAAGACAGGGGGCACATTCCAGCTGCACGCTGTTCGCACAAAGACCATCTCCACTGCACCGAATCCAGTACCGAGCTCAACATGAGTGGTCCATTTTTTTTATGACTTTCAAGCTGGACTCTGCTGCGTCACCAGATCCAGGATCAATAGTTTCTTCAAAAAGGAAAAGAACACACACACGCTCATCCATATGTGGAATAACACAATCATTGTTTCAGGAGAAGAGTAACAGTTACTGTTCTTACTACCCAGACAGGTATCATTTTGAAATCACTCTAAAATATTGTTTGACGCCAGAGCCTGTAAGCACACTCTTCACGCTAGGGAAGAATCTGTAACCACAGGTCACTCCCCCAGCCCGCATCTTGCTTATCGATTCTCCAGATTCGGAATGAGGCTCCACGAAGCCGTGGTCTCGTGGTTGTATCGCTTGCCAACGCCCTACTTGTGGTGCTGGAGGTTGTTTGATTTGGTGCAGATACAGTAGCTTGATTTGGTGCAGATACAGTACTATCACTATCTTGGTGCCATACGATGCCGGCAAACGCGCATGCAAACTGCTCTTTTGGATGCTCAGATTTGTAAGGCGCGACCTTGAACTGGCGACCTAGAAGTTCGGCTTCCCGGTGAGCGCCCGGCTTCAACCCGTACTCGTCGAAAAACATGGCAAAAAAAGGAATTGTTACCGGATTTAATAGCACTGTCTTCTCAGTTCGCCCATAGCTTGGTCCTACTCGAAAAATTGACACCGTGGGCTCCTCCTTCCCAGGCAAGCTTTTCGCTCCGACTAATGAAGTTCGACGCCGCCGACACCAGGAAGGAAGCACATCACCTCTAGCTGCAGCAGCTTCGTCCCCCTGGAGAACAAAATACTCCTTCGAACCCGGCAAGGGTATTAAAGAGGACTCAGCATGTAGAGGCTTTCTCTCCGAAGCAGAAATCAGATGCACATAGTTCAACTGCACAAGCGCTCCGCACACTTCCTGGTCCACGTAATCCAGGACGACGAAGCCCAAAGGATTTTCCAGCAAGCGCTGAGCCTTCTCAGTTACCGTGACAGCAGTTTGCTCCAAATCACCAGCTTCCTCATCCACTTGATCCTTTCTCGGGCCGGTCTTAACGTTGGTTTCATTCTCGACGTCCCTTCGCAGAGATATTGATATCTGCTGCACTTCATCTTTACAACCACCTGCTGTAGACGTAGAAGTAGAGGAAAACTTCTGAGTCTTTTCCTGTTCCGAGAGAAGCAAGCGTGGCCGCACATGCTTGTTGAGAAACCAATGATTTAAGCTGGAACTGTTGTGGGCAACTGAACGCCACAGACCGAACCAACCATCGAGCGCAACACCCGAGACGCCGCGCATGCTTGGCCGACCCTGCTCCACATGGGTATCGATCAGCCCTCTGGCGTCCCTTCGACTAGAGCAGCCCCAAATAGGACATATTTCATCGACTTAGAACATTCACATTCATCAGGCACAAGTCTAACGAAAGCAAGGTTCTGTCGACAGTCGACTACATCTATTTTTCGTGGTAATCATAATTGTAATCTCTAGCTCTAGTCCCTCCTTCGCACTGGCAATTTTTCACTGCAGCTTCTCATCATACTTAGATCGACAACAAAGTTCAAGTTGCAGGAGATGTTACGAAGGACTTAGGGCTAAGGATTTTCACTCCTGTCATAATCGAAGCCGCTCTCCCAATGCGAAAAGTATTCGAGTCCTGCTCCTGCCAGCACGCTAAGAAGCTCTGGGGATTCGTCCTGCCCTACCAAAACGCAATGGCCAGCCATATCTCGTACCCGTAGCGTCCTCACTTTCATGAAACTTCATCTACATTTCAAAAATTTCAAAAATTTCGAATGAAGTTTTCCTCTTAAAACATTTTGTAAGTATTATAAGTTACTAGACATACTCAGAGCGTATAGATCAACATAATCCCTATCACCATAATGTCCAGCACTCGTCCTGTCGTGTTTGCATCCAAGTTGGCAGCGTTCCCATACACCGAAGATCGAGACGCAGAGGACCTAAACCACTGCAATTAGAGTATGTAGGCAATTTATCTATCTACTTACCACAATGTATTTGGCGAGCAGTAGGAAAAAGGTATCCAGATAGGGATTCACCCTGTAGTGGTTGCATTCTCTATTTCAATGATATGCCTCAGTTTTTGATCAAGAATCTACTCGTGATAAGAAGAAATCAAAATACACAGTTCATCTTACTGCAGCATAGTTCACCCCACTGTGAGAAAGTACGCAACACAGTGCGGCCGCCTGTCCTTGAAACTGCATTCTCAGACTCGAGCATTCGTCCTCCCGCAGATGTAGAATGACGAACTCGCTTGGCGCTTCTGCAAGGAAGCCGCTCACCTCAGCAAGAACGGAGGCGAGATGCGCCTCATCACAAGGGTGTCTGAACCGCTAAATTGGAGAGAGAGGAAACAACAGCATTAGTTTCACTAAGAGCAGAGACGGTCTGAACCTTTGTATCTATGGATTCGTACGACACCCAACAACATCCAACGCAAACCAGCATTGTCGTCAATTTTGATGCGGACTCTCGTTCCCACATCAGAAAGTTTCTGAGAAACCGGTAGACCAATAAACAAACTTAAACTCCATGCCCTGTTCCTAAATGCGCAACAGCAAACGGCGGCTCCTTTTCCACCCTTAGGTCTAGCATCCGAACGCCAGCCTGCAATTGCTGCTTTACAGTCATGCTCTGCGTTTGACAGTAAAGATTCCATACTAGTCGCTTGGGATCCAGCAAGTTCCCTCCATCCGCAGCCGTCGCTGAGTGGTGCGCCCCTGGGATACAACAAAGCTCGCACAAACGTGCATCCGGAAAATCACGCAACCACTGCATATTCTAGTATATGAACAAAGGCGGTGGCGGAAGAACCGGAACCAATATTATGAAGTGACTAGTACTAGTTGTCTTTTCCTCTTCTTGTCGTGGATGAGGACAGCAAATGTCATAGTCAATCATGAGTATGTTGTACTAGTTCTCTTTACTAAGTTCCTTGCCCTCCTCGTCGGTTAGAAGTTGTCGTGTTCGTCTTCCTCCCACCTTAATTGTCATGGTACTCGACACAATTGCAAGCAACGAGAATTCACATTCGTTAAACTAGTAATTGCTGAAGAGAACACCACCAGCCTTTTTGTGAGAAATTTTTAGCTTTATTTTGTCACCAGCATCAATCCATTATACCGCCAACCTTTCAAAATACGAGGATTGAAAATCAAGCGACTATTCTCATCATCTATTCGGGTGTGAGGAGAGGGAGGGGCATTACAATGGCCATCTTTGCGACTCTTCTCACTATGTATAGGGACTCAGGGAAGGATCTGTCCATCTGCAGTAATTTGTAGAAACGCCACCTGTGTTGCTCCATGCGGTGCCGGCGCATTACCTGGAGGGGAATCTTGCGCCGGTGTCTGCTGCATTGGCGCTGCGCCTGGCGGAGTGCCCGGAACTGCACCTGGCTGCGGTGGGGACGCCTCTGGGCGCGTGCCTGGCCCAACTGGGGCCACGCCTTCCGGAGTCCCAGGAGCAGCGCCGGGCTGCATACCTTGAGTACCCACGCCCGGGGGAGCATCCGGTTGCGCACCAGGTGCGGCACCTGGTTGCGTACCCGCAACGGCGCCTGGCTGCGTAACGGGTGCGGCACCCGGCTGCGCCTGCGCTGCGGCCTCCCCTTTCTCATATTTCTGTCGAAAGGCCTCCTCAGTTTGCTTCTTCGTACAGAGTCCTGGCGCAGTGCAGCACTGGTTCGACGGCGACACGCCAACACACAGAAGAATTATCGTCAACATCAATATGACAAACAGTGACCCATACTGTGGTTTTTTATGATTGCACAAGACATCATGTCATGATTTTATGGAGACAAGTCGGGGAAGCCTTTTGTCACGAAGACAAGTATTAGGGGATCTTTTTCCTACCACAAGTTGAAAAAGAGACGATGGATAGCTATGTCTGACGTTTAATTAGATAGTGGTCCCATAATTGCACAAAAATGATGAAGACGTAAAGGTTTAAAGCAAAAATGAAATTGACGCAGCGATGAACCCCTACGATCATTTTTTCTTAAGGTGGAGAAACTAAAACTAGAACGTCTCTGTATGAATATCAAAATCCTTCCATGATCCAAGCTCATTAGAATGTAGTACCAAAATCCTGCATCGCGTATCGCGTACGTTGCAGAAGATGTTTTTGAAGCAATAGCGTACTTGATTCCGCTCTTCCTCGCTGTCTACCTCCTCAGCTTCGGAACCCAAAACATCCTCTTCGATAAAGGCATCCACCTCTATGAAAGGGGCACTGGAAAATCTAAGTCGTGTACTTCTTCAGAAGATGTTGTCCACTTTACGCGTATTGTCATAGAGAAAGAAGAAAGAAGAAAGAACGTCTATGCTTTTCGAGATACTTTTTTCATAACATCCGCTCTCCGAAATGCCCCAGCTGCGTCGAGACGCTCTGCAAGGCCAGGCTGAGCACGCTTTTGTGGTACTGGAACCGGGGCAGGCGGCTCTATTATCCCCGGTCCAATCACCTTTTTTGGAGCTGGCGTCTCTCCCGATGTGGGTGTACTACTACTCGAAGTATTATCCCTGGGGGCAACACCTGCTTTATTTCGAGCTGCTCTACCACCATGCAGTTGACCAGAAGCCGGTACAACTGTTCGAGGACTTCTTTGTATAGCATTGCGATCATCTGCGGTCGTTGTACCTCCAGCTGCATGTTTGTTTTTCTTTTTGTCGGGGAAGCTCGGGGCTTTGGAATAATCGTCACTTGGAATCCGTCGTGGGTCAACTGGTCGTGGATCATGAGCATCTTTCTCTCGCCTCTCATCTGCAACCTTATTCCGCGCGGCGTTTAAGGGTGTACGCTCGCTTCGTCGAGCTTCGTCGAGTGAAATCTGTTGAACATTCTTCGGTGCTCCTGCCTGAGGGTATTCTTCCTCCTCCTCCTCGTCCTCTTCCACCGGAGAAAGCTCATCTCTCGAAATTGCGACATTGGGTCTGTCGTCTTCCTTAATAAAAGCGGTGTCCTTATCCTTACCGCGCGCGGCCCTGCCTCCAGAAGGAGCCGATGTAGCGCTACTGCTCGCTGTGGTGCGCCTCTTCCGGTTGGCTAGTTGCTGGGTCCGGTACACCTTCCGTCCATCGGGCAATGTCGTCGCCAAGTCCGTCCGACGTCGGGCTCGTTCTCGCTCACGATCCATGCTGCTTGAGCTTGTTCGTTCTCCCTAAAAATAGGTATGTGCTGCTCCACGACACCATCAAATGGAAACAGTTGTAGCGCACATCAGTCAGGTCCAGAAGCGTGCAATAATCAAATCCGTCTACACGGACACGCTTACTCTGTCCGCCCACAAAGTGCTGCGCTCTTTGATCACTATACTCCCCTTTATACAACAGGACTTTTAGCACAATAGTGTCAGCACCAGAGGCATAAAAGCCGATTTTCTGCACGAGGCATCATCCGTGGCAGTGGGGAGGAAGAGAAAGCTCATGGTGTTGTTCGTCAATGCACTTTCCATTTTGACATTTTCATTTTGCTAAAAAGTATCAACTTACGTCCTCCATGGAAAGTTATCATCAACAAATTCTTAACCAGTTTCTTAAAGACAAAGCAAGAAAAGACAATCTAAATTTACCGTCATTCTGTCTTACGGGTCACGAAATGAACGACGACCAAGGACTCGGGGCGTCCAAGATGCTTACATCCAACTTTTTTATCGTGATACCACCTCTAACGTACCTGACCAGTGAAGTAAAGTCGCAATATGTAACCCAAACTATTGGATAAAAGCCAATAGCTAAAGGGGAAGAGCAAATCATCGCTCTTCTTAACACACCTCTCAGATATCTTGTCCTGTCCAGTCGTCAACAGAAGAGCAGGGCCAGGGTCTCACCTCAACATGACATAACAGATAAAGCAGTCTTGTTCTTACGCTCACCTCATTATGTGACAGGTACTAAGAGATGCTAAAGAGATTTTTGACAGAAAAGTGATATGATGACACTCTCCGTATGACAGAAGTGATTTTCGCTCCAATACGACAACAGATTAGCCTTTTTTCAAAAGAGTATTTGACTCCTGCAGGCAAGCATCGCCGTCTTAAGATTCAGTACTGGTTTTGAAATCGCAACTACAACAACTCATCCAAAATACAAACCGATTGAAGTAGACATCAGCCCAAAACAGTCACTAGGTTTAAAGAACAAGCATCATATAGTACTAGTATCCTAGCTCTAGTACGGATTATCTATTTTGCATGAAGTGCATGTAATTTTTGTGTACCGCTCAAAAGACACATTCGCGATAGTGCTCTCCCGCGACACGAAAGAGACCTGTCTGATCAAACACAAAAGTTCCTGCGCAATCCGTTGCGCGACGCTGTCGCAGGATGGCATCGTTCAAAACCTCTCGTAGAAGGTCGAGAGCCAAAGAGTTTTGGTCTGCTTCCTCAGACAGAGATTCTTGCTTTTGACCCATTTGGCACTTGATACCGGAATCGGTTCTTTGGTCTTCTCTGCTCGGCTCAGCGTCCGCGCCTGTAATAGCACTCGAACTAATTAAATTGATGTCGGGACGAGAATTCTTTTTGACATTGGACAGTGGTTGCACGGTAAGGGCAGGCACTTCCATGCCTGACAGCGGACAGTGGGGTGTCGAACAATGAAGGACCCCAGCAGTCGCGTCCACGTGCAAGCGACACCAACGCCTTTTGCTTCCACCAACGCCTCTTGTGAATTCCGCATTCTTTTGCTTAATCGTCTCTACTTTGTCAATCCTCTTATCCGAGGACATCAAGGACGTGGACTTCTTCGTATGATTCGACGAAGCTACGCCTTCTAGAACTGGCAGTCCTTGGCTGCAAAGAGGACACGCCACAGCCCCATCGTCCTCGTCTACCTCCTCGTCCTCCGGTACCATCAGAGACTCAACAGATCTTGCACCGTGGTGTTCTTCTGGCTGGAAATGCAGCCTTCCACCTTGATCGAGCTCATGCTCGACACCGCACACTTCCGAGTGCCATCCTTCGAAAAACTCTTCCTCCTCTCCTAGTATACGAAAGTCATCGTCAATCTCTTCGTCATCGCCAAAGTCTTCGGCATCGGCAGGCCAAGCATCGTAGTCGCTCGCTTTCTGGTAATGCTCTCGCAGCATTTCTTGAAGCAGTGCGATGAACCGATCGTCATCTTCATCCGCACCGACACTATGCGTCCCAGCGTCATCTTCATCCCCAGTTCGACGAAGTAACTGCTCGCGGGCTGCCTCAATCAGCTGACGTCGGCTCTGTTGCGCGACACGAGAGAGATCGCGTAACACCACTGAACGCGCATCCGGAGCGCCGTCCTTAAATCGCGCACGATGCTGCGCTGCCTTCGTGTTCATAAGGGCTTCATGACGAGGTCCAGAACTGCTGCTTGACTCGAAGGACATGTTGATGCTTATTTCTATTGCAATGCGTGGGTACAAAGATCGCTTACTTGGTTGTCGTGTTAGTCATTTCCTCGCATTAACCTCGTAGTTCTGCTCAGACGAGATAGTCGGCTGACATATCATATATATTTTTAAGTGCTTTCGTCGAAGAATAAAATCCTATCACTATAACAGCAGTGATGCATCGTTCAAATGGACTAGTCTGCTAATCGAGTATCGAACTCTGGTTTTTTTAATATCACAACTAACTAGAAACGTCAGACTTTAAACGAATTGTTTTTGCGTCTGGCATACTTTTTCACTTCGAAAAAAAACTACTTCAGTTTATCGTTGACACTCGAGTTCAGTCGCAAGGCCATTTTTTAGCGAACAAAAAGGCAATTAGCCACAGAATGGTCCACATGAATTTCGACCATGCATGTGCGACCCTCCAAAGTAAGAAGGGTCTGGTAAAAGTCGCTTCAACTTGTTGGATTTCATCGAGGCGGACCTCGATTCCGTCTATATGGGAGGAAGAAGCGTCTCTTTCTTCTATAAAATATGGGTATGGCGGGAAAATTACCCGGAAAATTAACATGATAGGTTTATAGTTTCTCGTGTGGTGCGTTCAGCTTCAGCTGTCATCTAAGTAATGCGTGCGTCACGCAGTGGAGGAAGCGATAGTTTTACACACTAGCTACCTCAATAAACGAATACGGATGAGAATATGGGATAAAAAAATGAGGACCTAAGCCTAATATCCGAGCAATCAGCACCCACCAGACAGGCCCGCCCTGTCGGTCAGTACTTGATGCCAAAACTGTACTACCTACCAATGTTCGAAGACCTACAATCTCAGAAAGGAGCGACCCCAATTCGTCCTGGCGAAAATCTAACAACCACCAGCAGCGCAAGAACAGATTGTGTGTTATAAGTGAATCGTTTTCTGATTTCTTCGGCACCTATGAATGATTTCTATGAATAATACTCGATGGAGTCGCGGGCCCCGGAGAGAGAGAGAGACCTCGCAAAAGATGTTGTGTCATCGTTTGGTGCGAAAGCGAACGGCGAGGAAGCGCTCCATGGACGCCCCGGGGAAGATGAAGATACTGCTCCTTCCAGCTAGTACTTGTAGCGATACTACTAGGCCGTGCACGCGATAGCGTGATCAGTGCCCGTTCCATGGTGGACAAGAACATAGGGACCAGTATGTCACGTCCCTCCCACTGGAAGTCATATGGGATCTCTTCTATGAAGCCGAGGGATTACTGCTGGTAAAGCTCCCTGGGTTGCTCTGGAGTGCTTCCAGGTCTTGCACCGAATGATACCGATCTGCGGCAAAGGCTACACGTTCGCCTTCTGCTCTCGCTGCAACGGCAGCAACCGCCGACGGCGATCCCGGTTTAAGAACATCGAGTTTTGATGTGTCCACTTGGTGGCCGGGTCTTCCGGAAAGACCGGTGTTAGCAGCTCCGTTTGCTTGGCTCTCTGTGCCCTTGAGGTTGGAGGAGGATGGATCTTGGCTATCCTCGAGCAAATCATCCGACGTCTGCCGAATATGCAGAGAGTCTGCTCTAAGAAATTCATTCTCCATCACTGTGGACCGCACGCTCTCCTGGAGGCCGACTACCTTGCGCTCCATCTTACCTGCATTGTGAGTTGAAGTGCGTTTCGTTGAAGTTGATGATAAGTGCCTGAGTTAATCCTGAGTAGCAATCTATCTATCATTTACTCACGCAGTGCGCTAACTTTTGCGCGAATGCTAATAGACCAGCGAGGCAGAACTAGTCAGCCCCATTGCATTGCCTATAAATAGAAAGAACAAGCAAGAGGCGCAAAGAGTAGGACACCCCCCTGCCCCTACTTTTCCGCGACAAAAGTAACCAAGCCCCGCCAGGCTCGCTCCCTCCTTGAGTGCTGCCCCTTCGTGGTGGGCTCGCCGTGGGTCGCTACGTAGCAAGCGGGGCACACTCCGCGCGCGCTGCCAGCACTGGAGGCCGAGGTCTCAGCTATGGCAACAGGAGAAACCTGCCCAGCTTCTGCCTACACTTCCCGCCGGCCAGCCCATGACTGCTCTCAGCTTTTTAACTGCATAAGCCTCCACGCTATGGCGGCCCTCGCTATTGCTCTCCCCGGCCTTGCAGGCTGCTCAGCATTTGTCCACGCTGCTGAAGTGCATGCGCCTGCCTTCTCGAATGGTAGCGCGGCCGTGCCTGTTCTCCGAGAATTTCGGCAGGCTCCGGCGCCCTTTCCTGTTTCAGTCTCTGTTCCTTGCTTAGAATCAAAGCTAAGCCAGCCCAATAGCCTTCGCTGGCGTGGAGAGTGAAGGCATCGAGCCCGCCACAAGTGCCCGGCCCCACTGCTCTCCACATTGGGAGGCAGTGCGCGAGCGGCGAGCCTCGCCAAGGAGTCCGATGCTGGCGAGCTCCAGGCGCGGCGTTACATTCCTAAACTTTCTCCCACACAAATGCGCGCCCTCCTCCAGCGTGTCCAGCTGCCGCCGCCGGATCATTCCCCGCCTGCTTCATGTTATGGGCCTCGGCGCGCCACCCCGACGACACCCCCCGCAGGGTGCTCCATCAAGTTCTGGGGCTTTGCCGCTCAGTCCGCTAAGCGTTGCCGCGGGCAGAGCGACTCCCAAACTGTCATCCGCCTCTCCCTTTCTCTTCTCCTGTAGCCTCGGGGCGGCGCGAGTACTCCACCTGACCCTTCACCCAAACACCGAAGGCCACCCGGCCGCGCCGGGGCCTGCTCCACTGCTGCGGCACGCACCTGCGACATCGCCAGACGAATGTGCGCCGCAGGCGCGTCTTCCGATACATTGCCAGTATATGACCGAGGCCCTCGACGCCGTCACGATGGTAGACAGAGGTAGCCCAGAACTGTCCGCGGCGTGTCAGATTTCGACAACAGCAGCGAGCACCAGGCGCATCGAAGAGGCCCGCGCTGGCACTGCCTGCCTCCTGCTTCGGCTCTTTGTTCCTCTTTTCAAAAGTGGAAAGGCATCGGCAGGCCAGTCACGCAAGAAATTGCACCCAGCAAAAAAGCCGCACCGCCAAGCCCCCGCGCTTCGCCCCGGGTCTTTGCCCCGCATCTCCCCAACCCAAAGAGGGCCAGTGGCCGAAGAAATACCACAAAACATCTAGGGCTTTTGCGGCTTTCTCGGCCGTCTGGTGCCTGCTGTGCACCGGCACGCCGGGACGAGCGCGCGAACGCACCCGCCCTGTGGCCTTCTGGCTCGGCGTCTCCTGCTGTCTAGACCCGATGGCCGAAAAAGTACCAAAAAGCCCCCCACGCTTTTGCAACTTTTTCGGCCGTCCGGTTCCTGCCATGTACAGGCCCGCTGGAACGGGCGCGCGGGCAACCCGGGTCTGTCACCTTCTGGGCCGGTGTCTCCTTCTGCCAGGCGCCCGACTTCTGCGCATTTCTTCGGCAGTTCCAGCCCGTGGCCTCCTCTACCAATAAAGAATTTATTGGTGTCGAGTTTCCTGCTTCATAAAAGAAATATTCGATGTGCTTACTTCGTAATAACCATGACTGTACCAACGATGTCGCCCATTTGTTTTTTGAGTGTCTCCAGCTCGTCTACTGCCGATAGGATGTTGCTCTTAGCGGTCTCCACCACTTCCTGCCCGTCTGTCTGGACTGCTGCGTCGCAGAATTTTACTCCCTCTGCTCCCGCAGGCTTCGTGGACCCTAGCAAATGGACCGGCCGAATCTTGGGTAGATGCTTATATCTTGGATACAGATCCTCCAGAAAGGCATTTACACGCTGGACATTTTTCGTCAGCCTTGCGACCTCCTTCTGCCGCGTCGTTAGCGGCACAGCATCCCATTTTCGGATAGCCTCGAATTCGTTTACCACGTTCCACGTCACGTGCCACAGAGCCTCACACGAGATGCTCCGCTGTCTGCAGCATGCGTGCAGCGCCGCCTCGATGTAGTCCTCGTAAAAACCAATATGAAAGGAGCTTCATATCCTCGATTACAACACCTCTAATTCAGCCAACAAAAAGAGGACATTCCTCAATCAAAAACGGATTGCTTGTATAACCGCTAGCAGTGAGTTCTTTTTAAAATGTCTGGCTGAATCTGCATCTTCTAGATATTCATATTGCTCTTATAAAAACCAAAACTATATTAATGCCGCGCCATAGCATATCTGGTCCAGATATCTTCTGTTGTGAACCCCTTTAGAATATCCGTACGTTCGTACTAGCGGCTGCACCACATGAATATATACCGTTTCTACCACATGCGGAAACCAATCCAGCTGTTGTATACATACAGGCGTAAGAGGTAGAGGAAAAATGCACTCAGCAAGTGAATGTTGGTATTGTAAACCCTCCATCTTCTCATTCTCAGAAATCGGAACGAGTGTTCTCATTCTAGGCTTACAAAGCACGGCCGGAAATGAGATTTCCATCCGTGCTTCGCGAAACGTTGTCAAACCTTTTACTAAATTTTCGGCTTCATCATGCGATGTGAAGATGGAGGGGGGATCGGAACTGGAAGTTTTGACTTGATTGAAGCTGTTCTGATCAGGAGTGACTCGAAGATTTGCATTCATCGTCGCGTTGCAAACGGGATACTTCTAGTGTTCTTCAAATATCTCAGATATCGTAGGTGGACCACCTCATTTTAGAGTATACTCTACCAAGCAGATGAATACCATTTTTGTGGCAGTGTAGTAATCGGCTTGCCCATTGTCCCCGAGAAAGATCCATTTGAACTCGGGATACAAGGACTGGTATTGCGTGAAGTTCTCGTATTTTTTGTCTCCTAATGGGCCGAAATCACCGTGCCATACGAACTGCGCTGCCGTCCCGATTCCGCCTGGCAACAGTGCAGGCATACAGTGTAGGCCGTTTTCGCGCTGCATCTTGGCAAAATACTCGAAAAGATGCGACTCCATCAAATCCCCTACGATATGCGGTCGCGAGGAGAAGCCAACCAGATGCCCAAAATTACAATCCAAGCGCTCCTCAAGCTGTCGTGTAGAAGACCTGATGAGGATTTATGTTTATCTCATGCAGATCTGCGACATTTAGAGTAAGGCCCAAGTATTAGGTAAGCAGTTAGTGAGCAGTAGTAGTGCAAGAAAAAACATTGTCAATACTCTTCGCTTCCCGGCGAGTCGTCCTCCACATTGCCTTTGGGCGTTATTGGTGGGCTTAACGCGTCGTCGTCGTCCACTTCGTCTCCTGTCATTGAGTCTGATGCTAACCCGATTACCAAACCACGCGTCTGAGTCGGTATTGGTTCTCCCGTAGTACTAGTAGTACTGGACGAAGTTTTCTCTAAGGCTTCGGCCTTGCCCATCGTCGGAGCAGGTGACATTGGAGGGCTGCTTGCGGAATCAAGGCTAGTACGACGACCCGCAATAGTTAGAGTTGACTGAACGGGCAGGGGTGAAAGCATCTTGTTAGCGGCTGCGCTAGAATGTTGATGCTCCTCAGATAATTCCCCAAGATCCGACCCAGGAGACAAACCTGCCACCTGCGTTGAACCCAGAGCCTCTCCATCGGCCACGTCGCTTTGCGGAGACTGGAGTGGGGGAGTGTCAGGTGAAGACGCGAAGCTCGACCCAGACTGATTGGTACTCGCAAGCACGTCAGGACTCCCGGTGCCCTCGGAGCCGTCTCTTGGCCCATTGTCGGGTCTTGGGACGCCGCCGTCGTTCGGAGTCACGCTAGCGCTGTCTTCGTCATAGGAACCGTAGCCACTGTCGTCGTTGTTCACATCCTGCGCCAAAGGGTCATCTGGATACATAGTTACAGCACCTTCCTGTTCACCAGCACCACTAGGAAGCTTTTTTGCTGCTCCTCCTTCACAGGCTTCTAACTCCGCAGCTGCGAACGCGGCAGTGATGCTGGCGATTTTTGCCTGTATCACTGTGTCGCCACCCGCAATCGTGGCTGGCTGGTGCAGCACTATGGGGTCCGTCTGCGACTCTGTTCGTTTCGGGGAAGAGTCCCGGCCCTCCATTTTTCCCGATCCTACTTGGCTACTCGCGCCGCCTTCACCAGCACTAGCTGATGATGATGACCCTCCTCCACCTATCTTGTTTCCAGCGTGGAGGTCGCCAGAAATTGTAGTAGATGAACCTAGTGCCGTACTAGTAACTACAGTACCAGTACCGGAAGTCAATCCCCCTGGCCCTCGGGGATCCGGTGTTGCAGGGGGGCTCCCGGGTAAAGGCGTGCCCGACGTGGTTGCCGGTCCAACGCCGATCGACGTCGTGACCGGACGGACACTACCAAAACGACTCAGCATAGTCGCACTACTGCTCGTGGCCGCTGGAGTTGAAGAGGACGTTGCACTACTGGATGCAGAGGTAGAAGTGGTTCCCGTTGCACCCGTAGAAGAGCCGCCTTTGACCGTGTTTGGTGCTTCTATAACGCCAAATAGTGGCCCTCGTCTAAAGTGCGCGTCCGCCGTCTGCGGAAAATCCGTCTGCCATCTACTGCCACAGGCTGGCGTCACTCGGTTCGCGAGACTGCTCGGCGACAGGTACCACTTATCCAAAGAGTAAGCGTCCAGACTCACGTCTCCATACTCTAGTACTTTGTAAAAGGTAGTAACTCCGGGATAAATGCACTTCCGAGGATACCGCATGTCCAGACCCGCAATGTGATTACCCCCTGAGCACAAGAGAGTGTCGTCCATATCGGTAAGTATTTTCATCCACTGATGCCGCGCTTGCAACCCTTGAAACACCTGCTGCGCTGCGCCCATGTCTAAAAAGGAGAGGTAATCTCCGCTGTTGCTCAGGTAGTACTGCGCGTCCTCGCCGATGGATTTGAGCCCTCCTAGGCCAGAAGACTGCTGTGCTAACGACGAAGTGCTGCCACCGCCAACACCTAGTGTGCCACTTCCGCTGAGGCCACTGAGCGTCCCAGAGCCGCCACTCCCACTTGTTGCTGACGCGCCGCCCCCACCCAGAGAACCGCCTAAGTCAACGGATCGCAGTGGCGTTCGTGCGCCTGACTGCACCGGCGTGACACTTCCGTCACGGTTATGCACAGTGCTCGTCGTGCTGGCATCACTGTCTGCCGCGTCGTTGTCCTTTTCTCCTTTGTTCGCAGTCACGGCGCCCAACTTAGACGCAGAACTTAACTTTTGCGCGGCTAAGCGACCTCCAGCTGAGTTTCGAAGTGTCGTCGGTGTCATAGCCCCACTCCGCTGTCTGCTATCAATGCCTATTGGGCCGCCTCGATCCGCGGTATCTACCGAGAGCTGACTCTCCTCGCTGGGCGTGCGCTTCCGCCCGCTGCCCGGTTCCCGCATCATGAATCGATCTGGTGTAGCCGTCGTTGTCGCGCGGATCGAGCCCGCACCTGATTCGCCAACCGTCCCCGCGCTTGGCGGCGTGCTAGGCCCGCCCATTCCGATAATATGCTCCCACGCCTCCTCTGGCTCGTTCATCAGCTCCTTGCGCTTCACCAGATACTGCAAGTGCTGATCCCGGTGCACCAATCTTGTGTATACCTGCATGGTACTCTGCTCCCAGATGTGCCGCAGCACGTGGCACCGACTCTCGTACCCTAAGTCCGAAAAGACTAGCTTCCAAAAACCGTGAATGCTCCCTTTGCTATCGGTCATACTCTTCAAATTCGTCAAGTCGTCACCCAGAGTGTTCATGATAATCCGCTGAACGCCAATTTCGGCCTCCGGTGAGCACGTAAACTTAAGCACTTGTAGAGCGTTGATGATCAACACCCGCGACCGCACCGTCAGTTCCTCCACCGCGTCCTCGGTCAAAAACGAGATCAACTGTGTGCGACTGCCTCCTCTACTGTCACCAGCGCCGCGATCTTGCAACCGATCCAACAAGATCTCCAAGTCACAAGTCTGCACAAGGGCGTTGAAAATATCGATACCACCGGTCTGCAGAAGCAACTTGTCGTGCGCGTCCACGAAAATCTGGTGGATCTTACCTGATGAGAACTAGTCTTGTAGACTAAAGACCACAAACTACAACTAGTAGTACTATGTGTAACTTATGCAGAGTTTTACTACGTTATAGTTTAGTTGCTACTTTCCTGTTCTCGCTGTCCGGTTTTTCGAAAGAGCGCCAAAAACCAGCTTGCGAGGTACGAAACCTTGCTGCTTTTGAAGTAGTCCCTTTCCTGCAAGAGGCGCTGGATTTCCGCATTCATTTCTTGCACCTCTGGACTCGTCGTGGCTAGACTTGTACTCCGTATGCTCTGCGCGTGCTTCAGCAGACTAGATTCCCGCATGATGCTTGTGTACGAGAATACGATCACAGGGCAGAGACAGAGCATGGCAAAAACAACACCAGAATGGTGGATCGGCGAGTCGTGGGAGTAGGTAGGACTGTCCGACGGAACGAAAAAAGTTATCTGAGAGAGGACGAGACAAGTTTATCTAATTTTTCAAACTTTGTTTATGTCAAGCAGTGGATACCGAGTGACGCAGAAAGAAAATCAATGTAAACACGACGTCAGGGGCTAATCATTATGATACTACGGACTAGAAACATAAATGCGCCATCGAAATGAAAACTGATATCGATATCACTGCTCTTTCAGATTCAGTATTTCTCGATGACGATCCACCAAGAGCATCAGATTAAAGCACGGAATCATTATCATTGCACCTGAGATAGTCATTCTTTAGCATAGAAGTAAGTACCACCATCGCCATCATGACGATCGCCATGACCATCTCATCTCCGAGCTGCAACCTCATGCGCTTACTCCACAACAGACCACGTCTGACTTGCCACAACGTCCAGTGGCAGGCGCTACATCGCTTACTTCCGGAAAATGAAAGCCATCAAAAAGTCAAACTCAACACTAGCTTTCCCATCGTCCGCTCACGATGTGTGCGTTGATATTGACTAGTCTAAGAATATCTGTTACAGAAAAAGAACGTTCTTGTTCTTTCACTTCCATGCGGTTGATTTATGAGACTAACAGTCACGACTTCACTTGCTGTTCGAATATAAGTACTAAGTAGTAGTTGTGTCAACATAACACGGGTCGTCCAGCTGTAGCAATCGTGGCTCCTTTCAGAAGATGATGCGTTTTTCCTCCTGCAGTCGACTTACTCGAAGATGATGCACCAGTGCCTTGTTTCCCGCTCGAAGATGATGCGGAGGTGCTGACAAATCCACTTCTAGTATTTGACGCGCTGCGCGTTGGTTCGGCGGTCGTTTCTACGTCGACCGCGTCCTTCATGCTTTCCATCTGCCGAGAAAGGACCATAAGCGTTGAATCCTCCGCAAAGATCGAGAAGAGAGCGAGCAAAGTAACCATAAGGAAGAGTATCGTGAAAAACGGCATGAAGAGCATGCCCAGCAGCATCATGCCTCCAAGGACGATTAGAAGGACTAAGAGCCCATAGCGAATCCAGCTGAGCGCTCTTTCCGTCAAAAGCGCATCACTAAGTTGCCCCGCATGACTGGCGATTTGATTTTTCACGTTCGTTTTGCTTCCGCCTCCGCCTATTGCCCCACCAGGCAACGTAATACTGGTACGCCCACCAGGCTTCACCGAAGTGGCCGGGAGAAAACCGCTCGTCGGGAGGCCGTCGGAGGCTCCCAGAAAATGAAAACCCGGTGAACCACGCCAGTAGTCCAGTGAAAAAATACTTTTGTTAGAGCTCAAACCGTTCATTTCTTCAGTTCATTTCTTCAAATTCCCAATAAGGAAATCGAAGAAAATCACCCTTGAAAATGAATTACTTTGAGCCTTAATTTTGGGTGCCGGTGCCGATGCAAGTCCGCGACCGCCTCCTAGCAGGCCCTTCGAAGACGTGCGCGTCCGCAAGGCGGGACTGCCCGACTTGGTCCAGCCCTTTGGTGATGCGTTCATCTTTTCGAATGATCAAACGGGACTACTCAGCATCACCAACGTCGACCACCTCCAGAAGGACATAAAAGCCCTCTTCTGCACAGGGGCTTCGGCACTTGCTAGCGCCACTGCTTCTAATGCCACTGGGAAAATATCCTCGAATCGTCTATGCTATCTTCACCCAGAATGCGCGCACCAAGAACAATGCACGTCGATTATGCGCCGCATCCATTTCGACTGTTGACGTGCGCCTCTCGTTGACCCGTCGTCTTCTTGAAAAGCTGGTCTTCGTTTTTTGGATTTTTTCTCGGATTTCACAGTCGAACAAAGCCACGGGGCGAATGGCAACTCATCCTTATCAATTCCTGAGTGGAAACTTTGTTTTTGACCTAATAAACGTTAAGAGTAACAATGCTCATGTACCGCGTATACAAACTCTGTCTTCCCAAAAAGTCAAACTAGTCTACTCAAAGAAATTTCACAACACGCGTCGCATACCTGTACAACTACGGGGTACGTTTCATCTCATTGTGGTATCTACTACTGCTCAATACGGGGCTCAACTCGACGAGAGTGCGCTTTTTACAGGTTCTTTCTTGGGGTGTAGAAGCTGTATAGGAAGCTCCGAAAAAAATATATCCAAAGCCTGCTGTTCAGTTTCAGAATTAGGAGTTCTCGCTTCTCCGATCTCTCTCACAATATCACGCCGCTTTTCACAGTATCTTATGCTTATCAAAAAATGGCAAATAGAGTATTTTCAAAGTATCTAGTTAAGTGGAGACGTGTTAGGGCTGTATCTCTTTTCTTTTATCTTTTATGATCGTCGCCCTACTGAGAACCGCATCATAAACCGCACATTTCTGGCGGGAGATCGTTGTCGCTCCGATTTTTTATCAAGCAAGTGCTGCGGAAGTCAACACTTTTTAGTATGATTGCGCAAGCACTTCTAATAAGTACTTACATCTCAACCTTTATTCATTCATTCATTACTCGCAAAAAATCTAGTAGAATTTTTTTTTTTCCATAGGACTACATGCTGCCTCCCATTCAACTACTTAAATAACCTCATTTAACAACTTACATACCGGGGGAGCAAGAAGACCGTGTCACAACGGCCAAACCCTAAGACTATCGGAGAGAGCTATAAGCCAATAGCCTCTGTAGAACAGATAAGGCACAACCTAACAATGTAGGGCCCTGGAAGCTAGAACACGTTGATTTGCTTCTGAGTGAGATGCTCAGAAGTGCACTTTTGCCTAGTACACATGACTCCTGAGAAGTAATTATAACAAGCTTTTGAGCAGAGAGAACAGTGCTTGGAATGATATGATCTATATCCAGCGCATCCCATTATTCTACTATCCGAAAAACAAAGGTGATCAATGTCTTGTTACGACTAACTCACAGGACAAAACAAAAGTTTACAAGTTAACCATGTGTTGGATTTTCGTTCCGTCACAGGGAAATGGGGAAACATAAACTACGTGAACTCTGTGAAGGTTCTTTAATTATGCGTGTGAGGGAGATGGGAAACATCGCATTATGAAAATAGGCATGGTCTCAGGAGGTGGATCTTCTTTGATGACATGTGATTAAGTGACTTCATCAGTACTGGTATGGAAAAACAACATGCCAGTTCTTCAAGTTCAAGAAGTATTAGAAGCTGAGAACGAAGTCTTCTATGTCGTGAAGGCCGCATGCGTGGCCTGGGATCTTTGGAGGTTGAATTTGAAGGGTGACACTGCCACCTTGATATCGGCAAGTCTCTCGCGGACCCACTCTTGTGGTTTCAAACCTGGGAAGCACGCGGCCGCGTTCGTTGTCATAAACCGCTTATTCGCTTCCGGGACGCAGCCGCAGAATTCTGCCAATATGAAATGGTATAATGCGTCCTCGAACTCACGCGCGCAAAAACCACAGTAGCGGGAAACGATATACAAAGTGTGGCAGACGTGCCAGCTAGGCGTGAAAAACTCCGCGACTCTTGGAACAACCATCTTCGCAAGTAAACACCTTGTGTGCTGTTCCATCACTGTCTGGGCCATACGAGCCTCATCCCCGCCTCGCACGTTCTCAAACACCTATGAAATAGCAATTGTTGTAATGTAGTCAAACCTAAAAGTCGACGATGTAAATGCAATTCCAGAAAGTAAGCAGGGATAACAAGATTAACGACTTGTATCTGATCCCATTTGAAGTAGAAATAGTACCGTATGCAACTGCACTGTCGCTTGGATCATCTTGAGAATGGGCTTAAAAGTGCTCTTTTGTATTGCGACTCTCAAAGCTGGAAGTGGCACGTCACTTTGAAACTGCGTTTTCGGAAGATTGCACTTTTCAGGTCGTGTCTTTGGATTCAATGTCTGCGTTTGCGCAGCACGCGAGAGACACATTAGCATTGTACCGCATCCACGGACATACACCTCAGTTTCCAACGAGTACCTTCGCTTCTCCAATAGCAAGGCCCACGGATCGTGTCTGGAGCAGCTCTTTTGAGATGTTGTGCCGTCGAAAGTTGTGGAAGACAAGGCTCCACTCGACGTGGAGGTGGAGGCCTTGTTACTAGCGATACCTCCCGATGATCCAGAAGACGACAACTGCTCACCAGCATCTTCGTACAAGAAGGAAAAAGGGATGTGCTCGCGCCATTGCTGATCTGCCGGATTCATAGCGCAATTTCCAAAATAGGAATCCTGCTTCTGGTCTCCTAGGAGGAGGTCAAGATCCTGCAGTGGTAAGGCCTCCGCAACACTCTCAAGAAACGCTATCCCTTTTCGCATCCAGCTGTACGCCTCTTCCTGCAAATTCTCGTGGAAATCGTCTCTCCCTTGGCCCACAATGCTTCGCATGAAATCACGCACAATGGAAAAACACGCTCGAGCACAGTAGAGCCGTGCTTTTTTCGCATAGTTGGCATTGGCAGAATTGCCATTGTTATTTGCACCTTCTGTTCCTTCGCCATTTGCGCTTTTCCTCCTCTGCTCTTCGAGGTCCGAACGGCGAGCAGCCGACTGCATGCCCTCCCCACGCTGCTGGGCATCAGCGGCCACCACAATTTGCTCGAACCCTTGGAGAAACTTGTCGTATAAGGTTTTCCTTTCTGAGGGATTCACGCAGCTCTTGATCTGGAATTTGCGTAGCCTATACAAACTCTCGAGTTGCCCATCAGCACCACAGCGTTTTGCCATCGCAAAAGCGTCTTGACACAAAGCAGTAATAGTCGCTTTGCGATCTCGCGCAGGTAACCCGGTCTCAAACCGCTCCAAGTGTCGCGCGAGCGCGAACGGCAAAAACCACAGCAGTTCTCCTGGCACGCCTGACTTTCCTTCTAGCTCGAGCAAAATGTCGACTCCAGCTTGCTTTCGTACTTCTGGCTTCACCTCCATCAAAATCTGTACGAACGGTGCGCTGTACTTGTTCCTCAAACCACCACTAGCTGTACCGATGGCCGCCGGCCCACGCAGCTCCGCACCACTGGACTCTTGTCTGAAGTAGCTCACAACGCCTGGGAGGAGCGCCGCAGCGTCACTACACTGAAGCAGGAAGTGCAACATGCGGTGTACAAAAACGTGCGTCAGCAACACCGAACGGCGCTTAGGCACTACACTGGAATCCAGCAACAGGACTGAAAGGACGTCTGCACAGGACAAAAGCCAACGCCGTGCGCTCTGCTTTAGCAATGCTGGCCCGCCGCGCAGCAGCTGCTGTCCTTTCCTCAACTTCGTTACCTCTGTGCGGCAAGCCCGTAGTGCGTCCGCAACTAACCAAGAGGACACTCCAAGACACTGTCGGAACAACAGTTCCCGCAAATCGTCCTCCTTCGTGTATGCGGCGTGCTTCTCGGTGGTACCGATCACCGACAGTTTGCGTACCTCGCTGTTATTCAGCACTAGCATCTGACTTCCACCTTGGTCCTCTGCTGATGAGGATGCTACTGCACTTCCTCCTCCACTCGCAGGTGGCGCCCCTGCCTTTGCTTTGGCCTTTGGCATGACGGTGATCTTTCGCTTCTTGCTGTCATCTTCTTCTTGCTGTGTGCGCACGAAGAGATCTGGGCAGTTCTTGCGCACGAAGGACTGGCTCTTGTCGACGGATTCGTAAGCGGCAGTGCGATCCAGGGCTGCGCAATACAGCTGTAAGTACGACTCTAGGACCACCTGCCAAGCGCGCACGCTCTGTCCTTGAGACAAGGCTACGTCCAAACTTACGTTCGCCAAATGGTACATGGCGCTGCCCAAGACCGAACTTCCACGAGTACCAAACTCCTGCAGCGCCGGAAGCACTCGCGTGTCGTTGAAACCAGCAGAAGACCTGTCTGGCATAACCACTAGAGCACTGCTACTACGACTTTCAGAAGAGCCCAACAAGGGCGAGGCACACTCGAATCCGTGTCGCAACAGCGTCTTTTAGAGTCAGCTTTTATCCATCTCGCTCCCCTCATCTCGATCCCTTTCCCAAAAAATACAAGGGAAAAAAGTGTCAAGATGCTAAGAGAGATGGATACAAGCTGACCTTAAGTCTTCAGTTCGTCGATCATCAGCGTTTCACTTTCTAACAACGGAACCCGCTGCAGAAGACTGCTCAAGTTTTGACCCTGCTTCAAAAAAGCAGCGTCTACTGCAAGTGCAGCACTGTCACTCACACTAATCATGGTCGTGGTAGTCGATGCTGCTCCAGAAGGTGTTGACATCTCTGCTTCTGCTGCGCCGCTGGATGAAACACCCTCGTCGGCTACCGCGTCCGCGATCTTTCCAAAGAGTTCAATGTTGTCTTTGTCTTGCGGATGCAAGCGTCCGAGCACATAGTCTCGGTCCGCCGCCGCCGAGATTGCAGTGGAGATCCACGCGTTGTCCTGCCGCTTATCGAACGTCCAGAATTTCCACAACGGATTAAAAATGTCCGGCCCTACCTGCGAAAAGCTTCCAGGCTGAAGCCGAACCGAGTCGAAGAAGTGGCTTACGAGAAACTTCGGCAGCACGAGAGGATGGAAAAGGTGCGTGTACCGTCGACACGGCTTCGCACGCTTCTTTTCGTCCAACTGCTGGCGACTCAGGTCGGTCAGAAACTTCTCTCTGCTCGCGTCCTGGAAGAAGGCTGCGCCGAACAACTTCAAGCAAAAGTAGGGCAGAGAGCTGTGCAAAAAATTGAGTCCAGCTGGAAGCCGCTGATCGAACACTCGAAGGTGCTTCAGCGAAGACAGCGCTAAGGACAAAATGTGATTTGGCTGTTGCATCTCCGGCGAGCCTGGATTGGCGCTCGAAAAAACGCGGCTATTGGAAAACTCCAGCGAAAAGAGTGCTGCTGGGGATGCACTTAGCCGCAACTCCCTCAAGGAATACAATTTCACAGGCAACACTACAGAAACTACATCAGCAGGAGAGCTTCTTGTTGATGAACTTCTTTGAGTAATAACATTGCAGTGGTCACTCCACCCAGGCAAGATAACGTCTGCATCCTGCGTTGAGAGTGCACCACTCTCCACCGCAACGAAGAGAGCTTGGTACCAGGAATCCGGGCCACACTCGCCACCAAACCACGTACAAACCGATCGCATCACGATCGCTGCAACCCTTCGTGAAATTTCCTGCCCGATATCCACCGCCGCATCCACCGAAGTCGACGTAGAGGGTGAACCTCCAACAGAGTTTGCGGTAGATGATGAACCCCCAAGCTGATACTCTCGTTTGAACGTGCGCGAAAAGTCGCAATCTATGCGAAGGACTGCAGTAAGGAGTAGATGTGTGAAGGAGCGGTAGTTGAGAAAGGTCTTCTGTTCTACGACAAGATTCTCAGCTCGCCGCCTGGCGGACGTGCCACTGCCACTCGGGTTGTTGTTCTCGCCCACAGTGGATGAAGCAGCCTCCTGCTGCGCGCTCTGGTTCAGCACTTGGTCCAACAAGTCTTCGGTTTCCTGCTTCCGAATATTGTCAATTGCGTTATCCAGGAGCAAGGTCGTTCCCTCCGCTTCGAAGAGTTCTGGGTAGAGCTGGCGGTCGAAAAAAGCCTGCGACAAGATCGCCCGTCTTCCCTCCTCCATCGACGCAGGCGCGTCGGTCCCTATTAAGAGCGAGACCAGAGCGTAGGGATACTTTAATACCAAGTCCTTGTGGGTGCGTGTCACTTCTTGGAAAAGGCTGCACATCTCCAAATACGTGTTCTGCGCACTGTGCAGCATCTTGAAAGTGAGACGAACGAGATGGAGAAACTCGCTTCCATTTGAATTTCCGACTCCGACTGTGCTGTTGACTGTAGCGCTGTCTTCGTAGCTTCGCCCATGGAAAACCAGACGGCCCGCGGCCTTGAGCGAAATGGACGATCCATCCTTCCCCTTGAACAGAGAGGACGATCCATCCTTCCCGCTGAACGAAGAGGTCGATCCACCGCCAGCAACAAACGCGGAGGAGCGCGTTGAAGTACTATCGCCGTAGACACTTTTTCCTCCAGCGGCTGACTTAGTATTCTTGTCGTCCTTGGCGGGTGACGACATGCCGACTGCTACATCGCGCAGCTCGATGCCTCCCTTGACGAGGCACATGAGACTCACCGTGGCGAGAGGCGCAAGCCAGCGACGACTAGTAGGGTCGCGAAAGAAACTGCACACGAGCAACACCATCGCGAGCCCGCATTTCCCCACCGCACTGTCGTCTCCCAGCAAACAGCGTCCAAGGGGTACATCTTCCAGCAGAAGTGTGCGCAGCATCGCCGCTGCGCTTTCGTACTCAGGTCTTGGACAGACAGCCATCGGATTATTGCGAATTTGTAAACTGCCTCCAGTTTTGGGGTCCGCCTTCTCCCATTGCCGCACCGCAAACGGGCCTAAAACCCGCGCACCACGACCCCAAATTCCGGCGTTCACTGCCTTCTCCGGTGCAATATGAACCTTCCTCTTCATCTCGTCTCTCTTTTTTCTGGTGCCATGAAGATGATCTGCTACGCCAGAGGAAGACTCAGCTGCTGCTTTTGCGAAGCCAGGGCTCGTCTGCTTCTGTCCTCTAGCGGCAGCTACGGGCGACGCTTCCCCAAAAAGGAACTCCTCGTCGGCAGGAGAGACGCTCTCGGCAAACGAGTCCTCCAAATACGAATCGTAGGGATGCTCAATTTGTGCCACCAATTTACGCACACTTGCGAAAACGTCACAGGCATACGGATTTTCCGAGAACCGGCAGAACAGGTTGAGCATATTCACAATCCGCCGCAGCAAAACCGCCGCTGGGCGACTCTTCCCCGAAGCAGCAACTGATGATGGTGTAACGAGATTGCTAGACGTGGTGGGATCAAAGCAAGCTGTTGCTGAATCAATTAGCTCTCGAAACACATCGTCCTGTAAAGAAACAGACCCGAACTGGTAGTAGACGTCGCAGATAGCCAGCAGCGAATCGGAAGCATAAGCCGAAAGCCCGTGGTGCGTCCCAAATTGTGGCGAGGAGAGCAGCAGATGCAGAACACCAAAGCAATCGGAAAACTTCTCTTGTTGAGCAAAAAACTCCGCGCAAGCTAGGCCAGACCTACTAAGAAACGCAGCAACGCGCACCTGCTGTGGCGTAGAATTTGAAGAATCGTGGTCCATGAATGCTGGTCCACCGAGGAAATTGAGACAGTCTAAATGTCGCAAGATCGCCATCTCATGTTCCGGCTGCTTCCCGCGAAAATGCACAACATCTATCTGTTCCGCTGTCATCTCCCCAGCCAGATCCGCTGCGCTCTCCAATTTTAAACCATGGCCTGTGCCTCTGAAGTGCTCACTAGATTGCTTCTGCCGCTTTGCGTTCAACGCAATCAGTTCAGCACAATCCTGAGGACCCGACTCACCAATAATGACACAGTCATCATCACTAGACACCTGTTCTTCCTCTTCGTCCTCACGAGAACGCTTCTTGTTGGACTCTTGGTCTCCCTTGGGACTCATGTCGTCCACAGAGCTACCCCTTGCTCCAACATCTTCCTCTAAAACGACGCCGCCGCCAGCACCACCTGCGTTAGCTGAATCCACTTCATCTAGATCGATTACTAAATCGTCGATGCTCAGCGACCCACCATCCGTTGCGGCGTCTAGCCGCGCCTCGAGCGCCAGGAGTTCGGAGTCTGCCATGCTTTCTAGTCCCTGAGGTGACTCCAGAAGCCACTGTAACCGAGCGTCAGTGTCCCTCCTCTGTGCAACTGCCGCGCGCTTGGCATGCTCCGAGAAGGTATCATGGCGAGAAGTACTCGTATGCCCAAGAGCGAAACTGGGCTCCCGAGATTGCGTCGAGGAGACGTATCTTTCTGGTTGATCGCGCTTTCTCCTTCTGCCAAGTAGTTTTCTTGCTAGCTGCCGACGTCGCAACCAAATGGTGCTATGTGCCTCTAGCTTCTGCACACTGCCCACATCCGTGTGAAGGTCCAGAAAAAAATGACGCAGCAGTCGCGTCACCCCATCGTGTGACTCCTCTGGAATGCGCTCAAATCCAGGTGCAGAGAAATAGGCTCGATTCACAGGAGCTTGTGTTGGCTTGCTTGCGTTGCTGTTTTCCGTGTTCCCGACTGTTGTTTTCCTCCTGCCGTTTCCATCAGTCGTCCTCCCATAACCCTCTGTACTAGTTGTGGATGACGTCAGGGAGGTTCCTACTGGAGAACTACTTGCGAAAATTTCATCGAAAACTTCCAAGAGCAGATAGTACCAGGTCTTTTCCTCCTTAAAGCCTTTCCACACACGGTCCATGAGATCCCTTTCTGCAGGCTCTCGAGCACTGCTTTGGTCCGCTAAAATTAGACTCGGGAGTTGGTTCAGATGCCGAACCATCTTGTCTTCGCCGACTACTTGACCATCTGATCGAGACTCACGCGCAGCGTGGCGCGCTGCTGCTAACTGCATGCACGTCTCAAAAAAGTGCGTAGCTGTGGCATTCTCTAGCACCCTAGTCTGAGTTTCTGTGGTGCGGACAGACTCGGTAACCGCTTCGTCAATAGAAATTTCCTCCACGGCCTCATGTTCATTCCTGTTAACCGTCTCACGCGCACCACCGTTAGCTCCTCCGAAACTATATAGAGACACTTTGACTCGACTGTGTGGGACGATTATCTGTGGCGACGCATCCTGTGTTCCATGATCAAGGTTGGCACACGCAGACATTCCTCCAGTGGCCGCGTCGATGCCGGTTCCTCGTGCGGCCTGTTGCGTCCCGGCAGCAAGTAAAGCGGCTGCAAGATGGTGAAGGCTGAGGCCCTTCACCTGCACGCTGCGACGCAGGACGCGCTGCGTAAACGCCTCGCGGTCGTGTCTCCAACCCTGCTTAAAGGTCAGCATTCATTGGTTACAGACTCTGAACGGGAGGGACCCCGCACCTCTCTACTTGTTTTCCCTTCATTTTCCCCTGTTCTTTCACGGGAGCCCCTCTTCGATCTCAGTGGCCAACCTCAATGACCAATAAAAGTTGAGCCTTAACCTGCATTGCTTGCGCGGCAAAGAAACCGTGAAAGGCGGCTCGCTGCAATCTCTGCGTGAGAGCGTACTCTTTGCGCAACGACCGATCCTGCCACGAGAGCTGCAACGAACGATTACGATTCGCTGCCTCCAGCAGAAACACTTTCGCGAGAAACAAGTCTCCCGCTTCTCGCGCTGTGCCGGCCGCTTCTTGGGCAGACCCCGCAACCAAGCTCAACAATTGATGCTCCGAAGCCCCTACTACTAATTTCGAAGCAGCTGCTGCCAAGCCTGATGTTAACCTGCTGCCTCCACCTCCCGAGGACGAGGGTAAAAGCCCATTCTCGCCGTCCACCAGGGTTATCAAGTGGAACATTGACACCATTGCCAGACGCTTTTCCCCCATCTCGCTGTAGATGGAAGCGAGCCGCTGGAGAAAAACGCACGCAAGCTGCCGCGCACCCCCATCCTTGCCACCGCCTTGCAGCGCTTGGGCCTTCACGCAGTAGAGATTCACCTCTTTTGTCAAATGCTCTAAAACTCGCAGAGCTTCGCGAAACTTAGGAGAAGCAAGAAGACCTTCTCTTCTCTTCGCGACATCACGGGCAGTAGTGCGCTCCTCGTCCGATCCTCCCGTCTCCTGCTTTCTCGTACTACTCGCGACTCCCGCACCCTGGTCGGCACCTGCCTCCTGGTCGTCAACTGCTGTACTGGCCTCTGGAAATTCGTCCAGGCCTGCCTGTAATGTCCCATTCACCTTGTGGTAGCGGGCCCGCCACTCATCCTCTTGCCGAGTACTATCGGCGGCGACATTGCGCCTCTCTCGGACGACTGCAAACTGCATTGTCAATCAACCACTCAGCGTGGTTCATGTAGTTTTGTGCTCGACGTCATCTTTTGTTCATCCATTCATTTTGTGATGTTTCATGCTCGTTAAAAACTAAAAAAACCTCCTAACTAACAAGCGAAAAAAATGTTATCTTTTTCTAAGTAAAGAATCGTACTAAAAGAGGACCCCTGCGCAACCTGTCCAGAGATGAGGGCATCATCTTGCACGATCACACTACGAGCCTCAGTCAAATTTGGGAATTTACGAGCAACTACTTCGACAGTGAGCAACACTACTGCAACTGCGACGATGATCATGACACAGTTTATTATAGATACCTTAGTATGTAGTACATTTGAGTGCTAGGTGCAGCAGGTGGTCCCGGTGGAAGAGATTGTGGAGATCATCAATACCAATACTACTACACCTCTCACCAGTCGAAAAGATTGTCCTCGTGGAAGCACTCACACTTTTCAATTTTAGAGCACCATTAGAATTACGGTTACAAGCTCTCTGGCTTGCGATCTCCCAGGGGCCGGGCCATCACTCCAGAACGGCTCCTGGGCTTAGGATACATCAGTGCGGGCATGATCGGTTTTCATTCGTATTCGGAGAGGATGCTACGGATCTTAATCAAGAACCATGTCGAACACAGATTTTTTGAAAATGAAAATGAAAGAGCAAGTAAACAAGGCTTTTGGAGTTTTTCAACCAGTTGGAGCTACTAATCGCACAATCGTGTCCTTACCTTCTCTTTGTCCTGATCAGATGCCAGATGCGATCACTAGATTGCCCTCCCTTAGTACCACTACGACGGACAAGACACTGCCCCGGCCACAGTCTTTCGATCGCGAAGCTCCAGCACGACCGGCAGATCGATCTTTGACGTGAGCCTCCTCGTACGTGGTGATCCTGTGCCGCCTCTAGCACTAGCTTTCTAAAAGGTATAACGGTTGTGGATAGTTTTCTCATGTTTTTGCTTGTTTTGATCTTCCCTTCCAAGGACAGAAGATCAGCAACCTAGACTTAATTATAGGCCAGCAGACGTCTAGACCCGGAGTGACCGAGAACTAGAACTTCCATGAGTGAATACCCATAGTGACAAGATCAAACTGATCATAGTTGAGTTTATCTACTTCTATGATACAACAACCCGCGCGAGAGTAGCAGAATCAAACCCGGAAATAAAATCCCAAAAAGGTTGTCCGAGAGGTGTCTCTATGTGTTTACTTATACTCCCGATTGCCTGTTGGCTAGCCGTTCCATCTACTTGGGGTTAGCGGAATAGCCCAAATCATGTAGCATGCAGGTCCGAGCAACCACCCTTGGACAAAGTTATCTCGTGCTAGCCCCTCTTCAGATAACCCAATAGGTTACTTAGAGGAGGTAACTTGGATGAGAGGAGCTTTCAGAACAGCTTCGACTGAGTCTTTAAGAATAGTCCTCGTTCTTCAGATCAGAGCAGCTGCCATCAAATTCTATTTTTTGTCCTCAGGTGTCTTCAGCGTCAACTGTTTCATTTTACGTCTTACTTCCGTGTTTTCTCGCATGATTCGTTGGGCAAGTTCCAATTTCTTTTTCTCCCCCTTGGACAGGCCCTTCGTTTCCATTTGCCTGTGTGCAATATTCCAGGAGGTCGCTTTTCCGTGCACCAGTTCTAGAGGACGAGCCACGCGCTGCTGAACTTCTGCACGATAGACCATTTTTGTCTTAGCAATCAGTTCCTGTTCTTTGTTCCACCTCCCAATCCAAGTTTCCATATCTTGGAAGTACTCTCGGACCGTGAAAAATCCCCTTCTGGATAGGTCTCTGTAATATGCTATCTCATCATTCGTATAATCCATGCTTACATTAGAAGATTCTGCTTCCCCTGGTCCATCGCGGAGAGCATACCGAAGCAACGCATGCCTCTCGATATATTCCTCAATCCCCGCTAATTCACGACGTATTTCTTCACGACTACCATCCTCGCTGCTGGAGGGTTTTGCTTCTTCTCTGCCTTCTTCTTTTTGCTGCTGTACTTCGAGGAGGAGCTCAAATCTTCGCTGTTTGAGGGCTTCGACTTGTCGCTCCAATTCCCGAGCGGGACTGAGGATATGCGTCTGCCATAATTCGTAGACAGCGTGCCAACTACGGTATCTCGCACTAGCTTGGTATTCATAATATGTCGCGCTGTCTTTGGACTCCTCTAAGAGGTCTCGGCACTCACTCGCTTGTTCTTCGGCTACTTTCCCTTGTGATCCTGGCATGATGAGGCCACTCATTCTAGCTTCTCTTTTCGACTGATCAAGCGTGATTTCGTCATTCTTCACTCCGTCTCCGGAGCTGCCGCTCGCTTCGCGCGACAGCAAAAGGGATGAGGAGTCTCCCTTTGAAGCAATTGCAAGATATAAGCCGACGTAAATAGCGAAGTCATCTTCACCTTCAACCACATCCACGTGATCCACATCGACAGAGTCTTGCTTTTGCTCGTGTTGATCTCCTCCAGGAGAAGGAAGGTGAAAACCTCGTTCTCGTCCAGAGGGGTCCTCGGGAGCAACTGAGCGAATTTCCTCTTTTAGGGTAGCCTGCATACTGCTGCAGGAGTCGTCTCTTTTTTCACTCACGAGTGATTTGAAAGGAACAAGTCCATCCGGGTGTTTGTTCGGAACAGGGAGCCCGGCAAACGTTCGCATCACGCCGAGCAGGCCACGCCGTCTCTTTTGCGACTCGCTTCTCCAGCGTGACAACTCAGCTTGCATGGCCGCATCACCTTCCTGCTCGGTTTGCGTTTTCCTTTTCTCCGCCTCGCGAAGAAGTGCTTGCTTCATTTCTTCGCGGTATTCGCGATAAGCAGCCTCTTTGTCGGCACGCCGTTTCTCCCGGCACGCCGCTTCAGATTCATCGGATGAAGCCGTTTCCTCCTCAAGAACATCCTCACGACCAGTCCCCTTCCCAATGTCCCCTTTGCCAACAGCCTCCCAGAAAAGCTTGGTTTGCTTTCTCGCGAGTTTGATGTCTTGCTGGAGCTTTTTGTATCGAAATAAAATTGACTCGACCTCCCCTTGCTTGTCTTAGAAGACCACACTTACTAGACCTATGAATAAAAAATATTCATCTTGTTATAAGTAGCGGCTGCATCTTTGAGGCGCTATTTTCCCCTTGAATGTATAAAAGGACTCAATCTCAAAGACGGCTCGATATCATCTAATTTTCTTATATTATAATGAGACTCAATCTCAAAGAGGACTGTTTTTACAAATATATTTGCTACAAGTAGATGAATTTCAATTTGGGGGAGCCTTAAGTGTGAATCAGTTTCTGTTCCGTGGCTTCATGATTAATCTTTTCATCCTCTGTTTTCCATAGCACGATAGAAGGCAGATAACGCTTGCACTTCAGTTCTTGGAATTTCACCCGAGCGTCTATACATCTTTTTGCACTCTGAATGTCCTCTAACGAAGGCGCTTGACGAAGGAGCTCCTGAGTTGATGATCCAACGCGCCTGGGCCCAGCCGGGGTAGAGAATTCCGTTTTCAACCTCACGCGCAATGCTTCCACAGCCTCTTGAAGAGCCTGATGGCCGTTCACATCTACCTGTACCTGAGGTGGTTCAACAGCAAGAGCAGCTCCGAGTGCTGTCACATCCTCCTGAAGCTTCCGCACATCGGCCTCAAACTTCTTGCGCGAATTGGCTTCGAACACGCGAAGCACACTGGCAAGCGTTTCAACTTTTTGTGACATCGACATCTTCTTCCGCTCCTGCATATCGGTTCCAGAACTACCAGATGAAAAAGAACTACCAGATGTAGTATCAGTACTACTGCTGAACAAGGACGACAAGGACTCCATCTTTTTGTCAAAGCTGCTCGTGGCGTCGTGACACTCATAACGGACATCCAGCTGCCGCTCCGTACAAATGCCTACCAGCTCGTGCTGCTTCGCAACCTGCTGTGTATCATAAAAGTGGCCTCCCTGTTTCGCACAAGTAGAAGCAGTATTAAGGTCGTGAGGTACAACGTCTTTTCCTCCTGCTCCTCGTGGAAGCGGATTGCCTGTGCGACTACGATCCGCGTCGGGAGGACCACCCATAGTACCGGACACAAACTTGTTCATGGTTAGATGAAAACCACCCACTTGCTCAACATTTTGAAGCAGCGAGAGTGCGGCGCTGCGCGCCATCACGTTGTTGAGAACCTTCACACTCAACATTTTTGTGATTCATGTGAATGTTGGAATACCACACCTAGTTTTCTCCTAGTATGTAATACGATTCTTGCTGGGATTTTTCAAATTATTGAAATACTTCTCGTTTGTTCCTAGAAGTGGATCACACCTATTTCGCTTCTAGTCCTACGATTGAACGATTTTTGTTTTTTCTGGAAACGAAAGCCCTAGTCAATGGAACACAGTAAAGTCTTTAATCAAAGTTACTAAAATTCTCCAAATTTTTGCTACTGTTTCGGAAGTAGCAAGCACAGCGGCACAATTAACGCGCAGCCGTTCTTTATACCACGGCAAAAGCGTCCTGAGGTTTTTGCTGTTTGAAATAGCTCAAATGGCCGGCCACTGACAAGACTGGCGTAGTTGGTTTTTGCTCCTGATGATGTTGCGCCTTCTGTGCTTGTCAGTCTATGACCCTCTTGGTCCTTTCGTTACTTCAGTGCAGAAATATGCTGATCATGATGATGATCATCATCGTCATCACTATGATCCTGGTGCTGTTGTGTGTGATCTACGATCTAGCTCCTTGCTGGTGATTGCTCTGCTGTTGTTGTTCTTTTTGTTGTTGTTGATGATCATCATGCTAGTGGTGATCTTGGTAGTTCTTTCTTACTTCTTTCTTACCTTTGTACTCGGGATCTGGGTATTGACATACTGTAAAAGTCTCACTCCGTCACTAAACGCGTAAATTTTCATGTCTCCTAATGTTTACGTTCAAGACAGGCTCTTTGCGTTGCCAAGATACACTCCTAGTCTTGGAAAATATTCAATCTGTCGAGTGGGCTCTGATGGAACTTCAAGCTACAGGATCCTCAGGTAATGCCGTCGACGTTTTCTCTAGTAGGAGCTGAATTGGAATTGCACATTCATCCCATGTTTTGATTGCTTGAGGAGTCACGACAATAGAGGCCAACGTGCTGCTTATTATATTTTTGAAAAGACATCTTCAGCATCGAAATTCAAGCACATCTGATTCTCAACATGCAAATAATTTCCCGACGCCAAGAAATAGAGGATTTGATAGTCTTGTCAGCATTCAACGCTTGCAGGTATAATTTTCGACCCGTAGTTACCTAGGTAAGTATGTGGAAGAACAAAGAAGATCCAGGTGTAGTAATATACATTTCAGTCAAGGAACAAAATATTTTGATACAAAATGTGTAATAGAGTTCTAGCTTTGATTCTTTCTATATCTATTCAACATCTTTCGCTAAGTGATTACACAACTAGTAGCACTCGAATGTCGAGAATAGACCGCGACAACCATGAACAAGAGAAAAAATATCTTCACCACGTCGTACACGAAGCAGATGTAGAAGATAACAGTACAACAATATTGAGTTAGCATCGCAAAAATGAGCGCAACTCGCAATCGAAGTGCGTGTCTCTACGAAGAACAAACATAACATTATAAATTTCTTTGAAGTAGTGTTGATTCCGTGCCTACTTGATATCACTCCTTTTCTCATATTTTCTACGCTTTTCAATACGAATAACCTTGTCAACCTGTTAGATAATCAAGAAACTCAATGATGCTCTTATTTAATACGAATATTTAGAACTCAACCACGACAATGGACAGCTGATGCACCACTTTGCAGCTCTACTGCCTCTATACAATCCTGTGCAAGGGTATATACGCTATGCTTGTGAATATAGGCGCGCATCATGAAATTCTAGCTCTGCCTCTGCCAAAAACCATAACTCTTTGTTAATATCCGCGAACTCTGTAGGCTAATACGTTTTCAAAATATGACGTTCGTGTGTAGTATAAATTCGAAATAACAGTCTAAACATCAATAAGGGAACTAATAGCATTAGAATACTTAGCGATAGCGTTTCATCCTGATCTAAGTGTTAGTGTTACTATATCAATCTGCAGATGAACACAAACTTTTTCTTTAAGGGCTTGTTTATCCTCTCACAAGCGGCGGGTGCTTCGTTCTACTCCTGCAACCTAAAAACCAAAGAGGTTTTTTGAAAACACATGAATGAGGGTAATAGCATCTCAAGTCTTGTGGGACGTAGTTTTTTCGGAAATGCGCCAAATTGGGTAGATATTAACAGAGAGATGAAAATTGAAAATGGAAAATTGAAAAATTGAAAAACAAACAGGTCGTGATGTAGGGGAATATGCACAAGAATGATAGAAGCAAGAACACAGTACAAAGGTGGATAAAGAAATGCGTGGACGAACAATGGCGGATATAAACACAAACATCGATAGAGGAGAGAAAACATGTCTACATGTTCTACAACGGAAAATAATCATACTCAACAACAATGTAAACGTGTGTGATCTTCAAAATCTGAAATCACCACATATGATCTCACCTTTTTCAGATCATGGGACGCATTGAAATTCAGATACGCAGCAGAGGGATAAAGCAGATCAAATTCAACAAGCCAACATTCTGAGAGCATCACAGGACAGGAAAGAGCAAAGAGAATTTAAATTCATCACATTCTTATCATCGGATCAACACCCATGGTCACCAAAAGGGTGCCAGGGACTATGACTAGGCATTACGTGCCCTATTTTAGTTTATCAGTTTCTCATGGTACCAAGTACAGAAATACTCAACTTCTTTCATAATAAGTCTAGGCGTGTGCCGTTGTTGTATTAGTTCAGCCACGAGTTTCTTAGCTGCTTCTATTGGAATCAGATTAGCCGAAAGTCTAAGACGTGCTAGATGGCCCCTAATGATCCCCCGCTGGCGCTTATCCATCCCTGCAGAAAAAGCGCTCGCAAGAGGCTTGCCTGTAGGGTGGGCTTGGATCTCAACACTAGTGCCCGAGATTGAGATACGCAAGCCACAGAAAACAGCGGTTGTTGGTGTAAAACCTTCATCAAGGACAAGGCGGCACCCCGGGTAGAAATCTTCTTTAAGGGACTTCGTAAGACATTTGAAACCTTTTCTGTATAGTCTTATTTTATCATCTACGTATCTACGTGATGTCTCCCAACTACTGCTCTGGGTCTCTACCTCAACATCCAAAGCGTAGCCATTACTTAACGGCGTTGAATTTGGAGACCCCATAGGAGACCCCTTCTGTTGTCTATAAACGCCACCGTTAGCTCTTATATAACAGTATTTAACGTCGTGCTCCAAGACTTGGGTTAGATCAGTTAGCCTAATGTAGTCATTGAATCGCTTGTCTGGTACTGTTCTTGAGTACGTAATCTTTCTCGTCCTGGCTTGTAGTCTACGGCCTTTTTGAACTAGGAAAGTGCGCTCCCTAGCTCCCCTCGCATGGTGAATGGGCGTGTAACGTACCTGGCGGGGGCACTTCGCGTAGAGGGCCCCAGTCCTAGTTTTATGTCTGTTTATGGTGTGTTCTATACGCGTCAAACTTCTTTCGTTGTCTGTATTTGTGAAAAAGTCAGCTATGTCACCTGTTCCTACCTCTAGTTCATGCCCTTGCTGCGTAGCTCTAGTTACTGCACCCTGGACGTACTTAAGTATGCTCGCAGTATTAGTCAGAAAATATCTGCCCGTGGTTGGACACCTTTCTAAGATATCGTTAACGACTCGCGAAGCAAGTTGGTAGACGGGTTTAAAACAGTGGTGTTGGTACGAGGTCAGTGGTCTGTATTTTAAACTAGATATTTTTCTTAGTTCTTCTGCGATCTCTAGAAAAAGGAAAGTTTTCTTTTTTATAAGTATGCGTAGCTCACTCCATCTATGTTTAGCTCTTCTTTGTACGTTAGTCCTAGGTGTTAGGTGCCAAAAACTGTTGCTGTTATCCAACTGTAATCCGTCCCAGCCCGGAACGAAAGAGCACGATCCCGAGCTAACATGGTTTTGCGAGATTGTGCTTAACACTATCGGGCATACGAGCGCACAATCTACGTCCTTATCTACGAGGTCACTATTAGTCAAAGAGGCAATGTCAACTATCGTCGAGTCTAGAGCGTCTTGGCGAATTCCTTTACGCTCGTAGAACTGGCTAAACTCTCTAGCTATCCCTCTACTCACTAAGTCTTTCTTCACGGTGTCGGTCTCAAGGCCGAACGCTTCTCCTAATTTGGCCAGTGATCGTAGTAGGTGGTACTCGGATGATACTGGGCTCAGGAAGCGTGAGCGTGCATTCCACTTCCCAACATCGAATGGGGCATGGACCCACGAATCAACACCAGCTTCGCGGCAGTAGCGCTCGACGGAGCAGACAATATGTCCTTCAACAACAAATTTGTTCAAGATCGGGTAGAGGTGGCGGAGGATGTCACAGTTGCAGGTAGGACTGTCGTGAATGGACTGGTTCGTTTTTTGTAGTATATCAACAACAGTAGGTCCTCGTCTAGTTCTAAAGTGGATGCTAAATGGATCGGAGCAGTTCGATTTTTCGTAGAGCTTTTTTATCCTTTCAAGGAACCTGAAGAATTCTGGCGACTTTTTTGAATCTCCAATATGTACCGTGTGGCTTCTTATTCGACCTCTGGGGATAAGCTTCATGTTCGTTGAGAAGGTGTCATGATCTTGTTCATCTAGAATGTTCTTGGCGCGCTTGAGAATTCTTGTCGTTCTATGTGGACAAGACGTAAGAAACTGTTTTACTGCGTCGGATGGTAGTGCAATAAGTCGACCTGCAAAGTAGTTAATCGTTTTCGTGATACGGTTGCATTTTTGGAGGTCCCGGAGAGTCTTGCTGCATAACGGATCGTAATTGGATGGGCTCCTTCGTTTGAAAGGTCGTGCGGACTTCTTCTTCTTAGTCAGAACGAGCGTGTGGAAGTACTTCGAGTGCTGCGAATCAACAGCACCCTGCGTATTTTCAGACGGTCTGAACTCGTCAATGAGATTGCTCTCTACTGCTCGCATCTCTCGACGAGTAGTTGATTCTGGAAGTCTTACTACAGGAATGAAGAGATACTTCCAGAAATTACTACAGTTGTAGTAGAAGAATTGTGTACCTGCGAACGACTTTCTTAGGTGACCTGTTACGCGATTGTCGAAGCCGTCACTTGTCTGACCAATGTACGTGCGCCGTGAGAACGGTTGGTAGGCCATATAACAAACTCTACTAGAATGACGATACTGCTTTGATACTTCCGAGTATTGCGCCAATTTCCTGTGTAGGGTTCGTTTCTTCCAGGTATTGCACTGCATAATGTCGAGCTTCGCGATGATCTGATCAACGACAAAAAGATGTTCACGGGCTGCGACTGCTAGTTGTTGTGAACCTGTACCGAAGACGCGGAAGACATTCTTCCTTTCCAGCAGTTGGCTCGGCAAGAAGTCCCACTGTAAAGGCGCAGGACTACATCTCGAGGCTTTCCTTAGTTTGTTGTTAACTTTCTGGTAGTAAAAAGTGCATTGGCAATACTTGTTAGATCTTGTACATCTCGCGCATTTCGAAGACTGTGTGCAGTTCTGGACCAACTGTGCGCAGATATTTCGTACAAAAATAATCTTCGGTAAATATTTCTTGTTCATCTCGATGTTCCTCGTTAGTAGAGAAGACCACTCCATTATATCTCTGGCAAAGTAGTAGCTTACTAGCCACGCAAATCTCGGCTCCGCAGGTAGCCGCATATCTGGATCAGTAAGCTCCCAGAGTGGGAGGCCAAATCGAAAATTTGCTCCATCGTAATCTGGATTCCTTCTTGATTGGGTGACGTTCATGATCATGATTTTTTACCCCACTGCACTCTGTTGCAACACCTTATTCCTGGCTAAATACACACAACACAAGCCAGGTCTCATGTTGCGGGAAGGCGATGGATACGCTTTTTAGAAAAAGGTCATCGAGCTCGAGTTCGATGCTCGGAGACCCGACTTGCTCTCGCTCTTCAAACGTTTGACTCCATTCTTGTTCTGGTTATCCAAACCCAGGAAGAAGCCATCCAGGAGGTTGTTGCTGCTTTCGTTGTTGACCACGAAGCGGCTCTGCTCGCCGTTGTTTCGGCCAAAGCGGCGTGTGGTCGTTGATGTGGAAGACGAGGACGAGGAAGCCGACGAAGTAAAAAGAGATGTGTTGTTGTTGTTATCCTTGCCCGCGCCTTTGCCCGCGCCTCGCTTACGGTGGTCGAAGATCTCATCAAACTCATCACTTTCATCTTCCATCTCGTTCACAGCATCATCTTGGTTCTTCTTTTCCTTGTTGTTCGTAGGGAAAGAAGAGGCGCCAGCCATCGGCGAAAACTCGGATTCATAACCATCATCATCAACATGCATGGATGTGTTGTTTTTCTCCAGCTTCTTGTTGGCTTGGTTATTTTCTTCGGCAGTCTTCTTGAGGTAGTGCGCGGCGATCTCTAGCATCGTGGTCTGCGTGGCGATCATGGTAACCAGAGAGATTTCATCGAGGTCCTTGCACTTGAAAGAGATCTTGAAAGACTCCATCCATCCCTCAGGGATGTGGGCTGATTCTGCGACGGCTACTAGGTGGTCTGAAATCGCGTCGAGAATCTGGGGCTCAGTGTATTCTTCATCATACTCCCAAAACAGCGACACGCATCGTAGGACTTGGCCTTTGAGTCGTGTCTCCTTCTTGGATGTGCGTTTGCTGCAAAGTGCTGCTTGGATCACTGAAAGCTCCTTTTTGTACTTGTTCTCGAAGTCTTCGGCGCTCACTCTCGGACGCGTGACCCTGTTGTCGATAAGGTCCTTGAGGATCTCTGGATACAAGTCATAGATCTTCGAGAGGATGTTCTCCATCATATGTTTCATTGTCTTGCATTTCTGATTCTCATCGTTGATGTTATTCTCCCGCGCAGTGCTACGTGGGGATGGGCCTCGGATTTGTTTCTTCGGGATCGCAGTGCCGGATCGGGTTTCTTTGCGTCCTGGCATAACTAGCCCACCAATGTCGAGAGGATCATGGAAGTTGCTGTTGTTGTTGTTGTTGTGTTGGCCAGTCCCCATGCGCGCTAGTGCTAGGATTGCCTGTTGGCTGTTGCTGCTGTTGGTCTCGATGGTCGTCATTCGTGCAGACAGATGCTCCACTTTGTCGTTGACACTCGAGCCCAAACAGTCGATCTTCTTGCCAAGGATGCTCAAGATTTCGTTTTCCGACGCTGACACATTCGTAGTAGTGCTCTCCGCCTTCTTGAGGTTGAAGCGAGCGGGCATTTCTTTGATCTTCTGGAGGATAGCGATCGCCTGGTCTTTCTCCACGATACGTAAGGCAATCTCCTGCATGATAGGGGTGACATGGTCGTGGCACATTACCAGTCCCGTGACGCTGTTGCCTTCCTTGTCAACAACGTGTAGCTTCGATGTTACGATCGTCGGAATCATGATGGCCTTGTTCGGGAATTTGTCGCATTTGTAGGCATCATATTCAGGAGAGATGTCATGGTACTTAGCGAATTCCATGACAAAAATATCTTCTGCATCTTCTGTGACAGTAGATGTCATAGTGAGTGGAACGCGGCCACGAGCTTTACGCTGTAGTAGTCCGCTGTCGTCTTTGATCTTAATCCCACCTGGCATGCTCATGTTGTTTTGTTGTTGCTGTTGTTGCTGATATCCTTGTTGAAAACCTGTGGAAGCTCGGGGATTACTTTGTTGGCTGCTGGGGTTGCCGACCGGTTTGGGTTGGAGACCGTTCTCTAAGTTGGCGCTTCCGATATGGAGAGAGTTGCGGTACTGTTCCAACGGTTGGCTCTCTTGAGGGACTAGTCCACGGTTCTTCAAGTTCCTGTTGTAGCTAGTGATGTCAGCCCACTGGTGGCTGAGTGCGCAATTATCACCAAGAGGGCAGACTTGGCCGGATGCTGCACTTCTACAAGATCTAGTGAAAACGTTAGTATTCTGTTGCATCGTGCTGGGGGGTAACGAGAAGTTTACGCGGTCGCCATGTGCTGCGGGCGCACCTCAGAAGTTCCATGTATATAGATATCTTTGTTGTTGGTGTCGTATATATCGTGATACTTGGTGTTAGGAATGATAGTAAATGGCATGAAATTAAATGGCATGACTTTGCGGGGTGGTGTTATCAGTGACTTATCTACTTTATGGCGAAGTCAATAAGCACTAAAAAATCAATCTGCAGATGAACACAAACTTTTTCTTTAAGGGCTTGTTTATCCTCTCACAAGCGGCGGGTGCTTCGTTCTACTCCTGCAACCTAAAAACCAAAGAGGTTTTTTGAAAACACATGAATGAGGGTAATAGCATCTCAAGTCTTGTGGGACGTAGTTTTTTCGGAAATGCGCCAAATTGGGTAGATATTAACAGAGAGATGAAAATTGAAAATGGAAAATTGAAAAATTGAAAAACAAACAGGTCGTGATGTAGGGGAATATGCACAAGAATGATAGAAGCAAGAACACAGTACAAAGGTGGATAAAGAAATGCGTGGACGAACAATGGCGGATATAAACACAAACATCGATAGAGGAGAGAAAACATGTCTACATGTTCTACAACGGAAAATAATCATACTCAACAACAATGTAAACGTGTGTGATCTTCAAAATCTGAAATCACCACATATGATCTCACCTTTTTCAGATCATGGGACGCATTGAAATTCAGATACGCAGCAGAGGGATAAAGCAGATCAAATTCAACAAGCCAACATTCTGAGAGCATCACAGGACAGGAAAGAGCAAAGAGAATTTAAATTCATCACATTCTTATCATCGGATCAACACCCATGGTCACCAAAAGTGTTACTATATGTTGATTGCTTAACCCGTACCATGACAACATGAACATTCTTACGTCAGAGAACCTGCTCTTAATGATGTGAGCGAGCGGTAGACACTGGAGATGCATTTATGCTTCGCTTTTCCTTTCGCCTCGTTTTCTTGTCACGCCCTGGCAGCGTCAGAGAGGGCAACCCGTCTCCCTCGGTTAGGTTCGACTGCAGCATCGACGCAGTCAGATCGTGGAAGCTGAAAATTGTGAAAGGTCAGTCCGTCATTGCAAGGTGAGGAAGAACCAAGTCAATTGAGTGCTACACCCTTCACCTAGGATACATTGACTTATGGATCACGAGTCTAGCAGGTACATCACAAATAGAAAACTAAGTGGCAAGAAGCGTATTTCGACTTCTCACACCTTTAACCTCCTAGAGAACATTTCAGTGCCTTTATCATTGTCACTATGAAACTTTCATTCAGGAGATGAATGATAGCAAACATGATTTGAGTCCAAAGTAACAACCATAAAAGCTCACCATCAGGAAATGAATGTGATTAAAGGCAATAAAAGCAAACATTTTGCAAAAACTCGATTTGGAATTTGTAATTCTTCAATTTCAGATTTCCTAACCATCAGCAAATAAATTTGAATAAAAGGAGATAAAAGCAAATTTTCTGAAAAATCTAAAATGCAATTTTAAATTCATAAATTTCAAATTTGAAAATATCAAAATCGTCAACAATTGAATGGTGAGGAGTCTATCAAGAATCGTAAGTATATTCATGCAATGTTCCTACATCGAATGCTTGTTGCGAAAAGAATTTAAGAGAGCTATGGCTACGAAATCTAGTTTCGTTTCGTTCTTTGTGCAAAGGTTAAGATATGCTATGGTACTTTTCCTCATGCTCTTCGAGGATGGTGGTGGTCGGCCGCGAGTAATCTAGGGGAAACATCTCTGTGAAGCTGTCAACGCTCTGCCGTGATACGCTGCCACGCGATTCCTGTGGTATTAGATTTTGAGAAGATTGGTATAACGGTCTGTCATGTGGAATGTACTGTGGAGTGAGGTTTTAAGATTCATTGGTAACACGAAGGTCTCTAATGTATACTTAATGTAGCTACTCTCAAAACAAAAAGTACATGCAAAGACATCTTGAGAAGCGTGACTGAAGGTCACGAAAGGTTCAAATCAAATAGTGTATCGAGTTGTTGCAACTCGGAAAGAGTCTATAAGTGTCTGTGCTGTTCTACTAGTAGTGCTTGTTGATGACAGAATCTTCGTACTTTATTGTTTCTCCTGCTGGATCCCCGTGTGCTCCTTCCTGAGCGAGGCGACGCGAGGTCGAGTTCCAGGCTAGACAAGAGGCCGCCCGAGATCTGCGGGTTTCTGAATCTGCCAGCCATGGCCTTAGCAACTGGAGGAGACAGCAGCCCTTGATGTTGACGCGCGTCACCCTGAACAACACTGTTGTCACTGAAGACCTGGCTTCTAGACGTAGACACTTTTATTTTCCTTCTCGAAGATTTGTCACCGGATCGGCGTCCTTTTGACGAACGTTTTTTCGATGGAGATACGATGGGCTGCTGCGCAAGTCCGTCTTCATAGTCGTCCTCTGGTACTTCTGACTCTTCCACGCAGCTAGCGGAAGCATCGCCGCGCAGAGATTCGTCCGCCGCCTCTGAAACGGCGCAACCGCGCCCACCGTCGTCTTGGTCCGAGAGCAAGGAACTGGCTGTTTCTCGATGCGTGGTTCTGCCGTCCAGATCTTCCAAATATGAGGAACCACTCAGAGAACTTCCGCCTAGACCCAAAAAGGCGTCTTCTTCGTGTCCTGGCTGTAGATGCACCCGCAGCAGATGATTCACCCGTTGCTCGTGGTCGTGTCCACGCTGCGGGCCAAAACCCGCGACGCCTGGTGGGTTTTCGATACCCGCCCCGGCGCCGCCCAACGTAAGGAGCCTCTGGTTGCCAACACCGGGGGGCAGGTCTGCTTCATTCGCACCTGCCGCTTGTAATTCCTCTTCGTCGGTGGACCAGCATCCGTCAGTGTGCTGTTCATTGTAGATGGCTACGTCTTGTGGCGTGACTATGTTGCGCAGCATCTCCGCCGACAGCTGGAACGGGTTGTTCTCACGCGGCGTCTGCGCCAGCGCGTCCTCTTCCTCTTCGATGAAGTCCTGTCCGTAGTCGACGTCCATATTATTGGTGACATTCGTCCAGGCGGAGGCGGTCGTTTGCAGGGACTGCCCTTGGCCTCCTCCCAAAGAGGATGCGCCCTCCCCTCCAGTCGAAGCTCCTACTCCAGCAGCAGCAGCTGCTGCTGCTGCGTCCGCTGCGGCTTGCTGCTGCGCCACGGCCGCGAGTGCAGCGTGCTGTGCGGCTTTGCTTGGACCCGCGCCTTGCTGACTCTTGCTTCGGTTGAACTTCAGGCGGTTAGCGCCAGGGGACGGCGCAGGCACGCTGGAGCGCGGGTGCCCCGCAATCCGCGCTGGACTCACACCCGAATGTTGCAGACTGCTGCCGTGGTCTAGAGGTCCGCCTATCGGACGTGTGCCTCGGATGCGGAGAGAAAAGCTGTGCTGCCTCTCGTCGAGCGTAGCTGGCGACGCATTCAGTGCCTGCTCGCCAGCAAGCACTGAGCTTGGGGAAGGACTAGCGACGAACGCGCCAGGGCCCAGCAGAACAGCATTGGCAGCAGCAGAAGAAGCCGCGCTCGCGGCAACTGCAGCGGAAGGGGCAGCAGGCGGTGGCGAGGCCTGGTAGTAATTGCTACTAGAAGAAGCTGAAGTCAATCCACCGTAGAAGCTGCTGTAGGCGCCAGCAGCTGTATAGCCTCCGCCGGCAACTGAGCGCGATGGCGAGGTAGCATGCTGTTGATCTTTCGACGCAAGCCCCGGCACGTCCCGGCTTTGCACTGAGTGACTCGCGAGACGTGCTAGCGCAAGAGAGCGCTCGATCATGAGTCGCTCTAGACTTTGTGACGCCGAAGGCCATCCAGGGATGTCGCCTTCTTGGTCACCAGCTGCAAGGTCTACGGCAGCAGCCTCGTTTTCGTCTTGTTCGTCCACTTTCTCTAGGCCTCCTGACGGTACTGTTGGCGCCGACGTGCTCGCTGCCGCAACGCTAGAAGCCGTTTTCTGGCTTTCATACTGCTCGCCTTTAGATCTACCCTTAGGGCCACTTGTCCTCGCTTCTTCTTCCACTTCTCGTTGCGTCGTCTCAATCTGCTTCTCGATATTGCGCAGATACTGCTTCAAATAATCCGCTTCTTCAGGCGAGGGCGCCTGATGATAGTAGTGTCCTTGCCCTGCGGGCATACGGTGAACAACAGGGGACGGCGCTGTAACACCAGAAGACGGGCCTTTGCCTGGATGCTCGATCGGATCCAATTGCACACGACTCGCACTCGGTGTCGCCAGACCGGCTCCGTTACTCTTAATGAGGCTACTTGCTCTTGTCGCTATTCCCTGCTCTGTAGACGAGACGCCTCCTCCACCCTGCTGCACTAACGATCTCTGTACACTAGCCGCTTGTGGCACTTGTTGCGTCGATGTCGAGAGCCTCGCATCCCCACCTGCAGGAGGTGCTCCCAGCTTCAGTGGCGGTAGCCGCGGCGCTTGCTTGGTCGGAGATATCGGCACCATGCCGTGAGACGCACTCCATACCATCGGAGCTGGAAACGCAACTGAGGCAGGCACCGGCGCAGAAGTTCCGAATGAAGACGATACCGGAACTGGATTAAAATTCAAGAGTTGCGTGTTGATCGGTTTATAGGTCTGCCTGAAAGCAGCTTGCTGTATCGAAGTCGCAGCCTCTTTCGACGCAGTCTCCTTCGCCGCCTGCTGCTCTGCGCCAAGATTTTGCTGCGAAGATGTTGCTCCGGGCAGTGAGTAGTCGCCTTCTCGTATCCTCCGAGTATCAGGCGAATCTACACGGTCGACACTGGAAGACACGTTGGCCGTCGCGTTAACATCTGCAGAGACTCTCCCAGAGGCCCCTGCTGCGTGCCGATGGCTTTGTCGCGAGTCACCTCCTTCAAGCAGAACTGCATACGATGGATTTTGCTCTTCTAATGCTTCTCCTGGTGGACGAAAGACTTCTGGCGTCGCACCTTTCAGCAACACTTTTCCCGGCGAGGAAGTAGAGGCCGCAGCGTGGCTCTCTGCTGTCTTCACGTCTAAAATCGCCTTTCCTTGAAGATTGTAATAAACAGGGAACGCTGACGCAGGTGTCGCTGAAATTGCAACATGCTGAGAGTCTGACTGCGGTAATTGCTGGCTACTATCTCCTGCATGCGAGGGATACCGTGGATCCCCCTGCATTGGTGCCTCGTGTCTTTTACTGCCTCGTCCTCTGCGCTTTTTCGGGCTCTTTCGCGAAGGGCTTGTGCTGCTGCCATCATCGTCTACGCGTTCTTGAGGGTAGCATCGCTCTTCGGCCCCCATTTCGACCTCCGGATTTATCCACGGACCCGCGCGCTGAGTGGTGTTCAAGCTGTTTGCAGGAACGATGGCGCGCTTATCCTGCTGATCCCTCCTTTTCATTCCTGGGCTGGCGCCTCGTAGGCCAGCCTTCATATGATTGCTGTTCACGTTGTGCAAGGCTGGCATCTTCATTGCTGCGCGACGAATAGCAGCGAGAATGACGGAGTCGTAGGGCGAAGAGTCACTAGCTTCTCCTCCGCCAGGCGCACCGTTTCCCTGCATGGACGCGTTTCCCCTAGCATGATTGCCTCCACGTGTCCCTTTCCCGCGTTTAGGACTGCGCGAGAGCACGAGTTCCATCTTCTTCTGCTTCTGGTAACCTCGCAAGTCGTCACCAAAATGCAAATTGTTTTGCGATCCCGCAGCACCAGCGATGAGATTTGAATGGCTGTAGCCGGTCATAGATGTAGTGGAGACCCCATGATGCTGCGATCCTCTGCGTTGAGTCTCTTCTTGCCGCTGTAGCTCACCCGAATGCCACGAACTGGAGGTTTGGTTGAAATGCTTCTCCACGTCCAGACCAAAAACTGCCTGAGGCTGATGCCCCTCGAACTCCGTGAACATATTCGCTATCTGCTGCCGCCTCTTCGGAGACAAGGCTGCAATATCGGCAGCGGTAAGTCTCGATGGCGAGAAGGCGCCGTCCTTCTCGCGAGCGGAGTCCTGGAACAGCTTGGAGGATGGCGACATGCCATTCAGAGTTGGAGAGCAGGTCGCGGGTCGCAACTCGTGACCGTGATGGCTTGTTACACGACTTCGTTTCTTTTTACTGGAAGAACCTTTTCTGCTCTGGGCGTGTGCGTGCTTCCTCCGTCGTCGTGGACTGCTGCTACTCTCGACGCTATCGCCGCCGGCAAGCTCCTGTTGCTGGCTAACACTGCCGTCGACGCTGTGGTCCTCTGCCGCCCCTCCGACTGAAGCAGTACTGTCTCCATCGGACGGCAGATGCGAAGCGTGGCCTCCTCGACGACCGGCTGGCGAAGTTCCACTGCGGGCAACTGCTGGCGCATACAGACTGTTCTTCAAGACGTCACGTCCACGGTTTGCATTATTTGATGATCCGCGACCGCCTCGACGTCTTGCGGAGCGCTGCTCCGAACGTGAGTTCTCAAGCTGCTTAGACGTGGAATGCATCGACTGTTGATCTTCGCTCGCAGTCGCAGCGCCAGCATCTCCTGTGAATCCAGTAGATTGAGTCCCACCCAGAGTGGATGAAGAATGCTGCAACGCCTGCACCCGTGCCCCGCGATATTCCTCAACGTCTTCTCGTCGCACCATTTCGAGCAGAGGATCCGCTGTACTACCTCGCGTAGTGCTCTCCTGTTGGAGCGACAGGCTGCTTGTTGTTGTCCCGAGGCGTGGAGAACCCGCTTGTTGCTCTTGTGCAACATTGGTACCAGTTGACATTGGTCTCCTTGATTGCCCATTCTCTCCTGGTCGCTCTGTTTGTCCCTGCTCCTCCATTCGCTCGTCCGGCGCTCCCTCTTGCTCCATATTGTCAGCAGGGATAGTTCGTAACTGCTGCAGGCTCATTCGCTCTACCCCTTGCTTCGGACATGCCGTGGTCGCATGACGCAAGTGCGGACTGCCTCCGCCGACAGCCTTTGCTGCTTCCAGCAGCGCCGCTGTGGCGGTTCCCGACTCGTCGACACTTGCCCAATAGCGGTTTAGCACCGGACTCTGCTGTAGCAGCTTTCGGCCACGGAAGCTCTTTCGCTTCGTAGACGGCGATCTCCTGTCGGCTCGTTTACTTGAGCGCGGCGAACGCATAGAAGCTTTGCCTAACCTGTTTGCCACTATCCCGCGACCTCCACCCTTAGACGCTCCTAAACTCGCCTGGTGCTGCTCTTGCGATCCTCCAGACACGACTTTGCCAGCACCGAAGGCCACGTGGTCCTTACCACTTCTAGTAAGTTTTGTTGCACCACCAGACAAAGAGGAAGAATGATGTTGCCTTCGGCTCTTGTTGCGCGCATTCAATGAAGGCTCGACGTCAGTGGAACTGTGCAACCAACCAGAAAGCATGCCCCCGTCTCCTGGCTCATCTGGGAAGTGGAAGGTCGAAGGTGCGGCAGCAACAGCAAGCGTCTTGCAAGCTTTGCTTCCATGCGGCGCCTTCACTGGACTCCACTTAGACGACGCTGCAGCGGCTACGGGGCTTCCCCGATAAGCATACTGAGTCGAAGTTGGCACAACATCTGATTGCGGCAACGTGATTTGATTCGGCATAACTCCAGCTCCTGCGGCTGCAACAGATGGAGGGGACGCTGCTCCTGTTGGACCCGCAAGAGCATGATCCTTCATGATCTTGGCTAGGGTTGCTGTAGCAGAACTGGTAGCAACGCCTAGCATTTGCTTTCCGTCTCCGGCTGCAATCGTAGTCATATTGTTCGCCTTGGCGTGGTCCTCTATTACCACTAGTCGTGGGTCCTGATGAGCGCTATTAGACTGCAAAGTCCAGCGCTCACGTATGGCATCGGGAATGACCAAGGACGTTGAGGCGGACACAAAAGTGTTCTGGAAGCCGGCCGTAAGCCCCGAAGCGTCGTCGCTCCTAAATGCGCCATTAGCTCGGCTTCGATGAAAGATGTTTTCGGAGAGGGAGTGCGCTGTGGAAGAATTCATCTGGCCCCCTCCAGCCATGTTGCTACTCAGACCTTGATGTTGCTGAGACTCTGCCAGTGGCGGTCTAGCGGATCTACGCATAGTGGAAATATCCAAGTTCACATGTTCAGGTGCTACAACTCCCTCCCTAGGTCCATTCGCTTCACCACCATCAACGATCTGAGGAGCCGCTCCATTGTCGCCATCTACTTGCGTCGCGGGGCTGGGTCCATTTTCGTTTTTTGTACTGGTCGTCGTCTCGGTGGATACAACAGGTTCTGTGCCTCCAGCAGCTGGTGCTTCTCTAGTTGTGCTATCCGCAGTACCCGATTTCGTGACCTTAGTTGCCTGCGGTGCACTTGGAAGTTCCCACCTTTGATCGTTCAACACAGGGCTCAGAATGTTTGACATCGCTTTGTTCGTTCCCCTAAACATTCTGCCCCCAGTGGTCCGCATCGCTTGCTCAGTTGCGTTCGTTCCTTTTGGCTTATTGCCACTCGTCCGACCGCCTGTTGCAATAGTGCTTCCGACCGCCTTTGCCTTGAAGTCACGAACTTTAGTACTATTGGCTGCCTTCTGATTCTGTTGATCGCCTACTTTGCGACCGACGTTGGCCTTCTTTGCTAGCGCTTTTTTCTTTGCCGGAAGACCTTGCTTCATCTGTGTAGTATCGTCGCCTGCTCTAGTAGACGCTAATTGATGTTGTTCGTCTTGTCCTCTGGCATAAGGGGCCTCGGTCGTTTGTGCGTCTCCAGTCGCCTCTCTAGGACGTGGACTTCGCTCGTCGTCCCACCACGACGACTTCTGCTCATCCTGCCATAGGCTTTTTTCGTACTCCACAAAGGAACTGAAAGCTGCCGAAACCAAACCGTTTCCGTAGCTGTTTCCGTTTCCTCCAGCTGCGTGCGAGCCTCGTCGGTAGGTCGCGTCGGGTATCATCTTCTTGCCAAACGTGGCCCCCGTCGGCGCATAGGGGTTGTGCAAAACGTGCTTGTCCAGAATACTGCGCATCCTCTTGCGGTTATTTTTACCAGCGAGGCGCGCATTCCTGTCCGCTGGGGACTCCTGGATCGCCAAAGCCTCCTCTTCGCTGTCCACTGTTTCCAGCCACGTACTGTTCTTCTTCGCCTTCTGCTCTTGCAGATAACGCTGATACCTGGACAATGTTTGCGTTGTGGTTGTAAAGGTCGAATCTATTTCTAAAAATGGAAACTGCTTCTATGTGGTCCTCGTGGTCGAACATGAATGTAACAAGAAGTAGTGTTCAAATACTTGTGTTGAATGATGCATCGAATCAAGCTATAAAGTGTGGTGGTCAGCCACAAATACACCGACACCAAACCGAAGTAAAAACTTAGACTTCTTACTTTGCATCAGCCGCTGCGTCTTCTTCCTCTTCATCGAGGCCGAAGATTTCACGAATCGTTGCATCTACCGCTTCTTTCGTGAAACCGCCTCCCTCTCGGTAATAGTGCGGCACAGCTGTTTTCTCTTGAGACGGAGGCCGCGACTTGCGTGGACTCGGGGTTGCTGGCACGCTTGCAGCAGTTTCAACTCCCGCCTCATCACTAGCGGCTGCAGTAGCGCCAGGTGGCATATTCTTCTTGTTTTCTTCTGCTGCTGCAGCGTCCTCCGGTTGGGTGGCACCTGCACTGGCAGCTGTGTGATCCGCACCTGGAGGTCCCATGACAGTATGCACATCATCAGGCCCAGCAGTATTTGTCAATTTTGTCTGGTCCATCGTGCCCAGAGTGAGTGTTGTTGCAGTCAGCCGCTCATCATCTGTGTTATTCGCAGTTGTAACTCGCGTGCCACCAAGCATCGAGTCAGCGTCTGTGTTAAGAGCTGCTTTCTTATCATCGAGTTGTTTCATCGCAACGTCATCTTCGTCAGTTCTTGCATCCTGAGCCCGTTCGACCGCAACTCTCGCTTCATCCTTGCCCGCTGGGCTTTCATGCCTACCACGAGGACCGCGCTGCTCGCGCGTGCTTGGTCGTTTTGTTCTAGGTGACCACACACGCAAATTCTTCACATCCTCGAAGACATTTCCTTGTGCGATTTCGCCTACGCAAGGAGGAGCATGCGCATGCTTGTCGTTCGCAAAAACTATTGGCGAAGGCGCGGTTGCGACGCCAGCGCGCGACCTCTGTTGTCGGCGGGCTTGCACGATAGGAGACGTGCGTACGCCGGTCCGCGAAGCAGGGCTTCGTAATACCACTGCGTCGTGCGTCGAAGAAGTTGATGCGTGCAGAACCTTTTGTCCTGCGAATGCCTTTCCTTCGCGAGGAGCTGGCGGTGAAGGTGTGCGCACAGGTGCGCCGTCCTTCAGATGCGTCTTCGTGCGCTCACGAGCCTTGGCTCGCTCTAGTCCTTCGATGAACTGCGTCGTCGCATCGAGTGCATCCATAAAACGACCGATTTTCGCTTGATTCAAAAAGGCTCGCAAGCGCGGTCCGGAGTTTAGCAGTTCTCGCCGGGATCCGAATATTGCTTTCACTACCACTCGCTCTGGACTTTCGTCCACTGCGTCTAGGGACTTCGCACGCGCAGTCGGACATTGTGATGGTGGGAAGGATCGATCGTTGTGGTCCTGCTTCGTGCTGCTCTTAATATTACTAATAGTTGTCTCCTCGTTCGCGTTAGTACCGAGTGTACTTGGAAACAACCCGGTGCTCGTCATTGAAGCGGCATTCGCAAAGAGGGAAGCATTGCCACCTCGGAAAGTGGAGGTGAGTGACGCAGGTCCAATGCTACCGCTAGCTGCGTTACTGGGCGTCGCGAACGGGCCAAAGGCACTCTGCGTCGTGCTGGAGAGGTCACCGGCAGTGCTGCCACGCACAAGCGCGTTGTTATCGTAAATCATCTCTACCAGCAACCCACTATTGCCTCTTGGGCTTGCGGAACGCGCTCGTCGCGCTTCAGTTTGCCCCACTAACGCATGTGCCGAGGCCTGTGACGTCGCTGAAGTGTTTTGGTTTTGATTTGCAAGTTGCGGAAACAACTGCCGAACAAGCTGACTTGCAACTGGAGGGCGCTGCCGCTCTCGTTTTTTTCTACGACTAGCGCGTGCAACCGCGTCCGCAGGGTCATCGTCTTCGTAATCCGTACTATCCGCATCGGACCCACTACCCAAAGAACGGGTGCGCCCCGCTGATGGAGACGCGCTGCCGCCACGGATTAGTGCACCAGCAGCGTTCTTTCCACGTAAGCCGGCTCCGACCCGCAGAAAGTTGCTCTGCTTCACTATTGCTTCTACTTTCTGCGAAGAGGTTCCTGCGTTCGAAGCTCTATTTCCATCTACTGGTTGCGTCTCCATAGTCGCGGGCATTTCCGCCTTCTCAGCCAACTGGGCTGCCCCACGCAGCATCTCGATCGGCGGTTTTGTTTCGCCTAGAAAAAAACCTTCAACTCCAAACTGCTTCGTCTGCTGTGCGAAGTACTCCCGCCGCCTCTGAATACGCCACTGCTGTGCCCGCGCCTGCTCCTGCAGCTGCCTTGCCTGCTGCACGCGCTTTAGAAGTTGTCTTGCTTTTTTCGGAAAGCGCCGAGCCAAGTTGTCCAAGTCCAGCAAATTGCAGTGCGCTGCCCAAGGAAGACCCCCAAATTCGTCCTGCAATGACGCCTGTAGCTGCTGACCCGAAGGTGCCGCCTTGGAAGGCCCGCCCGTGGCACCGGTAGTTGTAGACCCGGTTCCGAGTTGCACCGTCATACTCGTCCCGTGCGTGCCCGTAGTGACGGTTCGCACCGTGCTCGTGGCCCCTGCATTCGCCGCAGCCGCCGCTGCACCACTCTTGTTGCTGCGCGTTTGATTCGGTCTGGCGCGTTCTTCAGTAGCCGAAGAACCTCCTACGACGCCAGCGGCCTCTGCGGTTTTGCCTCGTCCCCGTATACGCGCAGTTCCCGTGCCCCCGGCCGCAACGCCCGCGTCCGCGGCGTTTCCTGTAGGTTGCGCAGCCACTCCCGCTATGCTTGCTCCCTTCGGAGTTGGTCTACCCGTGGAATCTGTTCCACTACTACTATTGCTGCTGCTGTTGACGGTAATCTTCTTGCTTGCAGTTCCCGATGTTCCCTTGCGAAGAGGAAACCCTCGTCCGTGAAAGTTACGTGCTTGGAATTCCAAGTCGGCTTTTGTGAACCCAATGGCCCCTGCTATGTCGTCCGCGCCGACGCGACGTTGTCCGCGTCGATCGATGGACGAGAACCCGGCATTGTGAATCGAGGTTGAGGCTCCGAACCGGGCTCGCGCCGGGTGCGCCATTACAGAAGCGGATGCGCCCATGTCATCAGACGTGGCCGCCCGCTCTCGGTGTCGCCCCGTGTTGTCTAGGCATTCTAAACTGTTGAAAGCTGTAAACGATGTAGAATGTAGCATCGCCGTCGCGGTCGTCGACGTGCTGTACTGCAGGGGCGCAGAGGCCAGCCGCAGAGACCTCCCTGCAAGAGGACTCCCGCACTCCCGCAGTTGCGACTGTTGACTCTGCACTCGTGACTCTGCATGCGAATATTTGTCGACTCGAGCTTGATGGTAGCTCTGTAAACCCGTCATTGGAATAAAGTGCAGAGATGAAGAAGGTCCCGGCAGATCTCCAGCTGACGACGAGCGCACGGGAAGACCTCCTGCGCCGCCGAAGGCAAGGTCGTTGAAACTGTGCAGTGACGATGGTGCAGTGTAGTCCGCTGGTCCACTGACGGCAACCGACCTACTAAACCCCGTTTTGGCACTGGACAAAGAGCCAGCGAGACTACTGTGGTCTCCCCTTCGGTCCACGAAAGCCCAACCTCTTTTTTTCTCAAAGGCAGGTCCGGTTGACGGCCACCCGCGGTCCGCCCAGGTGCTACTTGGCGCAGGTGCCACATCCAGGTGTTGTTCCGACACCATGAGAGGGACTTTCGCACGTCGCCGACGTTTGCGTGCGCCCGAGAGGTCGTGCGCAGCGTCCTCGTCGTCCCCTGCGAGTGGCAGCATTCCACTTGTGTTCACAAAGTAGTTGTAGAGTCCCTGCAAGTCGCCAGCTGGGGCGGTCGAAGAACGAATGAGAATGTCGCTGTGGGCGCTAGACGCTGAGGCAGCCGAACCTCGTGACATGAGCGCCGCACGCATCACTTCCAGCTGTGCTTTGTGCAAGTCCTCTCGTGCCGCTGCCTTTCCCTGGTCCTCCTCGACGTCCGTTCCAGTCTGTATTCCGCCCTCGTCTGTCAAAACTTGCGAAGCTGCAACTGAGGATGCTGGCACGGTACCGTCTTCCTCGTTGTGTTGACCAGGAGGCGCGACTCCACCAGCAGTGGATTTCTCATCTGCTTTCCCACTAGAAGAATTCCGTTGTTCACGCACCCTATGCTCCGTTGCGGCTGACGACAATCCAACTTTTTCTAGCAGCGCCTCGCTCAGGGCTACTTGCTCTGCTGTTGGTTGTTCTCGCTTCTGAGAAGTGCTTTTGTCCTCCGAAACGGCGTTATCACTGTTCTTCTCTGCACCCTCCTGTGCGGCTGCGGCAGCACTACGGATGCTGGCAAACAGAGAACGAATGTCTTCTCCTGGCTGAGGCCGCTTCGCGCCGCCTCCAGTACCTCCATGAAGATGCCTTCCACGCGGCGTTGTGCCAGACGACAACGCGTCTCCACCGTGTGCAGAGTTGCGCTGCCGTCTTCGGTCTAGGACGTTGGGATTCCGAACCGCTCTCGGATACTGGTGTCTTCCGTGCTCTCCACCTGCTCTCACCAATTGCTTTTTCTGCGCTCCGGCTACAAGATGTCCCTGAGGTACAACCCCAAAATGCTGCTGCTGCATCACCAGCTGCTGCTGGTAAAGCGGCACGCGGTCGTCGTATTCCTGTTGGGCAGCTGCAGGACCTTGACTCTCTGCCAGACTTCCATCCGCCCCGTGACCAAACGACGAGGATGACTGCTGCCCGAGCTGACTACTACTGCCACTTTCCTCCAGCTCGAGTTGACTACTACCACTTTCCTGTACAACTAGATCTACAGTCGGTCCGCGAACTGAGGATGAATGGTGTTCGTTCCGTAAAGGTAATCCCGACCACGACTTCTCCTTAGCCTTACTATCCTCGTGCGGTGGACCTGCAACTTCTAACTCCACGGTCTTTTCTCGTCTGCTCTCTTCCTCCACTCCCATGCTGATCGCGTTCATCGTCGACTCATCAACCTGGGGACTGTTTTTTGCACTGTCCGCGTCCCCAAACAGCCGATCCCGCTCTCCTCCGACCGGTGCGCCGCTATCCTCCAGAAGTGCGGAATGCTCTGCACCACCAGCGTCGCTGCAACGACTTCTATGTTGGAGCTCGCTGTGCTCGTCTGCCCTATCGTCGATTTCTTCTAGCATGTCGCCCCACAAGGACGAGACCACCTCGTCGTGGCTAGTCATATGTTTAGACGTCGAATGCTGAGCCATCTTGTTGCCCGTCTTGATGTGGATCATGCTACACCTATTGATGATATTAAGGTTACTTCTAGTAGACAACTAGGCCCGGGTCTTCTATATTTTCCGTTGTAGCCATCATCCGATCAAGGCTATTGTTAATCTTGCTCATTGATTCACGTCGCGTACGCGTAGATCAAATCGTCATAGGAATAAGGATAGAAATATTATCCGGAGTAGGAATTACATAAGACAGATCAAAGTCAGCTAATTTTCAAATTGCACTTCTATGTATAAGTACTAGTAGTACCTAGAACCATATTATCGCTCCATAGGTGGTAGTCTTGATAAAAGGGCTTTCGTTCTGATGAAAAAATTCAAGTATGATTATACTAACGATTCGCATAAACGCGAACCAATATTAACGGGCTATCAATATACCTGCATGAAGAAACAACGGTCTGTAGTATCTGCGGGAGCAGACTCTTCTTCTTATACTATTAAAGCTACGCGCATCATCCTCATTCTTGTGAAGGTTCAGAGTTGACCGACATGAGTACCAGATAGCCATCGAAGATTATACCGACATTTTCAATCTTGTCCGATGTCGTAGAGCTGATCACTACAACGTGCACAACCGAAGTGATGTGAGAGAAGAACAAGAGTTATTTTGGTCTTCTTTCATAGCAGCTACAAAACGCAAAAGAGCCAATTAGGTTTTACAGACACTCACATTTCTCCCTCAAATTAGCTCTGCTATATTAATTCCTTAGTTCAAGCTCTGCGCTTCATACTGTACTTTGTAGACTACACTTTGCTGCTGAGACAAGTGAGTGAAAAAAGAACTGAATTCTTACAAATTGTGTTGCAGATGATGTCACCGAAAATTCACTCTATCAGCGAACTACATCAACTACAAGTCTAGTAAACTTAGATACAACATAAGGATCGATACAACAAAAACACCCTTAGCCAGCTTTCTTCTTCCTTGCGCCGAGGTCGAATCTGCCCGCACCTTTATCGATCTGGCGTATTTCCCCTAGAATTTGGCGTGTGTTGCGACGCGCTGCCTTCGCCGCCGTCTTTTGTTCGGTACGCAGTTCCTGTCGGTCTTTCTTGCGTTCGCGCGCTGCGGATTTCGTCTCCTTCTCGTCAAAGCCCAAGCCTTTGTAGGCACCGGTATCTGCGTGGCCTTGACGTGGCCCGTCCGGCTGGTGCACAGGCATCAGGTCGGTCTTCTTCCGGAATTAGAACTAGGAGAAACCCATCTTCAACAGCGTCTTTCTTCCCCTTTTCCCTTGAAAAACGGGACCAAGATGCCTGTGAAAATGGGAGATTTCTTGTAGCCTTAACGGAAAAAGCGAGCTGGATCTCGGTTCTCATCATCCGAGTCGAGCTCCTCCTCGAAATCTTCTGCACCATCTCCGACACTGCCATTGTTAATGTTGTCGACATTCTCCACAACATCCTGATCAACATGATCTTCTAATATTTCTCCATTGTCGTCGCCTTCGCCGGTGCCTGGCTCGTCAGTCACGCCAGACGGCGAAGACCTCGTGATTTTCCCTGCAACAGCGTATCTCTTCTGCAAGGCTGTGACGCGCGCTGGCAGCTTCTCGCTCACACTCGCCATATTGTGCTGCTCAATCTCCTGCGGAAGAATGATTTCCTCGGCCTTCTTCCCTCGTTGACTCTGTGGAGGTGCTGTCGCGGAAGAAGTGCTAGGAATAAGACTACTTGATGTTCTTCTAACTACAACATTCATATTATTGTACGCGTTATTGCCTGCAAAATCGCCACCACTAGCTGAGTTAACTGGAGATGTTGACTTCTTGTTTTTCATCTTCACCTGTCCAGCTTTAGTACTATGTTGTTCCTTGCGTGGAACGCGACCATGCGTGAGATGGAACCGAGGTACACCCGGCTCAAAAGGCTCCTTATCTGGTGGAAAGTACTGAATGAAGTGACCCCGCGTCTTCTCATCATGGCCCCACACTGCCCGCGCAGGCGTCGCCGATTCCTTCGTTGTGGAATACTGCGCAAGCACCTTGCTCTTCGGAACCCCAAGCGTGCGGGGAACGGCTGGAACACGCGCTCCTTCTGCTAAAGATGGCGGCGGTCCCAGTGGTAGTTTTCCGAGTTTACCGGATGTTTCTAATCGCCGTTTGCGTCCGGGGGAAAGTCCCCTCTTGCGCGGGTCTGGCGGATACCGCGCTAGCTCCGCCGCGTCACCTGCATCAAGCACCACGATCCGACTTGCCGGCACAGCTGCTCCTCGTGAAGATGTTGCCATTCCTCCTACTCCTCTTCCTATTCCTGAGGAAGAGGAAGACGAGGCTCCTGCTACTGCTTTAACATCGCTATCTTTCGGCTTCTTTTCGAATCCCTCGGCTTTCGGCTGAAACCAGTCAGCAGTGGCGGGTCGCTTAGGGTACGGATTCGCATGGTTCATATGCGAAAACAGCGCGTTTTCGGCGGAACAGTTCAGATGCGACCCTCGAGGAACGTACGGGCGTCGAGGCAGGTAAATCGACTCGTCCATTTTTGTGCGATCGCAGTAGAGTAGACCCTAAAAGGACGCGTGGGAGATGAAAATGCGAGAGAATATGTCAAGGAGAAGTACCTAGTCACAGTAATGAGATGGACCGAGGATGAGGAATACCAAAGTACCGATATTCTCTTTGCAACAGACGAAAAACTGGCTGACCCTAGAACTCAGAACTTGCTGCACTGCGTCGTAAGCTCGGTGTAGAGAGCTACACAGGAGACACTTCACAGTAACTTTGTAAAAGCAAAGAAGACTCATGCAAAACTTGTTAATGCTTTCCAACTCACCAAATTCCTTAAACAAGCATACTTAGAGCGTAATTATGCTTTAAGAGGTAATACAACACTTACTAATTTCTCCACAAGAAGGCGATTTCATCTTTTCTTCTAAGCGATTTCGGTTTGCCAAGAAACGAAGAGGCACCATTTTTCTACTCTAGGGGCGACGGGGAGACATGGAGAAAACGAAACCTTTCGTTTCTGCAGATGAGCGAGTGACCAATAATATGAGGATTTTTTCATATCTAAGCATCTCTCCTCGCTTAGTATTCGAAGCTCGTAATCTACTCTCGCAGCTCCAAAAATCGAGGATCGAACAACTTCTCATCACAGTCTTTAGGACACTGAAAACGAAGCAAGAGGGGTCTAAACCCTCTGGTAACGAGTCGTACGAAGCACAAAGAGGTTGACACCACTATCATGGTCCTTGAGAGTGTACTACAACTTGAAAGTCATCCTGAGCGAATCCTCATCTCTGAATCAGACGGAAAAGGAACTACAACATGTAATTGAATCCTTCCCCCTCCATAATATAGACGAGGCCAAGCTTTGTCGTCATCTGCTTCTGAATAGCTATCTTTCGACGCTAACAATCTGATTTTTGCTTTCGATATAACTAAAGCACTGCTCCATATTAAGTTAGTATGCATAATGTACACTAGCAAATAGTCCTCATCGGCTACGTGCTGAAAAACACCTGTTTGAGATTCTTCATCACAAAATTTGAGTAGTGCGTGTTTGCGCATCATGCACAGCGACTGCGGACGACACCCGCCATTCGCTCGCCGCCAACGACATAGCTGCGCCGAATCGTTCAGCCTTGCTCTCCTTGAGTGAAGGCGCACAAGAAGGCTGTCCGCGCGCGACTCGTCGACGATCGATTTTGTTTTATGATGTTCGTTGTTGTCTCTGATTCTCTCGGAGAAGGACAGCTGACGTCGGTTCGCAGACTGGACGCTCAGTCGGAGATTGCACTCGTAGTTTCGCATCATGGCACTGGTCTCCACGTTCGAAATCATCTTAGTGGCTCGATGTTTCGCATCTCCAAGCGCCGCCAGCACAATCTTAGGTACTACAATAAGCAGCTCGGAGGAGAGGCTAGTCTGCCTCGAAGAAGCGAGGCTCGTTTGCATCGACACAAGATCCTGCGCCCTCTGAAGCGACCCTAGCCGAGAAATGAAAAGCAGTTACGCTGCTATCTGCTCATCTACAGTGTCGTCCGGGCGTCGACCTCGAGAAGGGCACTGTTCATTGAAATTTATTTACTCAATATCGCCTTCGAGCGCCCATATGTTCACGCCGCCCATACATATGTTGTGCGACGAAAGAAGTATCACCACTACTATGCGAGTGTCACAAACTTTTCCCTTTTTTCAGTCGCACCAATCGCGCGGTCGCACAAGTACTCCGTTGTGTCCAAGCACACGCCGTAGTTCAAGTACTCTGTGTTGTGCAGTCGCAACAATGGCGCAGTCGCTCTTTCTGCGATGTTCAAGTACTCCGTTGAGCGATGAGTGCTGTACCAGTATCATCAACAGGTTGACAAATTCTTGAGGGTCTTCGAGGCCAAAAATATGGATCGAATTGAAGCCACCTGGGTCGTCTTTGCGCTGGATAACCACCAAGGGATGAACGCGGCGCGGGAAAGGGTCCTAGTACTAGTTTACTTTTAGCACCAAACCCACATGGGGCCTGCTAGTACGAGTTTACTTGAAGTTGTAGTACCAACAACAAATAATTACTATTAATTCTTGTACAACTGGGTTGCTGTCGACTTGTGGAGTTACCAGCTTTGCATTCAATCATCGACTTCGGCATAATCACAATGTAGATTTCTTCGTGGATCTTCAACTATGAGAAAGTGAGTTAGCAGCAAAGTGAGCATGTAGACCTTAGAATATCACGAAACGCCATCAAATTATGTCATGAGTGCGTCTCAGATTGATAGCCATTCTTTACTTAATTAAGAGACCTTTTAACTTTTTTTGGCTGTGGGTGGCTGCTCGGCGAAAAAAATAACATCAGTGGGGATTGCTTTCGCCAACTTTTTTTTTCCTTGGTGGCTGGCGTGGCTGGTCGATTTGGAAAAGCTTGCACTTTTGTCAATTTCTGCAGCGATTTGCGTGAATTTTGTGAGACTCAAACTCTTCACAGTTTGAGCGTCCACGGTTCTAGAAATTGGAAAAATGTGAACAATTTAAAAAATTTAAAAAACGAGAGAACAAATAAAATTGCAAACGCGTGCGCGGTTTCTAGAGGGCCTGAGAGTTTAAACACCGGGCAGGGGCACCCTTGCCCGGCGTTTAAAATTCTGGGCCTGCATAAGGAAAAGCGCGAACCTTGGACGAAGCAGCCTGCTCGGAGGCAGATAACTCCACACCCACGCAAGCTCCTGCCAGAGGGTTACTCCTTGGCCGTGTCCCTTCTTCTCCAGGGCCGCGACGCAAAAGCGCGCCCGCCCTGTGTCCCCGACTTTGTCAGCAATTAAATGGCTGCAACACTGTCCGGACGTAAGCGATCAAGATATTGGCGAACCATCGCCATTCTACGACTCTTAGCTGGTCCCTCTTTGGAGATTCCTGGTCATTCCTGCCGCCCTTCTTCGCATTGTTTTCCTCCGAAGCAGGTTTCGTCTTGCAATGTAGTTCACGCATGAAGAGACCGCTCGGATGGAGCAACCTCTGACGAGTTCGGCACTTCTTACGAACTCCATCCATTTTCTTGCTTCGTCTGCTTGGTTGATGTTGGTGCTTCTACAAGTCTGCGACTTTGTGGATGTTGTGCTACTGCTTATATTTATGCTAAATCAAATCACTAGCCTACTAAAGGGCTACTTCTCAGCTACCTTTACTCTATCTATAATACCCACAAGCAAGGAACTCACTCGCCTCATAACCCACCGCCAGCCACCGCGCGGCGCCCCCGAATCTCGGGAGCGAACCAAGCACGAGGAAGACCGAGGCGGACACACTGCGCACGCAGTGCAGCCCGCCACCAGCCACCGCAGCGCGCCCTCGAATCTCCTGGAAGAGAGGGAAACGCATGGGGAACAGAAGAGAAGACAAAGGCAACACAGGCGGGACCGCGTTGACCGTGTCAGCACTGAAGGACCACGCGCAGCCAAAGCCGCCGCACCCATCGCCATACCATGCCCCGCCCAAGTCCCTCCCTTTGCCCCTCTTGTCTTTCTCCCCGCTTCGTTCTCCCTCCCCGGGATCCGAGGGCGCGCTGCGGTGGCTGCTGGCCGCGGGTTTCCTGCGGTTCAGAAAACCCAAGGAAAAGAAGAGAGAAGAGCCGAGAAGACGCACGCGCAGCGCGTCGCAGCCTGCCCGGCTTCGGCCTCAGACTCAGCGCAAGCGGCAGGCCTGGCCCGGGTTTCGAGCATGCTGCGGGCTTCGGCCTTGCTTCGAGCTCCGGGCGTGCTTTGGGCGCGTCTGTTTGGTTTGAGGTCGGGCGGGCTCCCGTCGGGTTTGGTCGGTTTGCGTTTGGGTTTGGTTTAGGCAAGCGCCTGGGCCGAGGCCTGGCGAGCTGGGCCCGGTGTGGGTTTGGTCTACGTTTTGCCTGGGTTTGGTTGGGATAAGTTCGGCCCACGTCTAAGCCTGGCCCGGGTCTGGGCTCGGTTTGGCTTGGGCTTGCTTCGGGTTTGTTCCCGGTTTGGGTTTGGGTTTGGGTTTGGGTTTGGGTTTGGGTTTGGGTTTGGGTTTGGTTTGAGTTTGGTTTGGGTTTGAGTTTGGGTCTGAGTTTGGGTTTGGGTTTGCGTTTGAGTTTGGGTTTGAGTTTGGGTTTGAGTTTGGGTTTGAGTTTGGGTTTGAGTTTGGGTTTGAGTTTGGTTTTGAGTTTGGTTTTGAGTTTGGGTTTGAGTTTGGTTCGAGTTTGGCCTGAGCTTGGTTTGAGCTTTGGGCCTGGTTTGAGCTTTGGGCTTGGTTTGAGCTTTGGGCTTGGTTTGAGCTTTGGGCTTGGTTTGAGCTTTGGGCTTGGTTTGAGCTTTGGGCTTGGTTTGAG